TCGATTAATGGTATGTTCTTTGGGCAAGCTATGTCTCTTATCAAAGTTATTACTAGCATTATTAAACCATTAAAATTTTATTTAATTTCAACAGAAAGAAGGAAACTTTGCAACATTAAAAAATCGACAATGAATACTAACACGCCGATGTCTTTTCTTGGTTTAAACATTGATGTACTGACTTTCATTTAAGTTTCTTAAACACCTTTTTGATTTTCAAATGCTCGAACTTTTGTCATTTTTCCGACATTTTACAACTGGCTGAATTCTTTTTCTCCTACAATTGACCACCCCATCTGCCACCAGGCAAGTCGTCTGATATACCCATGGTTGGTGTTACTGCTTGTTGGAAAAGCGGTCCAAACAGAGATTCAGAGACAAAATTGGAAGTGAGTGTGTCTCTTGTTCAAAATAGTTAATAACAATTAATCGTTCATTTAATTGTCATTAATTCATTAATTCTAGCGATTCTTACCTCTTTTCAAGAATGGTGTCTACAACACCTACAGAACGATAAAAAACTCTTAAAAGCATTGCTACGTTATATCACATAAAAAATTCATGCAGCTTAGTATTAAAATTGAAGAGAATAATGATTTGACACCGAAAGCCCTTTTGTTTTGACTTTTCTAAATAATATTTCAAAAAAACAAAGGCAATGAAATGAAGACAATAGATTTTTAATTTCAAAGAAATAAATTACCGACATTATACTGTCATGGATTCACAATCAATGCATTTGATTTCATTTATACGGTTCGTTTCAGAGTCAACATTTTTTGAGGGGGGCGAAAAGTTTAGCTGTTTACTGAATTGAAGCACAAAAAATAAACCTATATATTTATATACAAAAATTGTTATATTATGTATCAAAACTTATTTGCTACTATATAATAATCTATATAATTTATGTAAAAACTTTTTACCTTTCCCTTAGTTTCTCATACATGTGGCTACCTTAACGTTTTTAGCCTATTGTTTAATCAGGGAATGCTCTTTTTTGTTTGGCCAGTATATACATAGTTTATTCGTGACATTTATGAAATTATATTTATTCTACTCGCGAACTAAATAATTCAAACTCATGATAGTCATTAAAATCAATCGCTTTCAATCTTGTGATTTTCAATCTTGTCAATACCCAATAGGGAATCATTTAAACGTAACAGGATTGCCTGACATTTTATATCAATTGTAGAATTAATGTTGCAAAAGATCATCAACATGCCTGCAAGTTCAATAGTACTTGATTTACTTACTTATGAGTGTTGTTTTATTAGAACTGTACTCACCATTATATTATCTTACAAACAAACGCCATGATTGATGGCTTGGTGTGAAAGGGACAACGAGGCAATGTGTCGAGGATCTTCTGAAAATTTAAAGCCACACATATACCGTAAGGTAAACAGCAGGTTGTGGAGCAGATGGTCCACCCAATTCGGACATCATAGGTAACTAACTGTAGCTTGATTCCAAAATTTCACTCTAGGGAACAAACTTTTCACTGTTGATCTTTAAAATATGGTATTGGCTGTATTTAGATGGCCTAAATAAGGTAACAGCAGTGTTTGAAGCAGATTTGCCACCCAATTCGGACATTCATGGTAATTAACTGTAGCTTTGATCTAAAATTCACTCTAGATACAAAAACATTTCACTGTTTGATCTGTTTAAAAATGGATAGCTTGTATTAGGTGTGCCTTAAATTTAAACACTTAAAAGATTTCATTTCGAAGTTTACAGGACTTGTTTCTGTCCTCATTGCCTCTTAAAATTGTTTCTATTATGAAGACAAGCTGACTAGAGCCTATTCGCTGAAATCAGTTTACTTTGGAGGCTATTGATTTTGAACTATCTTGATTTCGAATCTATATACCATGGTTCAAAAAAAATTCAGGCTGCCTCAGACCGAAAGTTCCGACAAAAAATCTACAGGTTTGCAAAGTCAAAATTTAGAAAATATTTTTACGGACTAATTTATAATATATTTGTCTACATTTATTAGCAAAAATTGTAACTATTTATCTATATAATAAATTTTTTAGAGGTTCAAATTTGAAAGTCACTCAAGAGGTTCCAAAAACCAGTATAAGGGAGCGGTTCAATTTCTGATAAGCCACTTGATTCTGGCTTAGGATGCTTTTCATCGAGTGGAAAATGACCCGAAGTAACCAGCATTTGCACATTGCAAGCAAGATTGAAGCCCCCCGAATTGTTCCCAAATGCATTCTCAGCTGTGTGGAATTTGGTTGATTAGAAGACTGTAAATAGAATTGAAAACTTGATTTCTTTTTGAAGAACTATTTGAATGTATAAAAGAAGCAATTTTCCATAAAGAGTCGCTTCGCTCGAACAGTCTAACAATTACATCTTAGATATGTATGAAACAAATAACACCATGGATCGTAAAAAATTATATACTTCTTATTACATTCTCCATTTTCCATAAGACCCCCATCTTCAGTGAAAATTGAGACCGCTATTTCTCCAGGAACATTTCACAAACGACCAATTCATTGTAGAAGTGCCGTGGGACAACCATTAGCTTTGATATCAAAATACGTAGAAGAACCCCAGGCAGCCACTGTGCTGGTAATTCGCACCGCCCCTAAACCCAGATCCAGCCAACTGGCCAGTTTGACAAAGGATTACACCAAAACTTTGGTTTCCAATCGACACATACGCAGTCATCTTTTGATTGAAAGTATACTACTGTATGTTTGTGTTTATATATAAACCAACAGCTTGCCTGCTTAAAAATATTCTTGCTTTTAAAGTATAAAAACGTATTCTAATGGACAGAAAATTGGTTTCTTCTCTAAATTCCATCCACATTTCTTTAACCAGAATCCCCATCTTCAGTGGAATCGGAGACGCCCGTCTCCCAGCTCAACAGAGAACCTTACTGCAGAAGATGACATCTTCATTGGCAAATAACATACACACCAGACGCAGATGAGCCAACAACCATCGCTGAATTCGAATCCCTATCACCAGATCAGCCACTGGCTCAATTTGAACAAGGATACACCAGAACTTGGTTCCAATGACATCGCAGTCACCTTTGATGAAGAATCCTACTGGTATGTTTAACTACAAGATTTCAGGAAACTCTTTATTGCCTTGAATTGCTTTCTAATTGACAAAAATTGGTTCTTCTCTAATCTATCCTCATTTTTGAAACAGAATCCCCATCTTCAGTGGAATCGGAGACCGCCGTCTCCCAGCATCAACAAGAGATCCTTTCTGCAGAAGTGACACCTTCATTTGGCAAATGAATCACACCAGACGCAGATGAGCCAACAGCCATCGCTGAATTCGAATCCCTATCACAGATCAGCCACTGGCTCAATTGAACAAGGATACACCAGAACTTGGTTCCAATGACATCGCAGTCACCTTTGATGAAGATCTACTAGGTATGTTTAACATACAAGATTTCAGGAAACTCTTTATTGCTTGAATTGCTTTCTAATGACAAAAGTTGGTTTCTTCTCTAATTCATCCACATTTCTTAAACAGAATCCCCATTTCAGTGGAATCGAGAGACCGCCGTCTCCCAGCATCAACAAGAGATCCTTTCTGCAGAAGTGACACTCTTCATTGGCAAAATGACATCACACAGCAGCAGCAGATGAGCCAACAGCCATCGCTGAATTCGAATCCCTATCACCAGATCAGCCACTGGCTCACATTTGACAAGGATACCCAGAACTTGGTTCCAATGACATCGCAAGTCACATTTGATGAAGATTCTGCTGGTATGTTAACTACAAGCTTTCAGAAAACTCTTTATTGCTTTGAATTGCTTTCTTAGTGACAAAAGTTTGTTTTATTCTCTAATCAATCCTAATTTCTTAACAGAATCCCCATCTTCAGTGGAATCGGAGACCCGCCGTCTCCCAGCATCAACAAAGATCCTTTCTGCAGAAGTGACACCTTCATTGGGAAATGACATCACACCAGACGCAGATGAGCCAACAGCCATCGCTGAATTCGATCCCTATCACCAGATCAGCCACTGGCTCAATTTGACAAGGATACACCAGAACTTGGTTCCAATGACATCGAGTCACCTTTGATGAGATCCTACTGGTATGTTTAACTACAAGATTTCAGGAAACTCTATGCCTTGCAATTGCTTTCTAATGACAAAAGTTGGTTTCTTCTCTAATTCATCTCATTTTTTAAACAGAATCCCATCACTTTCAGTGGAATCGAGACCGCCGTCTCCCAGCATCAACAAGAGATCCTTTCTGCAGAAGTGACACCTTCATTGGCAAATGACAATCACACCAGACGCAGAGAGCCAACAGCATCGCTGAATTCGAATCCCCATCACCAGATCAGCCACTGTGCTCAGTATGACAAGAGATGACACCAGAACTTGGTTCCAATGACATCGCAGTCACCTTTGATGAAGATCCTACTGGTGTAATACTACAAGATTTCAGGAAACTCTTATTGCCTTGAATTGCTTTTTAAGTGACAAAAGTCTCGGCTCTTTTCTCTAATCAATCCTAATTTCTTAAACAGAATCCCCATCTTCAGTGGAATCGGAGACCGCCGTCTCCCAGCATCAACAAGAGATCCTTTCTGCAGAAGTGACACCTTCATTGGGAAATGACATCACACCAGACGCAGATGAGCCAACAGCCATCGCTGAATTCGAATCCCTATCACCAGATCAGCCACTGGCTCAATTTGACAAGGATACACCAGAACTTGGTTCCAATGACATCGCAGTCACCTTTGATGAAGATCCTACTGGTATGTTTAACTACAAGATTTCAGGAAACTCTTTATTGCCTTGAATTGCTTTCTAAATGACAAAAGTTGGTTTCTTCTCTAATTCATCTTCATTTTTTAAACAGAATCCCCATCTTCAGTGGAATCGGAGACCGCCGTCTCCCAGCATCAACAAGAGATCCTTTCTGCAGAAGTGACACCTTCATTGGCAAATGACATCACACCAGACGCAGATGAGCCAACAGCCATCGCTGAATTCGAATCCCTATCACCAGATCAGCCACTGGCTCAGTATGACAAAGATGCACCAGAACTTGGTTCCAATGACATCGCAGTCACCTTTGATGAAGATCCTACTGGTATGTTTAACTACAAGATTTCAGGAAACTCTTTATTGCCTTGAATTGCTTTTTAAGTGACAAAAGTTGGTTTCTTCTCTAATTCATCCACATTTCTTAAACAGAATCCCCATCTTCAGTGGAATCGGAGACCGCCGTCTCCCAGCATCAACAAGAGATCCTTTCTGCAGAAGTGACACCTTCATTGGCAAATGACATCACACCAGACGCAGATGAGCCCACAGCTATCGCTGAATTCGAATCCCTATCAGCAGATCAGCCACTGGCTCAGTTTGACAAGGATACACCAGAACTTGGTTCCAATGACATCGCAGTCACCTTTGATGAAGATCCTACTGGTATGTTTAACTACAAGATTTCAGGAAACTCTTTATTGCCTTGAATTGCTTTCTAAGTGACAAAAGTTGGTTTCTTCTCTAATTCATCCACATTTTTTTTAAACAGAATCCCCATCTTCAGTGGAATCGGAGACCGCCGTCTCCCAGCATCAACAAGAGAACCTTTCTGCAGAAGTGACATCTTCATTGGCAAATAACATCACACCAGACGCAGATGAGCCAACAACCATCGCTGAATTCGAATCCCTATCACCAGATCAGCCACTGGCTCAATTTGACAAGGATACACCAGAACTTGGTTCCAATGACATCGCAGTCACCTTTGATGAAGATCCTACTGGTATGTTTAACTACAAGATTTCAGGAAACTCTTTATTGCCATGAATTGCTTTCTAAGTGACAAAAGTTGGTTTCTTCTCTAATTCATCCACATTTCTTAAACAGAATCCCCATCTTCAGTGGAATCGGAGACCGCCGTCCCCCAGCATCAACAAGAGATCCTTTCTGCAGAAGTGACATCTTCATTGGCAAATGACATCACACCAGAAGCAGATGAGCCAACAGCCACCGCTGAATTCGAATCCCCATCACCAGATCAGCCACTGGCTCAGTATGACAAGGATACACCAGAACTTGGTTCCAATGACATCGCAGTCACCTTTGATGAAGATCCTACTGGTATGTTTTACTACAAGCTTTCGGGAAACTCTTTATTGCTTTGAATTGCTTTCTAAGTGACAAAAGTTGGTTTCTTCTCTAATTCATCCACATTTCTTAAACAGAATCCCCATCTTCAGTGGAATCGGAGACCGCCGTCTCCCAGCATCAACAAGAGATCCTTTCTGCAGAAGTGACATCTTCATTGGCAAATGACATCACACCAGAAGCAGATGAGCCAACAGCCACCGCTGAATTCGAATCCCCATCACCAGATCAGCCACTGGCTAAGTTTGACAAGGATACACCAGAACTTGGTTCCAATGACATCGCAGTCACCTTTGATGAAGATCCTACTGGTATGTTTAACTACAAGATTTCAGGAAACTCTTTATTGCCTTGAATTGCTTTCTAAGTGACAAAAGTTGGTTTCTTCTCTAATTCATCCACATTTTTTTTAAACAGAATCCCCATCTTCAGTGGAATCGGAGACCGCCGTCTCCCAGCATCAACAAGAGAACCTTTCTGCAGAAGTGACATCTTCATTGGCAAATAACATCACACCAGACGCAGATGAGCCAACAACCATCGCTGAATTCGAATCCCCATCACCAGATCAGCCACTGGCTCAGTTTGACAAGGATACACCAGAACTTGGTTCCAATGACATCGCAGTCACGTTTCATGAAGATTCTGCTGGTATGTTTAACTAGAAGCTTTCAGAGAACTCTTTATTGCCTTGAATTGCTTTCTAAGTGACAAAAGTTGGTTTCTTCTCTAATTCATCCACATTTCTTAAACAGAATCCCCATCTTCAGTGGAATCGGAGACCGCCGTCTCCCAGCATCAACAAGAGATCCTTTCTGCAGAAGTGACATCTTCATTGGCAAATGACATCACACCAGACGCAGATGAGCCAACAGCCACCGCTGAATTCGAATCCCCATCACCAGATCAGCCACTGGCTCAGTATGACAAGGATACACCAGAACTTGGTTCCAATGACATCGCAGTCACCTTTGATGAAGATCCTACTGGTATGTTTTACTACAAGCTTTCGGGAAACTCTTTATTGCTTTGAATTGCTTTCTAAGTGACAAAAGTTGGTTTCTTCTCTAATTCATCCACATTTCTTAAACAGAATCCCCATCTTCAGTGGAATCGGAGACCGCCGTCTCCCAGCATCAACAAGAGATCCTTTCTGCAGAAGTGACATCTTCATTGGCAAATGACATCACACCAGAAGCAGATGAGCCAACAGCCACCGCTGAATTCGAATCCCCATCACCAGATCAGCCACTGGCTAAGTTTGACAAGGATACACCAGAACTTGGTTCCAATGACATCGCAGTCACCTTTGATGAAGATCCTACTGGTATGTTTAACTACAAGATTTCAGGAAACTCTTTATTGCCTTGAATTGCTTTCTAAGTGACAAAAGTTGGTTTCTTCTCTAATTCATCCACATTTCTTAAACAGAATCCCCATCTTCAGTGGAATCGGAGACCGCAATCTCCCAGCATCAACAAGAGATCCTTTCTGCAGAAGTGACATCTTCATTGGCAAATGACATCACACCAGACGCAGATGAGCCAACAGCCATCGCTGAATTCGAATCCCCATCACCGGATCAGCCACTGGCTAAGTTTGACAAGGATACACCAGAACTTGGTTCCAATGACATCGCAGTCACGTTTGATGAAAATTCTGCTGGTATGTTTGTGCATTATATTAAACCAACACTTGCCTGCTTAAAAATATTTTACATTCAAAATATAAAACGTATTCTAAGTGACAAAAGTTGGTTTCTTCTCTAATCTATCCTCATTTTTTAAACAGAATCCCCATCTTCAGTGGAATCGGAGACCGCCGTCTCCCAGCATCAACAAGAGATCCTTTCTGCAGAAGTGACACCTTCATTGGCAAATGACATCACACCAGACGCAGATGAGCCCACAGCTATCGCTGAATTCGAATCCCTATCACCAGATCAGCCACTGGCTCAGTTTGACAAGGATACACCAGAACTTGGTTCCAATGACATCGCAGTCACCTTTGATGAAGATCCTACTGGTATGTTTAACTACAAGATTTCAGGAAACTCTTTATTGCCTTGAATTGCTTTCTAAGTGACAAAAGTTGGTTTCTTCTCTAATTCATCCACATTTCTTAAACAGAATCCCCATCTTCAGTGGAATCGGAGACCGCCGTCTCCCAGCATCAACAAGAGATCCTTTCTGCAGAAGTGACATCTTCATTGGCAAATGACATCACACCAGACGCAGATGAGCCAACAGCCACCGCTGAATTCGAATCCCCATCACCAGATCAGCCACTGGCTCAGTATGACAAGGATACACCAGAACTTGGTTCCAATGACATCGCAGTCACCTTTGATGAAGATCCTACTGGTATGTTTAACTACAAGCTTTCGGGAAACTCTTTATTGCTTTGAATTGCTTTCTAATTGACAAAAATTGGTTTCTTCTCTAATTCATCCACATTTCTTGAACAGAATCCCCATCTTCAGTGGAATCGGAGACCGCCGTCTCCCAGTTTCAACAAGGGATCATCACTGCAGAAGTGACACCTTTATTGGCAATTAACATCGTACAAGACGCAGATGAGCCAACATCCACCGTTGAATATGACACGCTAGCGCCAGATCAGCCACTGGTTCAGATGGACCAAAAAAGAGCAGCACTTGGTTCCAATGAGATAGCAGTCACCTTTGATGATGATTCTATTGGTATATATTTATATCAAATTATATCAAATGCTTTGTTTTTTGAAAATCCTCCAAATTTTGTTTCAGATGGCATTGGTGAGCATTCACTTTAAAAAATGTAATGTAATTTTTTTATGAACATTCAAGTAATTCTTGTGTATATATGCTGTTTTTAGTGTAAATTCAACAATTTTGAATGTAGACAGAAGTTGTTCTTGCTTTTAACTATTTTGCTATTATAGTGCTTCATTTAATATCTTTTTTTATCTTTCTAATTTTCTCTTGTTCTTGTTATCATTTCAGGTTTTGGATCAAAAAGAGAATGCGAGAGAATGATGTCAACTAAGGAAGACATTGCTGTTTGTAGTAATGAGATAGAATCATCAAACATTGGCAGTGCTGTTAAAGGTCGTGAAAAGTCACAACAGGGCAGTTTGTTAATTGAAGTTGAAAACATTGCGACTCTTTCTGAATTTGAGGAGTTCAAGATCTATTGCATCAAAGCAAAAGAGAAACTTAAAAATCATGACGCCATGGAACAGAGTTGTAAGGACATGCAAGATGAGCTGAACCGACTTAAGTTATGCGTAAAAGAAGCAGACAAGCAGAGACTTAAGCAAGAGAGAGTAATGATTGAAAACAAAGTACTTGCTGCAAAGAATGAAGAATTGTCCCAAAAAGTGGATTTTCTAAGTAAACAGCTCGAAAAGGAAGTCTCTTCCAGAGCAAATGACAAAGGGTACATCTTCAGTTTAGAAATAGAATGCGAAACAGTTAGGGAAGAATTGGAAAAGCAAAATGAAGATAGGATGAAATCGCTCAAGTTGATAGAGAGTAAGAAAGTTCAAGAAGCAAATGATATTCTGGCCAAAATAGAACCAAATTCTTTAAAAGAGAAACTATTGCAAGCTAATTTAATCTGTGAAGATACAAAGATAAATCTAGAATTAGTTGCAAAGAAGGCCAATGAATGGTCTGAGGTTGAAGATCTTGTGAGGTCAAAATCTTCTGAGTGCAGACCTTTGACGGAAGATCTTAGACAAAATGGAATAGGCTCAGACCAATGCAGTTCAGAAGTTGGCTCACAGGCAGTAAATGTGAAAGATTTCATCGGCATTTTGCTTAAGGAGCAGGAGCGTGCTAAGAAAATTATTGCAGAGCAAAACATTCAATACAACGAGCTGAAAACCAGACACGATGCTGTGTTGGCAAAGAACAACGAACTGCAAAACGACATTTCTAGATTAGTGCTCACTGAGCGAGAGAACTCTGACCTTAGAAAGAGGCTTCAGAAGCTATCTAGTGAGCGTGGCATCGTGAGAAAGAATCTGGACTGGCAAGTAGAGAAGGAAAGCGAGATCGAACTGCTGAGTGAAACAAACAGCACTTTGATGACAGAGAATGAGAGACTTCGCTCACATGCTGATCAACTTGTGCAAGAGAAAAGTGAATGTGAAGTGGTGCTTGGTCTTCTTGAAAAAGAAAATGAAGGTCTGCTAGAAAAAGCAATCAAGCTTGATGATTTAGAATTGCACCAGAATAGACGACAAGATGATGTAAAAGGGTTACAGGAGGAGATTTTATTTTTGGGAGAAATCATCAGAGAGAAAGATGCAGAGAAGATGAGGCTAGCAGAAGACGTTCTTGATTTACAAGAAAAGCTAGAAAACGAAGAATTCAAATACTTAGAGGCACACGAAGAGAATGAGTGTTTGAAGTCAGAGATATCTGATTACAAAATCAGATTTGATCAGCTCAAAAGTGATTATAAAATGAACCAAGAAGTGGCCATAGAGCAACGTGGCACAATTTCCTCTTTGAATCTACGGAAGGCAGACCTTGCAATAGAAATCGACCATTTAAAATCTCATCTCGGGAGCCTAAGAAAAATCAAAGACGAAAACGAGGCACTTTACAGTGAAGTTCGAAGCACGAAAAAAGATTTAAAAGAAATGGAGAGCCAGTATCATCGTGCTAAGTTTGAAGTCGATAGATTCAAAAAAAAGAATGAAGAAATGTTTGCTGACTTTAATTCAGCTGCTGAGGTGTTTTCTATGGAGAAGAAACAGTTGCTTCAGAAATGCATCAGTTTAGAAAAGTTTATGGCAAAGGAAAGGTTGGAATATGAAGCTAGCTTAAATGAGACTGAAAGAGAGAAGGAGGTTCTCAAATCAGAGCTTGGCATGGTAAGTACAGTGACTGAAAGCAAGTTGAGAATGCTTGCAGAGCATTAGGGTATTTATTGCACCAATGTACAAGGGGGCGATATTAATGGGGTGTCAATGAAGAAGTTCTTAAAACTGATGATGATGTTGATTGTCAGTTTGCCTTCGATAATTTGCCACAATTGATTTTAAACTACAAATAAATTCTTTCAAAAATGTTTGGGGACTGGGGCAGACAACACATAAAGTAGTGCTATTTAATAAGCAGAGTGATCTATGATTCATTGAGAGATGACCTGGGGAAAGCGTGTGTGGGTATGTAAAGAAACTCTTTAAAACAGGATGTTTTAAGTTGTTTCAATTTAATTCAATTCAATTCATGCAAATAGCTTCAGCGCAGGAGCAAGTTTGAAATCAAAGTGAGAATAGTCTTCTTTTCTGTTATTTCAGTTTCTATTCTATTCTCAGATGAGATGAGTTTTGCTCAATTCTCTAAATTTGCTAATATTTCTAAAATTTTAGATCGATGGCTGTCATAAATTTAATTTAGAGGCAATGGTCAAGCTTCGTGATGGTAAGTTTAATTGTTTTTCTTTTCTTTATTGGTATCAAGACTACTTTACCGAAGCACCATTTTTCAAAATTATAAAGATTAGAAATTATGCTCTATGTTTATAGAACAGGACGGTTTTAAATTGCTTCCCCGAATTGTACGCTTACTGCGATCACCAGGCAACTGTTTCTAGCAATTAACATGAAAATTAACTTTCACTTCTTCCCCTGTTTTTCAGAGCTGGCTGAATGCAAGAAAAATCTGGCGGTAAGGCTAATCGATATTATATTTGATATTTATAAACAGTAGCATATTATTAGAATTTTCTTATTGAAGAAAGCTCGAATTCTTGGCAGGCCAAGCATTTTTTATTTAGTCAGTATTACTCATACTTATCTCTTTTATTTTTAAAATTTTACTCCTAAACCTTTTGCGTCATCTTTGATTTTCTTTCTTTGCACTTCTAGGTCTATGAAGTGAATGATAACAGACCAAGAGGTAATCATGTCACATGATACTGAATTCGATCGTTTTACTATTCAGCTGCTTGAGTCCCATTAATTAAAAATCTTTACGACGTCCCTTACTCTGGCCCTCGAAAGAAAACAATTGGTGGTACCAGGTAATGATGAAAGTTTCTTTTCTAGATGACCCAAGATGGAAACTTGCAGAAAACAATAAATACGAGGCAAAGGTTGGCAATGGACTTTACTTTACTCATAATCAAAACTTGTTGACTATAACTTGTTAAAACTGCTAAATAATCATTTAATTATCATTGTAACTCACGTTATCTTTGACTCATTCGAAGTATCATTGAAATATGCTATTAAACATTCTTTTTGTGTTTATTTGCTGTTTACATTGAGTGAAATATTAAATACATTTCTTCATCAAAGTAAAATTTTAATTTTAGCTGAAGAATTGCTTTTGCCAAATAACACAATTAGAATACGAAATAGAGAGAAGAGGAAAAGGCAAGTGTTTTTAACTCTCAATATGTTAAACACTAGTTTCAATTTGTATATTTTATCACGAAAAAGTCTATTTGAAGTAAGGCTGTATATGAAACACAACTAAAGATAATTCTTTTTCTTTGTAGTTATCAAAGAAAACGAAGAAGACTTCAAGGTAAGAGTGGCTACTATGCATTTAAAAATATTGTAATTAATGTTTAGAAGTGCAGTCATATTATCTTGTGTAATGAATGTTTACTAAAGTTTTTGTCAAAAACAGCCGTAGATCCGAATCGATTAATAAATAACTCTCTCAGGAAAGATAACATAGAATTTAAGTTCTGATGTAACGAGAGTTCTTCTAAGGTTGAGAAATATAGTTAATCTCAAAAATAGACTTGTAGTAATTAATTCTTCAAAAAATTGGGAGTATTTTAGTCATTTCAACATTCCTTGATTTAGTTTATTTTTCTGATGAAATTCAAGTTTCTATTCATCTTTCAGAAATTTGCAACCAAATATAAAGAAATCAAGGCTGAGAGAGACGAGCTGCGAAACGAATACTTCCAGTCTAAAGTATGATAATTGTGATTTGTGAAGTATAAATTATGCAAATTGAATTTCTATTGAGTTGATTTGTTATATGTAGGCCGTATTGAAAGTGAAACAGTTTAATATGATGAAATACAATGCAGGACGTATTAGATGAATTGGAAGTATAAGGGTGTGAAACACCATCAGAAACAAAACAGGACTGGCTACAAAAACCACCAAAAATTCACATTCTGATGACTCATTTTTAGTTGTTGATATTACGAGGGTTACATACAGTAACAAAGCAAAACTTCCATATACCACCTGATGCTAGACATCCTGATGACGTGTTGTATGTTGATTGAATAAGGAGTGTTGCAAAAACTTCAAGACGACAACAAGAGTTATCTAACGCGACTCTATATCAAACTTTGCATTGTGAAGCAGACAGGCAAATAATAGTTAGGATCTTCTTTAGTTTGATAACAAAGCGATATAAACTGTTCTTCAAATTCGTTAGCATTTCTCGCAGGTTTTTGCAAACCTTTTCTATTCCATAAAGACTAGAATCATAAGAAAAATTAATATAATTTTTTCTCAGGTATCGGTGCAGAAGCTTGAATCTCAGCAACATCTTATAGTTCGAAAGAGTCGAAGCCTTGAGTCACAGGTAATAATCTGCCACTTAGCTGCTACATCACAATGTACCTGTCACAGGCTGTTGTCTCATATCAACTTTTCAGGATGTTTCATTAGTATCTTTAGCATTTATGTACTAGTCTTTCTTCAAGTGTCGATTGCTTCTGGTTTATAAAACAAGTAGAAAGTTATCTCTACACGTTGATCTTGGTTGTATTAAATCAAAAATTTTAACATTTCTCTACGCAGGTTGTTGAGTTAGAGAAAAAGAACGATCGCCTTTTGGCGGAAAAGAAAGAGGTTAGTTAGAATCCAATCTATATATTAGTTAGAAATATGTTATGTTTCAGATGATTTTTTAAAAAGATCGATACTGCTCGAGAGTAACTTCGATCATCATATTAAATTGCGAAGTGTCATTGACGAAAGCAATACAAAGGAAATAGCACCAATTGCATTTAAATGGTTTAGTGTCAGAAAATATTGAATTTAGACCTTGATAAGCAAAGTTTTTAATATTTAAGAGATATCATTCGAAATTTTAGATTGAAAAGCTGTACTTTCAGTGTCTGAAGGACAATGACAAATTTTGCCAGAGCATTCACACTCTGGATATGACGTGAGTAAAAATACCATTGCTGGTCTGTTTTATGGTGTAAGAAGCATGGACATACAAACATAGGAAAATTCTGTTTGAAAATGAAGATTGTGACTGCTTTATCATAGGCAGCAATATTATACATTATAGTTTTAAAATACACTGTCAATATTCGAAAAAAATTACAAATGTTCATTAATGTGTGTTTTAATGTGTAGAGCAATACGGTTTTAGTCGCAAATAAATTCTAGTTTCACCCTGTGTTTGCCAGTTGAATTGTCAGGAAATCTTTCAACGTAAAAACCTTGGTTTGATATTATCATTGATTAGTACCAGCTTGTAAGTGGGACTCTTACCATTTATAAATGTTTGCAATAAAAAACTATAGAGATCTAGTTGCAATATTATTCCATATTTCTCTACGCAGTGACCTACACAAAAATTTTGGTATAACCTTCAGTTCCACTGTATTGTAACTGGTTAAGGTTAATGGGTGGCCATACCTATGATGCTCCAAATAGCAACATCATTATAGTTTCCTGCCTGGTAATTTGTATTTTTTGCTTACAATTTATTTTAAGCGATAAAATTTATTTTATTTTCAGACTCAAGTTATCAAAGAGCAGAAACGAAAATCTTGGAGCCTCAAAACAAGCTGCTCAGAAGGAGCCTGAGGTGAGTGTCATACCAGTTAGCAAGAAAAAAACATGTTTTCCCAGTTGCATAAAATAATTGTTTACTTGAAGAAGGCTGGGGGGCTGGTAATTCAGGGAGACCTTGGGCAGGAAGGCAGAGGACTAAGGGGTTTAGGGCTGATAGAGGCTCAAAGTTTGCTAATAATTTCAAGCCTTGTTTGCATTTATAAAGCGGTAACTTGGTAAAATTATCTTGGGTTCTGTTCCCAAGACCCCCAATGGCTACGTCCCAAATCAATAAGTTAATTTATGAGCACACTATTTGAATATGACCGCTAGGTTGAAAAATTGAGCCGAATACGAAAAAAATGACAAAGTATCAAATATTATAGTCTTAAATCATCGTATTCGCATCTTAAACACTGATCTAGGGCCAATAAATACATAAAATCATTGATCATACATAAAATAAAAACCACTTAAAAGGGACTTGGTTTGAATATCTGATCTATTTGTTTTTTTCTGTACAACGACTTTTAGATTAGTTTTAGTAAGAAGGTTAGTTAGCATAAAATCAATAAATCAGTTTATTATCAAAGTTTTGAGATAATTGGCCTAATTTGCAGCCCACAGCCACTGAATATACTGGCGCTGAAGCAAAGTGTGACGAAAGCTGTGAAGATAATTTGCAAAAAACAGGAAGTTGCTATAAAACTGAACCATTTGGTCGGTCATTATTTGATAATAATCTATAGACTTTTTTCATTTACTTATAAATATCTAAAAATCCTTGGTAAACAAACAGGCTAATAAATTTTTGCAGAAAGTTGCTGTATTTTATTCAAATGATTCTAGCATGTATATATATGGAAGAAATGAAATTTGTAAATATGTAAAATTGTGAATCTTTATGTACTAATATTTGCTGATGAAAATCCACATGTTTTTTTGTGATATTGACCTCTGATGACACTTAACAAATGATTGAACAAAAATTGTCAATTCATCATTTTTAAAGTTGTGCTCAAAACCTCTTAGATAAAAGACGAACCAGAGCATATACCAGAAATTTGAGACGCACTTGGCTTACCCGACATCTGTCCTGGCCGTGTGAAAATTTTTGAGCCATTCGATTGGTACCTTTGGTACAAAATAGCTTTTTCGTACCTCTATCTAGAAGGACTGTAAGTCCGCCGAAAGCGGGGGTATTTACTGATCGCATTTTCAAGGTACACTCGTAAACTAAAGTGTAATCCGGGTCAAGTCATATCAAGTCATAACAAGCCTGTTTAAATAAATACAGCCATACATGGGTTACATCGATGTGCCAGTTAGACATGTGACCACAGCCGCAAATCAACGATAATCAGCTTAACAAGTCAAACGATTTCCAGACCTCAACTAAAAACTTTGATAAAGAAGTTATGGAAACTTCCGCTTACATGAATTTTTTTGCATTTTTAACCTTCTGCTAGTTTCAAACATGGTATCATTGTGTGCCTTAAAAGTTTGGCTACTAGAATGTAAAGAAATCTTTTATGCATAAAATAATTTTTAATCACCAGTTTGGATTCCAAAAAAACAAATCAACCTCTCTTGCCATACTCGACGTCTGTACACAGTTAGTAAATGCTGTTGAAAACAAACAGTTTTCAACTTGTATCTTTCTAGATTTTGCTAAAGCTTTTGATACTGTTGACCACAATATACTAATCTAAAAGCTTGAATATTATGGAGTAAGAGGCATAACCCTAAATTGGTTTAAATCTTACCTAACAAACCGATCACAAAAAGTATGCATAAATGGCACTCTATCAGAATCCTGCAATATAAAATTTGGAGTCCCACAAGGCAGTGTCCTTGGGCCCTTGCTTTTTCTTCTATATATTAACGATATGCCGTTTTCGTCAAACATCCTAAAATTTCACCTCTTTGCTGATGATACTAGTATCTTCTTCTCGCATAAGAATCTAAGTCAATTAGAATTCATCGTAAACGATGAGCTCAGCAAAGTTTCAGACTGGTTAGTAGCCAATAAACTGACCTTAAATGTTGATAAATCAAACTTCCTCATAATCTCTCCCTCGATAAAAAATAAAACAAATGAAATAAAATTAGCAATTAATAACAAATCAATTGCTCAAAAGGATTGTATAAAATACCTTGGTGTACTCTTAGATAAGGACATTAGCTGGAAACAACACATTCAACAGGTAAATCTAAAAATTTCTAAAGGCATTGGAATACTAGCTAAGGCTAGGCATTATGTTCCTCCACAAATCTTAAGGAACTTATACTTTTCTTTTATCGAGCCTCACGTCAACTATGCTTTAATTAACTGGGGGAGTGCAAATCTGTCCTCCCTAAAACCTATGGGCCGAAATCTAAACAAAGCTCTACGAATAATGAACTTTGCTAAAAACACAGCAAGCTCCAAACCAATTTACCATAAATTTGATATATTAAACCTCAATGATAGTTACACCCTGCAATGTGCAAAGTTTATGTATGACGTAAACACAGGCACGCAAATGGATTTTCTTTGTCAGCTCTTCCAAAAAACAACATCAAGACATAGCTATGATACACGGCAAGCTGCAAAACAAAATTTTGCTATCCCCAAAGCAAGAACTAACCTTAAAAAGAGATTCATTACGTTCAATGGAGTTAAAATCTGGAACGAAATCTGGAACGAAATCCCACTTAATATTCGCTCTAAACCAGTCAAAAGACTCTTCCAAAAACATCTCCGAAATTGGCTTCTGCAAAAATATTTATAAAACCCAAATGCACTTACTTTAAACCAACCCGAATATCTCATTCTTCGATTTCTAAACTGAAAACGAACAGAACTCTCGTGTCACCCCCCCCCCTTCGTTTATATCCTTGTTCTCTCCTCTTGCCCCTTTGTATTTTGTTCTTTTTTTCTTAATATCTGTATCTTAATCTTAATATGTTTCTATTCTTCTTCTGTTATATGTTAAATTCAAATCAAAATTATTAGTAATTAGTTTCTACTTGTAATTAACTTTTACTTGTTCCATTGTTACTGTTATACTGCATGATTAACTATTACCAACTTAGGGCGCTAGGCTCGAAAACCGTTTCGGTTCCTCCCAGCGTCCTAGGCAACTTATTTGTTATTAGCTAAAATAGATGTCATATATTCTGTATTAACTACTATAATAATTAATTTAAGTACCCTGTAATTAGTTGCTGAATGCCAATGAATTTGAATTTGAATTTGAATTTGAAATCAAAAGGATGTTTTCTTCCAGAAAACGTCTACCGTAACCTTAAAATTTAATAGAAAGCAGACGATGTACAAAAAGATGCAGAAAAGACTGGCGCCTTTTTCAATTCGTGACGTAATTCCACATGCACAGTAGAAAAGTTACCCGGACTCAATCCCCTATCGCAGTCAGTCTTGGTTGATTCATCCCGGGTTGAGTCATCCCGGGTTAAAATTACTGCGTTGAAATCCCTAATATAGATCTTACGTAGATCTAGCGATAAAAAATTTGGCAAAAGTTCAAATTTCACTGTATTTTCATAGATGTTATTTTTCATATTTGTAATAAGATGTATAAATTCAATTCTATCTGAAAAATTTGACATTTTAAAGGTATGATTTGCTTACCTGGTCATGTTCAAAACATCTGCGTTGTCCACTGTTGTTTCCTTAAACACGGGGCAAAATTCTATCGAAAAGACACGAAATAAGTTTTAAAAAGTTGGCGATGCTCAAGGTTAAGGTAAACGATTTTGTCATAATGTTTGGTTTTCTCTCCCTAAGAGCCAAACTATCAAAGGAATCGGATTAAACATACATAATTCGATGCACAAGAATGTGGTGATTCCAACCATATTAAAATAATTGGCAATTATTGTGGTACTTTCCAGGCAGATTTATTGCTCAAATGAATGTTCTGACTCGCATAAGCAGAAAGCGCAAATCACTCTATAAATTTTATAGCCAAATATAAGTGCAAGATTGTAAAACAATTGATTACCAATTTTTCCAGGGAAAATCCCCAGAAATTCTTTTGTTTTAGGGAAAATCTCGTACGCTATTTGCAAGAGTGACTACTCTCGACTTATCTGAAAAATGTGTGCAAGACACTGTGGTAAAGAAAATTTTCTCTTTACCAGCACCCATCTTGTTTTCTTAATAATTAAACCACAATTTGTTGCAAAAAACGCGCCAAACGTGGGGTTGAGGCCACATGGATTGTAACTGAGGTTGCGGAGCAAGTTGATACCGGATTTGAGCGTTTACACCAGCACTTTACCCAATCCGATATATATCGGATTGGTTCCATACCACTTTCGTAGCGGAGTGATTTCACATCGGATTGGGGCCTCATCGTGTAAGCAGAAGGCCTAGCTGGTATGACACGAATCCGATATGAAGTGAATCCGGTATCGTGTAAACGGGGCCTTAAAAGGAAGGGGTATAATTATTTCGAAAGTGCAGCAATCCGTTTCTATTTTATTTTTGAGAGCTAATCTGTTGGTGGAATGTGCCTTTGAAATATGTGGCAACAGCAAACTTCAGTGCTAATAGAGTACAGACATCAATGTTTGAAAATAAATCAGTAAGACCTTGAGCAAATATAGAAAATACTCACCAGAGTTGAATCTTTACATCCATTTACAACGAAAGTCTGTCAAGTTGGCTGTTGTGCCCAACAAAACTAAAACAGCTTTCGTGCCAGCTCAGTTGAAAATTTCAAAACTTGGTTCCCCTTGGTCTAACTATTCTATGGCACTTGTTTGAAATTGATTTGAAAGCTCGCTTTTAAAACATCTAGGGAATTAAACTCCCAGTGAGAAACGCAGAAAGGTCTAATGGGAGTTAATTATTTTAATGCACACAAGGGAAACTGGGGCAGAAACCGTACGATCTTAGCAATAAAAAACATGACATTTACTGCTAAATGTTTTGCATGAATGGCATAGGCTGTTTTTTGGCATTCAATGGCGTATTTTTGGCATTCGATGGCATGTTTGAACCCTATCCAGATTGGTGGGCTCATTCAGATCCCCCCCCCCCATCAACTAAATATAACAATACTACAATTCGGTATATTGAAATATGGTGGCTGTTTTTTCACAGTGGTCAGGACCATCTTTTTGTTGTTTATGCCTATGCAAATGTACGCCGATGCAAGTTAGGAGAGAGGGAAATATGAGACACAAAACAAAGGTTCTGCAAAAGCTCTTATTTCGCTAGGCTGGGAACTAGAGTAATTATTAAAAAATCAAAATAACTGTTGAAAATAAACTATTTCTAATATTAAATCGAGTCATGGTTCAACTTTCATGGCCTAGAATATTATAGGATTTGAGTTGGAAGAGCCATTGTGGCTATTTTTTGTACAACGATTAGAAAAGCTCAAAGAAGTTAATGATTAGCCTGAGAGCGAAACAGGTTCAAGGGCTTTGGATAATCCTGTGCAAGATGGCCAGTCCACTCCACGTGCAGAATGGTTTTCTACGAGTGTTCGGATCAAAACGCACCAATAATAATCTTCAACATGAAATTGACCAATCAAAATGTATCTATCACGTGTGTTTCGATCAAGGGCCTAAGTTTGAAATAAAAGCCACAAGAACAACACATTGTCCAACTCTACCATTAGGAAACTGGTACTCTAGCGTGGAGGTCAAAATCAAAACACAAAATGTCGGACGCACCAGCTAAAGGAGGGAAGATAGCCCCAAAGGTTGCAAAGAAAGGAGAGAAAAAGGCAGGAGTTGGAAAAAAGGCTGGGAAACCTGGTGGAAGTGGCAAAAGGTCAAGGAAGCGCAAGGAAAGTTATTCCATCTACATTTACAAAGTGCTCAAGCAAGTGCATCCCGACACTGGGATCTCCAGCAAGGCCATGGGTATCATGAATTCCTTCGTCAATGATATTTTCGAAAGGATCGCGCAAGAAGCATCTCGCCTTGCCCATTACAACAAGAAAGCCACGATAACCTCGCGAGAAATTCAGACTGCGGTCAGGCTTTTGCTTCCAGGAGAGCTCGCTAAGCACGCCGTGAGCGAAGGCACGAAAGCAGTGACAAAGTACACAAGCAGCAAGTAGGCCGAGAAGCCAAAGTTTGGAGAAGGCTACGTGAGCTGGATTTTAAGCGAACAAGATGAAGTTTTTGAAGCTGCAGGACAAACGAGGGAATTTAACCTTGTTTCAGCAAGTGATGTTTTTTTCCGAGAAAGTCTTTTTGGTGCCGGGTCTCAGTGTACTGTACAAGTAAATTGTACTTTAAGAACAGCAAAGTATTTAAGTCATTCTGCCATTTGTACTTCGTAATACAAGATCTGCAGGAAACGTCCCCTATTTCCTGAATTCACCCTGAAAACTTGTGATCACCCCGCTATAAGCTCGAATGTACAAACGATAGCAATTAACCTCGATGTAGGCTTATTTTAAAACTCATTATTTTATGTTGATGGTTGCCACTTGAGTGTAAACTCGCTAAATTCTGTATAATTTTTTTAAAATCGTTTTAACTAGGTTATGTTGGAATATATACTAAGACTTCACTTGTCTGCATTTCTGAGTCCATCTTTTTACAATTTGTGAAATAAAGACTGATTATTTAAGATATGGATCCCTGTGGATAATATGATGTCAGAACCTCACAGGGAAGCCACTTCCAAGGAAATTCTTGTTGCTGGATGTGGGAAAAAAAGGAAATTGAAACTGAACAGAAGTAGATCAATGTTTGTGAAAAAAAAAACATTTCTTTAAGGGTTGGATATATCAGAATCTCTTGTCAGTTGAGATCCATTAAATAATTTGTAACTAAATATATTTGCCCAGTAATTTCTCATGGGGCTGAGGTGCCACTCTGATAATTTTGTCCTTGGTCAGTAAACAAAACAGAAATAGAAAACAATTTATAAATTGTTGACAATTATTTAATGTCAAAAGATATTCCATGCTACACATGTTAATATGCACTCAACAAAAAATTAACTACTAGGATCTGCATTTGCACTACCATCAGCTGTTTTATTGTCATCAGGTCTCATGGCAGGAAAGAAAAGGACTTCCTACAATTGAACAAAGAATATGTTACCAAATGTGCAGAACAAATAAGAATGAGGAAGAAACTTAAACATTTCTGACAAGAAAAGGGTTAAATAATCAACTTGGTATCTAGGCTTGACTTAAAAGCCATTTGGCCTTGAATGTAATATTAAAGTTCAAACCAGGTAGAATTTTTGTTCAAAACACATTTGATATCACCAAATAATGTACTTATGGAAATATACCTTGATGTTGTTAGAATCAGTGAGAAACATGGACACTCTGTCGATGCCCATACCCCATCCACCTGTAGGGGGTAAACCATACTCCAAAGCCACACAGAACCCTTCATCTACTTGTTGTGCCTCATCATCACCAGCAGCTTTGTCCTACCAAAAATATTTCAAACAACATTAAAGGGCTAAGAAAGAAAGTGACTTCAAAACTTCCATTTCAGATGTTGAGTTCCAAAACAATCATGATTCATTTTTTTACCTTATTTGTAAAGTCCTTTTCAGGGAAGCTCTCTGGTTGCCCCTCGCTTTTGATATCCCTGGGTGACATGCTATTTATACAAAAAGTGCATTTAGATGTTTGTGCTACCTGCTTTTAGAGTGAGAAAATACACTTATCAATAATTAGGAAAAAGGTGATGACAAAAGTAGAAGAGTGAATGAGTATCCCTGTAGGAATCTCTTAACTTTTTATAATGCTTCACCTTCTTTTTTGAAAAAATAACCAATGCTGTCTTAAACATTACAAGCTTTTCATCAGAAAATTATATTCAGCGAATTAGATAGCCTCACCTTACACTGTTGTGAAAACATCTCTCTTTGCACAGCAGGATCATTCAACTCAGTGTAAGCATTGCAAATTTCTTTATAACAAACAAACAATTCAAACCGCTCTGTTAACCCTTTCACATCTCTGTGCCTGTTTACAAAGAGATATCTTTGATGGCAGTTTGATGCAATATTAAATTTTCAGCTTTAAAAGTATTATAGGAACAACTAAACTGAGATAAAATGAAAGCAACTGTTTTGGGTAGCATTGGGGAAAGCTACTTGTTCAAATACTTCTTGAGTTCTTGAAATGCTGGAATAAGTTTTGTAGCCTCAAATAATAGAAAATTTTGAAAAAAATTGATTTACAGACGATCTAAAACAGGAAAAGAAGTGAGACCACTCAATAGAATTCTTTATACCAACTGAATAGGTACATTCACACAAATATGTAATAATAAATTATTAATAAATTTCTCAGTCTTCATGTGAAGGTAGCAAAGGATTCATGTGAAGTATAGAAAAATACTTTTTAGGCTTTATCCCAAAAAATTCTTGATTGGAATTATATAACCCCACTTAAACAACTGCATCCTAAAAATACAAGAGTAACTTACAAGGGGAGCTTTCCAAATATGACTCCAATCTACATCAACTTGTTGTTATGGAAGAGGTTACAAAAGTATCAAACAAATCTTTAAAAATAAAAAAGTTCTGTTAAAATCTTCCTGGCAAAGTCTGAAACCAAGCTTACCATTTAGCTAGAGGACTCATAATTTGTGGATGATCACAAATGAATGTTGGGTTCAAACACTGTGATTCTAAAAACTCTCCAACAAGCTAAAATAACAAAATCAAAAATTTCTGTAAGTATAACTCAGCATTTACTAATATACTTGCCAACATGCAGACTAAATGTCTATTTGCCATCCAGTAAGAAAATAATAGTTTTACAACCAACCAAGCATCATAATACCAGGGCTCAATCATGTTTATGTTTATACTTCTGGGTTCGTTTTCTGCAGTGTTATGAAACTTGGACTTGCCCCAGTCTATCTGGACTGAGCATTTTGCTAGAGCTTTCATGGTGTTAACAGGGCATTGCTAATGTCCCTTGTTGCAACCACTGATCTATGAAGTGCTCTTAAAATTTGAAAGTGCCTTTCAAATGTGAAAAGTCCCTTTTGAAATTTTAAAACATGCCCTTTGCTACCTGAAGAAAACCTTTGGTACTTTAGTAAAAGCTCAGAGAGCATGCTCTTCTTTTTATTTGCTATGAAACAAGCAGATTTTTCTCACATTCTATGTTACCTTGCCAGCACCCCCTTTCCTCTCCCTGTCTCTTGTTGGGCAGGGTATATATTCAAAGAAAGGTGGAAGAAGCTTTCACCATTTCAATATAGGTGCATGTTGCCATGAGATCAAATAGCCTTAAGGCTACTAGGGTGCCTCATAAAGTATCAAATTTCATTTTAAAAATAGAGTTGTCAAACAAAACTAAAGTATGCCTAAAAAATAGTAAATTTAATGTCTTGAGCAATTGGAATAAAATGACTGCAAAAAATATTCTAAAATGTATTTGGAGCTAATCTAAAGGGCATGGTTGCAAAAAATTTCCCCCACTGCGCTTGCAGGGGCCCACTTTGCTTGAGGTGGGGCTTTCTACTTATGTTAAGGGCTCTCTTACTTTTGAAATTGAGCAGGCTTCAAACTTTGGTGTTTCAAGTCAATACAAAGCTTGACCTTGTCTTTTTATAGATCAGTGGTCGCAGCTCAGATGGGAAACAGATAGTACTATACCAATCCCTGCTTCTTTTTTCCTCTGTGTTAACTTTAGTTTTAGAGCATTATGCATACACGGATAATTACCTGCTTAGATGAAAGTTCAAATAACCATTACCTTGTCTAAAAGTCTAGCTGTAGTTCGTGGATATGTGCACTCAACATTATTCTTCACACATAGTGCATCAAAGTATTTATTAGCCTCTGTTAATGAAGAGAGATCATAAAATGAAAATCAGAAGCAAACATAATAGAAAAAGAAAAGTAATTTTTTACTAGATGCCTGGAATTAAAATTTCCCGCTGTCACCTTACATAATTCAAGATTCAAATAATTAAATACCAGCTTTAAGTTAATTCTTCTTCAATTTTAAGACCACAGGATAAGTAATGTTGATGCTTTGCATATATTGTGAAGTGATGGGTATGAAAACAGCTTTAAAATTTTATGATAAGGATAAAATGGCTTATATCTGAGCTTAGAACAATCCCGAAGAAACAATTAAGCCCTGGAGATCACGCTGTGGTAATGACAATATGATGATTGTATAAAAACACACAAGCTCCTCTGAGCACTATCCCTTCTCTAAAGCTAATTTAGACCCTCTAATTCATGTTTATAAATTATTTGTCTGTAAATTATTTCGTGTTTTTTTGAGTTGTCTGTTTGGAACACTGAGGCCAAATCATGCAACTTTTTCTTAATTTCTACCCATACTGAAAACCATTGGCTGTAAATTTACTTTTAATTCATCTTTGTGGTTTCATATTGATGGTTTTTACTACATTTAAAACAGGACCGGGGTAATGAACTGAAAACTTTCTAAATCAAATTTTCAAATTCAAATGAAGAAAAGCAAAATGACTCAAAAAAATCTAAAGGCAGATTCTCACCTGGGCTTGATAAGTCAAAATCTGGGAAAGTGACATTTAGAGCCTTTTGCAACTCTTTCAGCATGTTTAGCCTTCTAAATGGAGGAGTGAAGTCAATTTCTACCGCCTTGCCTTTGTCACTGTCAGTTGCTTCAGGATGATATGTTATTTTGTACCCTCCAGTTATCGATTTAACCATACCTGAAAAAGTAATTTCCAATTCCTTGATTGTCTGCTTACATCATTCTGCATGAATATCCACAGAAAAGCTGCTTAAAAATGTTGCTTATAAAGTATTTGTGGCTAAAGTGCAGTAAGGTACACTTGAAATTTTCTAATTTCTTATGTTGCAAACTTTGGCATTTAAAAAAACATCTGAATTTATTTAGTCACAGGAGGAAAAAAAGAAGAGAAGATTACATTAGAGTTGTATATGCAAGCATGATAGTGATTTCAAATAGTCGGTACTGAAATTTTAAGTTCACACGTCAATAGCTTGTTTGCGGAAAGAATCCCCTTCTATCTCTCCCCTAAGGACTTTAGAATAGCTGTACTGTAGTGAAGACTTTTCATCTACTTGATGCCAAGCTTATGATTTAGCTAGAATTGATATCATTAGCAATCTTGTGTTACGTTTGACAATATTTTTCATACTTCTTGTACACTATCCATTTTATCTTAGTTGATTTGTTCACCTGTTTGTCATGCACACGTTTTATTCGCAAAATGGTAAACTGACCAGTACTACTGTACAAAAGACTCTTACAAGTAAATCAAATTAGGTACTAAATAAATGTTATTTTGGTTGAATAAAATGAATTAGAAAATAACTCATTTCATATGACCATTGGAAAGTTAGCTTACAAAGAGAAAATTAAATACAATTTTGAATAATTTTCTTCAAAATAGAACGAAAAGTAGAAATATTACAATTAAATTCAAGCCCCTTTTTCAATGGACCATTCTTAAAGAAATATACAGGGGCAAAATAACCAATGTTACAAAATTTGATATATCTAGGAGCCAAGGAATGGTGGCTCACTGAGACTTGGGAAATTTCTGGTAGGCCCCTTAAAACCTTTCATAGGCCCCTTGGATTTTCTTATTTTTAAGCTTTTCTTGTTTGCACCATCAGATTTCTGAGAAAAAACAAGTGAAGAAGGGCCCCAAGCTGCTTTCATGACACTAACTTTCTTCATTTTCCTGGAATCTTTCATTTTTTTACATTCTTTGATTTTGATTTTTTTTAATCTTTGTTTTTTACAAACCAAAGACTGCTAGTCCCACAGATAGCTGAAGAGTTCAATTTACAAAAATGAATCTTTCTGCAATGAAAGAAACTGAGCAATATCCTTGCTACAAAATTTTCTTTTTTTAGGTTAGGGAAGCATGGTTTAGGAATTATGTGAGCTCAGTAAATGTAGGATGGCACCTGGAATTTATGCTAAAAAATTATCTATTTTGGACGTAATATTGTGTTTTCAACTCCAAAATTCGTAAAAAGATGGGGAACAACGGAAATATAGATTAACAGAAACATTCCCCAGACCACTTTGGACATCCTTACAAAACAAGATATATATAATATTCCATCCTTGAATTTTAAAAGGACTTTTAAATGCCCTTTGTTTATCCAGTAAGACTTCTTCAACACAAACCCTGGGACTTAACATTGAATATTTCTTTTGTCAAATAATACTTCAGATTTTCAGATTAACAATATTTTAATTTCGTTTTCAAAAAATTTTAGTAAACAGATGCTCCATAATTAAGAAGATCACATTTTTTCCAAATACTTTTCACCATCAAAAAAGTTACTGTTCGATTCCTATTTAAACAGAATCTCTCAGTGCCGAATCTGAAACCCAAAACCTGGAATGTGAGATATCAGCAACAGTTCGCTCACTTTCATCCAACAGACAAAAAGCAGCAAGCGCTAATTAAATTTCCTCATTTTATGGATAAAATGAGAAAAGTATTCACAATGCTACTTAAGTAGCTTCTACACACCCTTTCTTTCAATAGGACAACATTGAAATACACAGCGTAGAATTTTGCAACGATAAGATTTGAAGCTTTAAGTTTTCTAGTGCTTTTAGAAAGTTCACCATGAGCAAACTATCAGTAAACTATGAAACAAGCCATATCTAATGCTTGTTGCTTTTATGAAAACGTTTGTGTCGTACATAGGCCGCCTGTCAATAGTAGAAGCAAGTCAGACCAGCGAGGAACCATAAAATCTAGATACTGACTCGTAGAACGCAAATACTTGAGTGAAATTAGTTTGCTTTAGGTTTAAGTCATATTGATTCTGAAAGAATTCTGAAAGTGGCTAACAAGCTTGGTGTTCACGGTCCCCTACTGATTATAGGAGTGGGCCATCCTTTATACTTCCTACTTTTTAGAGTGCAATTCTTTTCGAGTATTTGGTTCAGCGTTAATTGTTGTTTAAGGAGCGGATAAACTTCGTGTTAGCTAGATGAATATAAAAGTTTCCAGCAAGATCTTGTAACTCTAGAAAATTGATGCAATTCAAACACAGAAAAAATATTTATTCTGGCGATTTCAGGAACTGAAGAATAAGTAGAGATCCTTTGCTATACCATGAAGTTGAGAACATAAGGTGCGACGATAATCATGTCAATCTATAAAGTTTTATTTCGACGGTTAACAATTTGTTAAAGCAGCGACCATCTACACAAAGAGGGTTGCAAACCTGTCACAAAATATCGACGTGATTCTGAAAATGCTTACATTTGACCACTGTAACATGAACTTTATCACAAACACAATTCTTTACATGACACAGCTCCGAAACTTGATGACTTACTGCATTACTTCAAGAATTTCTCGCCAGAAATTATGAAAAGTATAAATATATAGGTATGAAGGAAAACGACAAAAGTGGTATTTTTGAGAAGGAATCAATTGAGATAAATAGCTGTTCTTTGCTCCATTTTATGGGGAGCACCTGCGAGAGATCAGGTAACGATTTGGTTTTGGAAGTCTGTGACAAAATTATCACAAATTTTAGAAAACTATCACGTATAGCTACTTTATCAATTATAGCTAAATTCAGAGAAGCTTTTCATAGTTATCATTTTCTGCTAATAAATATCCTTTTTTCTTGCAATTCAAAGAACGAAAATACTGTAATCACTTGTTGCAAAAGCTGCAATTGACAAGAAGAATCGGGGACCGCGGAAGCGGGGGGCTGAGGGGGATTAGTCCCTATAGTAACTTTCAATATGGTCTTGAAACCATACAAAAGTACCCTTGATCTTGGTTTTTAGCCTGTTCAGCCCCCTCCCCAAAGACGTTTAAGTCCCTTCAATCTGTCATATGTATCGCGGTTCTTGAATAAAATTTGACCATAATCTTTCGCCAATTTTACACAATTTATTGGCATTAGAAAAATATTGAGGAATAGGGTGTAAACGTGGTAGCATTCATTAAAAGAAAAAACAAATCTAGTGACCTGTCATTGTGGTACTGCTTGACAGTTCATGCAGCCTGTTCATCTAAAATCTTTAGTCTATGACTGGCAATTATAAAAAATTGCTTTACTCATACTAATACGGACATCGGACAGGTGCATGCACCGGGTACATGCTTCTATTCCAATATAGTGACTTTTCTAAGATTTTTGGAAATGTGCTTTTATATCTAAGACATAGTGTCCTTTTCTACATGTGCCCAAAAGACTTTGAAAAGCTTCTAACGCCCCTGGATGCTACTTATAATGCTGAGCAGAGTTTTGAATATGACTACATACGAAATGCAGTACGAACCAAAACCGACAAAAAGCTAGATTGCTTACCTGAAACCATAGTCTCTGTGATCTGCATTAGGTCATTGTAGTCCGCGTAGGCCATGTAAAATTCGCAGGTTGTGAACTCAGGGTTATGAGTCATATCAATACCTGAAAAATCAATTTCAATGGGTCTGCAATATGGATGCCTAGAATAAACCTATCTAAGGAAAACAAAATATCTATATGAATAAGCCAGAAAGTCATGAAGAGGAAATGACAAGGCGAGTGAGGTTGACTCCTAGTTAGTCCAAATGAAAAACAGACTCTCCTGAAAATGAAAAAATGGATTTTGTACTCATTCATACAGAAATTAGAACTTGCATATGAAAAGACAACTTAGGCGAACCGATTTCATGGAAGACTAAGGCTGTCGGCTAACTATACAGGAAATTTCATTTTTCCAAACTGCGCAAGTAAATAAAGGGAATTTTAGCTACAGGAAATCTGCTATATTCAACTTACAGTCATTAAGAAAAGAAACTTACCTTCGTTCCTAAATTGTCTCCCAATTTCATAAACTCTATCTATACCACCAACAACCAGCATCTAAAAAAACAGATTCAAAATGCAAGATATTCGAACTAATTAAGTATTTTCACTGCACATTCTAAACAAAGAGAGTATTAGATTTTTTGAAAATTTAGAAAAACGCGAGTCAATGACAAATAAGGAATGACAAACAGCAGAGCAATTTACTGGAAAACTTTATCTAATGAACAAAATTCTTGGTAAATACTTTATTGAACTAAGCTGGATCAGACTTTGCCATGCTCTCATTCAACTGTTTGAAGAAAGTAACAGCTAAGAAAAAGAAACTGAAAGAGACTAAACGCTGCCGTCGAAAAAGAGTCAGTTTTGATAAGTGCCACGGTTGTGTATTCGACCATTTGAGGTAATAACTAAAAACTGAATAGAGTTTACAAGTCCCCATGAATGCAATATACTGTGTTGTAAGAAAAAGAGGGGCTTTTAACTGCAGTGACGGTTCAAGGGAGGGGTTCAGTGGGCAAAGGCTTCAGGCCCTGCGCTTATGGGAGCCAGAAATGGCCACCACAAAATTGTAAAGAACAAGGGCCCCACTTTCTTTAGCCCCAGGCCCCGCAGTCCCTAAAACCGCCGCTGTTTAACTGTACCAACTAAGTATACCTTGAGGTACAACTCCGGTGCCACTCTCATGAACAGGTTCATGCTGAGGTCATTGTGGTGAGTTATGAACGGCTTGGCTGTTGCTCCTCCCGGAATCATGTTCATCATCGGCGTTTCAACCTGGAAATTTGAAGTTGATGGTGTGATAAAAGACGTAACATGCTCAATATTTTTGTAGCTATAACTATATGACAACCTGTCAATCAATATTAGCCAATCAATGAGCGTGCGTGTAGAATCACAATTACTTATTTTTTCATTGAAAGAAGACATAAACCCTTAGTACATGTTGATTGCCTTCTAAAGATATTTTGAGAATAGATTGCCCGAAAAACCGAAATCGATGATCACTTTCTAGGTAGACTTTTTTCTAAGAATGATTTTTTAACACAAAAATCACAAACATAAATACGTCCCATGAAACAAATAACTTTCAGAAAACAAAATCGAATCAGATCTGGGGTGATTTGATGTTGCGAAATCGGGGAACACAAATATGGTATAAGCTCCCAAAGTTTCTAAAACATACCAAATAAAAGGAAAATTTATCTAAATATGCCTAAACTTCAAGCTTCGGAAATGAAAAAGAAATGACACTTAATCCATCTTCTATATCATATTGTTCAAGACTAAAAAGTGTTTCTCAAGTCTCGTTTTGTTTGAAAAATTATTGCTACTTTTGGTCAAACATTCATCAGTACAAAATCAGTACATATCTAGGATAGTGTTAACCACAGTATTATCATAAATAAAAAATTTGTGCGACTGTAGTATACAAATTTAAATAGATTTAATTGATTTGAAATATAGATAAAGGGAAGGAATTATCATACAGTTTATAAAAACAACACAATAATGGGCGAAAGTTTGTAATAGGCTTCAGAGAAGGCCTGTACATTGTGGAAAAATCCCTTTTATGACTGAAAACTGGTTAGGAATCATCCATACAGATGGATTTCTACATTAGCCTAAACATAATAGCCAAAACAAAGCAACCTTCTTTGTAAGGGCTCCCCTAGAAACATTTATCAAACATTCAGCCTGTTTCTGGCCCCATTTTCTCTTCAATGTCTAGTTTTGTTAATCTTCATAAAAATAGCGAAAATAACTCGAATTGAGCAGCATTTCAAAAATAGCTTACCTCAAGAAAACCAAAACTATCCAGAAATCGTCTTACATAATTAATGACTTTGCTGCGGACGACAAACTTGTTCTTCACATGTTCGTTCAGAATCAGATCCAAGTATCTTTGTCTAAACCTTGTTTCCTAAGAACGCGAAATTTGAAGCTTATATTGACTTTGGCAGCGTAAAGACTAAAGAGTCAGACAAGATTTCTATAAATGCATTTTATAATAAATATAACAGGTCTTTAAAACTTTGTTTGAAAAGTTGGACATTTTCTTATGAATAAGCTAAATTCAAATGTGCCTAAACGATGATGACGATAACAATAAGACAATTATTTATACAAGCCTTCTCAGCATTACAAGTACTGTTATTATTTGGGGCCTTGTTTAGAAATTAAAGAAAAGTGAAGTCATAAATATGCAACGTAAAAAGTTTACAACGTCCTTGAATATTTATCTGGAACAAAGAGTCCTGTAGCTAGGCAGTGCAGATACGGTCTTCCTTAGGTCAATGCTTGAAAACAAACAATTTAATCTTCCAATGGCAATTAAAAGTTTAGTGAAACAAGATAGGCCTTGGAACAAGAGTGACTTTTTGCAATTTCTGTCCTAGACTAGAATTTATGATAAAAAATACTTTGAATAAATTGCATTTAAATAAGTAATGTCCTTATACGAGAAATGACAGGTATGGATATTTATGATCCATCAATCAAGATTAAAAACCCTTAGAAACAGGTTTAAAGTTTGCACGCTATGCTACTTGTATTCTTAGAAATCGAACTGCAGCTTCTCTGATAAAAAATTTGATAAATTTCTCGTGAAATAACTGCAGGAAAGAAAGAAAGAAAGAAAGAAAGAAAGAAAGAAAGAAAGAAAGAAAGAAAGAAAGAAAGAAAGAAAGAAAGAAAGAAAGAAGAAAGAAAGAAAGAAAGAAAGAAAGGAAGAAAGCAAGAAAGAAAGGAAGAAAGAAAGAAAGAAAGAAAGAAAGAAAGAAAGAAAGAAAGAAAGAAAGAAAGAAGAAAGAAAGAAAGAAAGAAAGAAAGGAAGAAAGCAAGAAAAGAAACATTCTGAAAGACCAACTAAAATATAAAGCTTCAGTATATAACGAAAGTTCTAGGTTACCTTGTCCTTGAGACCAAAGTGCAAGTGTGGCAACATATGGAGGCAAGGGGCAAGCAGTGTCACATGACTCGGCCGAATACTCAGCTCGCCTTTCTTTGATTTACCTGAAAAACAGCAACAAACAGTGTTCTAATTACACCTCCGAAAATATCAAAAGATTATAAAACTATTCTCATTAAACTAAATTTTGAAACACTGCTCGAAAAGGCACAATCAAATTGCTGTATATTTTAAATTAGTGCGATAAGATGGATTGGCTTTGTTGTACTATCTAGAAATTTAAATCTTGTTATAAATAATGGTTTTGACGACAGTTTTCGACCAGCATCAGTCCATCACTTGATGGATGTTTCGTATGGATGGCAAGACAAGACTAGATCTGAAGAATACTCGTACAAAATGACTGGACAGGTTAAGGTAGGAATCCATGCGAACACAAATATGTGTAGATGGTGCTGTATAAAGGTGATCAAAGTCAAAAAATTGTGATTGAAAACAGGGACATCAGGGTTGAAGCTTCAGGATATGAATTTTCTTTATTCAAGCTTCGAAGTTAAAGCTTCAGGATATGAATTTTTTGAAACAATTATCACTCTCTTTCATATTAACTTGTGCTCATGTTACGAAAATTAAAAAAAAATAAATGAAAACAATTATTATTTCAGTAAGATAAACGACTCTACCTGGACTTCCCTTTATACCAATAATGTCACCACGTCTGATCTTTCCGTGAACTTGGAAGAAATCCTGCTTTGAAGATCTTGGAAAAAAAATAAAGCAAAATTCATATACATATACCGGACTGTGAGCTGAGTTAATATAAACTGTATCGATACAGTTGAAAGATGGGTTAGAAGTTAATATTTACAAAGTTCTATATTGATTGTGACATTATTCAATCTAAAATTTATTGCCAGTGCCTCTTATTCCATTGACATGCACAGTTCAAATAGTTAGACAATGGTACATTACCTTCCCAGACAAAAAAGTAGGAAATTACATGAAAAATCACAAGAACTCATCCCATCCAAAAGAGAATGCAAATTTACAATGTCTTATGAAAAATATTCGATAAATTGTTGATAAATAAAGTTTTTCCCACCCTGCGTCAGCCATTACTTGAAGTTTCACTCCTTCGCCACGAAGATCGTAGAAGATCAATTTTTGACCTGATGCTCTTTTTGCGTGGATACGACCTGTCAGGTAAAATGTACAGCATTAATAAATTTCACACTCATTTTATGCCTTACTCTAGTGTCTCTAATAGACGCCCCCCGTGTAATAAATTCAGAAAAATTTGCCCTCCCCCCGTCGCTTATTAGCACTCCTCCTTCTATTAAATTTTTCAAATCAAGTCATTTGATTTTCATTATTCGTTGTTTTCCATAGTTTTTTGTAAAATCTCAACCGTACAAAGGAAACCGATGATTTTTGACTTGGAAGTAAAAGGCTGTAAATTTGATTTATCTTTATATGATTGCTATTTTCTCTAAAACTATGCAAGAAACTGAAACCAAATTTATATTTTACTGACTTTGGATTGTCATTTTGATCACAAGCACAAACTCTAGTGTTTTCTTACGTAAATTTTGAAATAACTGAAAGCTGCGAGCAGAGGGCGATGTACTGAAAAAATTAGAAGAGAGCATTTATCAACTTTCTAAACTTAAAGCAGCCCAACTTACACATTTCAATATGAAGACACAAAACTGAACTTTTCGCTTTCATTACTACAAATTTCAGCTTCAAAACTGCAAAGATTACCAGATGCAATATCAAAAATTGCAAAAAATCTCACTCAACAAATCTTTTCCAAAGCTGTAAAATGCTTGGTTACAAGTTTCAAAATTATGTACTGTATTGCAATCCTTTCTTTCAAAGTCACATTTTTTATCAAATATACCACACCAACTGCATCATTGCAATTTCTATATTCTTTGGAAAGAAGTGAGATTAATAAAGACATTTAAGCATTGCAATACAAAGGATATGAACCTACCTGCTACACTCACTACATCACTAAGAAACTCTCCGGGTTTTGTTATTGGGTCATATTTTTCAATGTAATTCTTCAAAGATAATGAAACATCAAACTTGTGTGGGTAAGGACTATCATCAGCTTTCTTTAGAGCATTGATGGCTTGACTTCGGATTTTGTAGTATTGCTAAAAGCAAATGAAAAATTCATTCCCTTTAAGTAGTCAAGTAGAAGGACTGTTTCTTATCTCATACAACTTGTTCTCGGAGTTTGACTAATAAAGCTGTTGTCTGTGATTTGAGCACATAATTTAGTTATCTTTGTTGTTCTTATCAATTTAGGTCCCTCGCAAAATGCAAATAAAATGATTAGTCTGTCTTTGGCATTTAGTAATTATTCCTTTCTCGATTTGGAACTTAGGGACTGATTATTTGATCAATTTTTTGTCTTTTACTCAAGCAATCTTTGTAATTGTGTCAGCTTACTTTGTCTACTGATATTAAAGAAACTGTTTCTCCCTATTATAAGAAGAAAGATCAGCCAAGTGGTAGATCTGGTGAATTCAGGCCTGGCAGTTTGAGGCAGGTGATCGTCTGCGTGCGCCTCAGTGCCCTCCTAGATCGCTCTAGATGGATAATTAATCACCCCTCTCTCCACCAATTTTAGTATTAACTGCTCGCTTTAGATTTTTATTGACATTTGTCACATTTGTCACATTTGTCACACTCGCTAAACACATTTGTCACATTTTCAGCTTCTATTTATTTGGGAGACCCAGCATCATATTACAAGCATTAATGTTAAGTCGGAAATTTGTTTTTTCCATGGTTTTTCAAGCCCCTGTCTTCTCGTATTCGAATATTTCAAAAATTGATCTGATAATTTTTTCTATCCCAAACTCATCCACTTGTTAAATTCTTTTAAACATTGAAAAAGAACATCAACTTCTTTTCTTGTCAGGAATGTTCATGTGAGATAGGCATTTTCAATGTGAGATAAGCATAACCCAGCGAGATAAGCATTTTCAAATGGCACTTTCCCCCCTCCACATGGAAGTGTCTTAACAGCGTTTTCTGAAAGTCCAAAATGTAAGGAGTTTTCAGAAGATCTTTGAGAGAAGTTTTGTTAGTTAAAGTTACGTGTTTATCTTGTCTTGGGCTGTAAAACATGGCTTAGTTTTATGAATAAGTGAACCAAATTCGAGTAAGAGGATTAATTTATAATTACGCAGCACAGTAGATAGAACTTGGTATTCATTTTTTCCGTTTCTGCAATAGGTAATTTCCTTCTTTGTTTTTAAGACCGTTTTCTTTCCAATAGGTGTATAAATGTTTCCAGAGATTTTATTGGCAAATTTTACTGTATGTTAAAATCGCCTGCCTGACTCCAACAACAAGAGTGATTAACCACCTCCATACCAAAACTTTTATGGCCAGGCCTGTGAATTGATATAACAAGTATTTTTTTCAGCTCATAAACCAAGCCTGCCAAGGTGACTTAGTCAAGTCAGGTCAGTTGTGTTGCTAAAAATTAGTGATTTAAATCATATGTCACAGTCTATTTGAATTCATTGGACAAAGTAAGCTGGCCTAGCAACTGCAAAAATTGCTTAATGATTGCACTATGTGTGAAACTTGGAGTAGCAACTCAGAACCACCCTTAGAACCAACACATAAAACAATAGCTCATCTGTTTCGACATTGAATTCTCTCCCACACCGTCATATGATTGTATCAAATTGAAAGTATAACAAATTTCAAAAAATAAGATTTAGACAAACTTGATCACAAAAAATTGTTTTTGAAAACAGAGAATCAAGTTGTCTCTGCAACTTTAGTTATCAGCCATTCCATAGAAATGACACATATTGATGAAAAAAAATATTTTGGAATTTGAATGTGAAAAGTTGCTTTTTAAGTGGTAAAATACCTTGCTTAAGCATATTTATGATTTCATTTCCCGAAAATTGCTGATAATGGGCGTGGCTATGGTTATACCTGACCTTACTATTGCTAAAGGTCATTGACAGACACTTGTACCATTTTAAGAAAAAAGCTCTCATTATTGACATAAATGAGATTTTGTGGTTATTTTCATGTTTGTTAATTCCTTTTATATGAGAGAATGTCTATGCAGTCAAAAAAAAATTTTTAAGTAATGAATAATTATGTAATGCCACACTGAAAAGACCCTCTCTGAATGGTCACACGAGTCACACTTTTCATAATAAAAGTACTCTCATTTTTCTCCCTTTAATTCTTGTTTCATTAATTGGAGCATAGTTTGGCTTTCAAATGAAAGTCCATGCTGACCTAGAAACTGAAATTGATCAGCCCAGTAATTTTCACAAAAAATCACCCTCAAGTTTTGTCACGCGAGTCACAATACATCAGTCACATTAGACTAATGGGTTGGATTTAGGTCTAGACAATGTCAAGGAATTAATTTCTTTATTTGGGTACCATATATCAGTTATAGACATGAATAATACTCAATGATATGGGAGAATACTAGTTTCTCATGCAAATGAGGCTGTAAATCTCTTTTCCATGTTGGTACCCAGTGCCAATGAAGTTGAGAAAATACTAGAAAGCTATTAAGGTGGAGACATATCATTTCCCAAATTGATTGAGCCCAATATAGGTCATTGGTATGCTGTTTACTGGGAGCCAACAGACTATTGGTTCCTGGTGCATGTAGTGAGAATTGACTCAAATGATGATGTCACAATGGAATTCCTACATCAGACTTCAGCTGATGCAAACAATTTCAAGATAAAAAATGATATTGAGTCTGTCTCTGTTTCTGATATCATTGTAAAAGTTGATGCCCCTATGCCAGTCTCATCATCAAGGTGCTCAAATGTAAAGTTGACAGAGCAAGACTTTGCAAAAATAAAGGAAGCCTTTGATAAGTTTCATGAAAACTGAAAAATAATTTTTAAAATACCAGATATGCCAAGCTATTGATTTGATGGCCTTTATGTATCATTTAGTTCTGTGAAAAAGTTCTGATTTTTATGTTACACTTCCAGACACTGATTTAAGCTGGGTTTCCTTTAGTTAACTCTCACTTGTCACGCGAGTCACATTTGTGGGTCACACGAGTCACATTGCATTGGTCTTTTTATTTCAAAAAGCAAATATACCTCAATTGAAATTTTCTACTTATATGGTGACTCAATGAGTAGGGGCAATCTTTTTAAAAGCTTCTTCATAAAGGCTTTAAAATTTCTCAGATAAAGTAAGATAGGCAACTGCAAGTAAAGACTTTCAAAATGTGATGGTCACACGAGTCACACCAGATGAACAAAAAAATTGCAGAGGTGAGCAAGTTTTTTTGGAACAAAACATTGCCAAGATAAAGAATGGCTCAAGGGGATTCTATTATTGTATCACTAGCTTTGGAAAATAATTCTGACTTTACTAGACAACTAAATATGTGTGTGACTCTGTCACGCGAGTCACTATGGAATGGCTGTTATGGTTCTAGTTCTTAACAAGCGTCAACATAGAGCAAAAAGCATTTGCTTTATTGGATTGTGCTGAAAATAACTGTATCCTCATGACATAGGGCTTTGCTTACAGGTACTTACATGTCGGTCCCATTAAATGTTGATTACCATTAAAACTCTTATTGGTTGGACTTTACAATAGAAATTTTTTACAATTTCTAATTGACAAAGCATGGCTAATTTTAAATGTTTATTTAATTACAAGCACCCAGCAGAGAAAAGCTTATCTTCGTTCCTAACTGGTTGAATGATGGGGAAGAGTGACTTTAAGCCATGCAAAATGGTATTAAAAGAGACCATTCTGAGCTATCTCCAACAAAATTTATGGTTGGTGCAAATTATATTAGCTTACGTTAGGATCCAAGTTTTCTTCAGCATCTTCATTACTTTTCACTTTTGCAGGTTTATCAGTGACCTAGAAAAAAAGTTTCTAAAAATTAAGAACAGGCAGCAATATTAAAGCTTCATGTAAAAAAGAAACTCACCAAGTAAACAATGCCTATCAGGCCCTGAACTGAGAGGCACTCAATCGAGTGCAAGCACCTCCCCACTTGCCTCAGAAAATTTACCAGCTTGATTGTTAGAGCACCTAGCTGATCATTACACAACTTCTCTTGTTTATTTGTGAATTTTCAAATTTACTTAATATAAATAATCAATCAACATTTTTCCTTGTATCTCTGTTAAACAATAATAAACTTAATGTTGAAATTGCAAAGTTTTCACGGGCTTCGCAAATCCCAAGTAATATTCAGATCACATTAAGAAGCGCACATTTAAGAAAACATGTTCAAAAGGAACAAATAATATAGGTGCTTGATCAAGGGCCTAACTGAATGAAGGAGCTCGATTACTCTGGCACCTAACTTTTGCTCATTTCCGATTGGTACAAACCAGGGCCTCTGACAATGGTGAGGGGAAATGACCTCCAAACTTTCACAAAATAAAGAATCTTGGGAGTGGAATTGCAAAATAGAGTCAAATTTCTTGCTGCTAGTTCCTAATTTGCTGCTCCACACTCTAACTTTCAGACTAGTATCTGAAACCATTTGCAGAAGATTAGTTCTAAGAACCAGCCACAGGATTTCTATTTGATTGCAATGATACTTTGTGCACAGAAGCATCATTGCAATCAAATTCATATTCAACATTTTTCAACTTCAATAACTTCATAAAATTATGGATTAAGTTTAAAAGACCCACTGTCTGGCATCAAATCAAAATATTGGTTAGCATTTTTAACTGTGGTAAACTTGTAAAACACCTTATTTTTAGGACCAATAATTCAGAAATCATTCAGAAAGTAATTTTAAAGAAAGTTTATTGAAAACAAATTGTTTCAAATAGTTTGAATTCCTGAAAAAGTATATCAAAAAAATTATGAGCTATTTATTATGAGCTATGTATCGTGGGCTCTGTATTCTGGGCTTTGTATTGTGGGTAATATATACATCTAGAGCTGGTCATATCACTACCAAATTAATCAACTTAAAAATAGCTGCCTCAAAATGGTAAAACTCACCCTTGAAAAATAGGCAAACTGTCTTCAAAATATTTATGTTTAGTAGAAACTGCAAAACATTGTCCTGCAAAATTCACCCTTGCTTGCCATGGTGTAATCATAGAACTTTGCTCAGCATTGTCAGATTGTAGTAGTGCAAAATAGCTTGTAAGTAGTGTAATTGGCAATTTGTCTTTAAACTTCAAATGGACTATATAAGACATAAGGTCAATTTTTATTGCAAAAAGTACCTTATCATTGGTTGCTGCTGCTGCCAACTTTTCCTCTTTCTCTTTTGCCTTCTTTTCAGCTTTCATTCTTCTTTTAAGCTCACTTTTGAGGAAGGAAAATAGGTAAGCATAAATATTTGAAGTAGTGCAGTAATGCTTTTAGATTCAAAATTTCAAGTAGTGAAACACAAATTCTTTTTGTTCCGCATAACAGCAGTTGCTATTGAATACAATGAAAAAATTAACTAAGAAAGAAAATGTGGTTAAAACTGAAAAACTCTCAAGGCAAGCTATCAAACCATGTGCCTAGTTGGATTTCTTATATTTTATAGTCTAAAACAAGAGTTTTGAAATTTTAAAATCAAAGTATAAATAAGCTTTTATGATGAATTAATTAAATGAATAATTTTAGGCTAAAAAATAACAAATATAATTATAAAATTATAAAGTTTCAAGCTTCCTAGAAATGCATTTTTGATTAAGTTGTCCTATCTGAATTATTTTTCTCGGTTATCACGAAAACGAAATCCCAGATTGTGGGGCCGGTATTTTGCTAAAAAAAATGCAATTTTTAATTTTAAAAATGCTTTTTCCGGGGCCTAAAATGTCATTCAAGCACAGAAAAATACATTAGGAACAACAAGAGGGCATAATAGATTTTTACTTCGAAGATCGATAACAATATTTTGTCTATGAACATTCGCTAAAAATTTGTTTACGCACTTTTTACTGAGCTTTTCTTGACCATTCTCGACAATAGGGCTTTTCGTATCCGCCATGTTGTCCGGCCTTTGATCCTCGTGGCCGTAAAAGGAAGAAAACACGCGAACCGGGGCTGATGTAACAACACTCCTTTGACTTGCAAACCTTTTTAACTGATGCAAGGCAGTCAAACTTCTACATAGCATATCAACAATGCATTTTACATTGCATCAAATTTTTTGTTTATAACTGTTGTAGGTTTACTTCATAATCTGCATCCTTTCAATAAAATTAGTTTTATAATTCAACGTATTTCAAAGTAGGCCCATTCGCTCAACAGCAACAACAACAGTCGGACGGACCCCAGCGACAAAAGTGTGGTAATGGTAACTTTAATGTGCCAGTTTAGAAGTTGAAGGAGGGTACCCAATATGACCCAAATTCCTGCGACATTTTAAACACGATTCCCGACGGTCGATTCCGAACCCCTTGTTGTCAATTCCCGAATCCCGCTGAAAAATTTTGCCAATTGCCGTCTTAAAAAAATGACGATTCCCGCTTCCCCGAAAAACACATTTGGTACCCGATTTGAAGCGATTTGAATTTGTTGTTCTTCAACGATGTATGCTCGGACCATTGTTTTTTCTCCTTTATATAAATGATCGAGAAAAGAAAAAAAGACCTTCTACAGCTTAAATAGCAAAGGAATGAAATTTCCTAAAATGAAAAAGACAAAAAAACCCATAATTAAAATTCTTCATTGCCAAGGGTGTTGGATTGCACAGTCTGCATAAATCGTGTGTAGAAGACAAGACGGTTTTAAGTCGATACTGTGAGGCAGCTCACAGGCAACTTGGTTTAGCTTTGCCGCGGCGAAAGTCAAGCAAAAGGCAATCTTCATTAGAAGCTGGAATACATTGATGTCAGGTCGGGTGGTTACATTGATTCAAACTGTCCGGTCGGGTAATACATCAAAACTGATTTTAATGAAAAGAGTCATGTTAATAACGTACTCAGAAACTTGTCACGGTGTTCCAAGGAAATAGAGGAATTGCTTCTATGGGATGCTGCCACAAAGCTGATTTCTCTAGCAAGTTTACTTAAGAAGAGACGTGCTTTTGCAAATGAGCTTGGCTGCCCTTTATTTAATTTAACCTTGTGTCAAACACAGATAAATTCAAATGATGACATTCAGAATACTTTTAAGGTTTCAGTTTTCAGTTTAATTTCAAAGTAAGATCGAAGTTTTGTCTTTGATAAAGATGACGCAAAGACTCAAAAAGAGAAGGTATTGTGCTATTTAACCTCTCAATGCATAAAGTTTATAATTAAAGGCTACGCAACTGGCATGCTTAGCGGCAACTGTCTTGAGAAATTGACTGTGTTTTGCATTGTCATGCAGTACGATATTAGGTCGATTCTTTGATTTATAGTCGCAATAACCTTTAAATGTCAGGCGTGAATTTATTTTTACTTGAAGCAGATGTAATTAGGCTTGCGGTGAGGAAAAGCGAGGAAACTCAAAGGTAAAGAACAGAGGAGTTTCAGTGAAAACTGCGGCTGTTTCGATATAGGTTAAATATTACACAATTAAACTTTGATAAAAAGCGGGATTAACATCAGTACACGGAAAGACACACGAAAACATTGGTAGGATAAAGATATGACAGAAACTAAAATAATGCCACCAATGATCAAACTGGATAAGAATCTTTCTTTAAATCTAATTACTACCACAGAGTTCACATACAGCAAGTTTTAACATAAAATTACTTCGTTCGTAGTCTCTGTATATTCTGCATCATTCTTTTCGACCCTCCTGTGATGTCAAACAGGCCTTAAAGAATTGCAACAAAATTACAGCACTTGCTGATGCAGGCACTGGGGCGTATCTTCTTCTTGCTTGGTGCCTCTGAGACATAAAATAACAAAAAACACTGTTAATTCAAGGCCCGTTTTATCTTAAGATGACTCAAACAAAATTTAAGATAGCTTAGTTTTTTATGGTCACGTATTGTACAAGTTACTACTTATCTAGCCATGCTTATGTAATTATGTCGATTTTAATGTAAGTATAAAAATTAAGATAAATTTCCTACAATCTTTATATGGGAACTCAAGATAAACAAAATGTTTCCTTTTTGGATGACATTTTTCTGAACTAATGACAGATTTGAGTGTAATTGAAAATTTAAAGTTTTGAAAAAGGTGGTTTTATCATATGCCATAATGTTAAAAAGAAATGAGATTATCTCAAAATGAAGCAATGGGAAAAATAGCGTCGAATCGTGAGATGGCATCGAATCATAAGCAGGGGTGCCGTCCTAAAAAGTTAGGAAGGGGGGCTGTGCTGTAGAGGCCATACCCAACACCACACCCATTGTGACACCCTGTATACTTGTATTTGTGTTAAAGATTCTATGTTGTGTATATGAAATAACTCAAAACAATCTCCGAATCTAACAGGCTAATAGAAATTGCTCATTCATTCATTTCTAGATGTAAAAACCTAGTACGTTAAGGTACAAATAGAACATCGAAGGTAAAGGCCATTGACTCATAATTAAAATCATTGTATTTATGCGATTAATCTTACTCACTTGCGATTAATAATCATCTTCATCGGAATCCATTGCATATCTTCGACGATTAATCTGAAAGTTTAAAGAACTTAGTGAATAAAACACTGAGTCTTTTACAAATTTCCCTGCTCAAAAGAATGGCATCAGCCTTTCCTTGTCTTTCCTATAGAATTTCCTTGTTTGAAGAGCTGGAACATAAAATAGTTGTGAACCATAGATGGGTTTTCATATAAAGTAGCTTAGCGAAGTATCAAGTAGTGTAGCATTAAATAACCACAAGGCCTGCTACTGGAAAACAAAGATGCCTCGAGACTTATTTCTCTGGACAGCTATGACCCTTTAATACCGACTAGCCACCCTTTTGCAGCTTGAAACAAATTTGGAAGGTTTTTATTATCTTCACGACACTGATAGATTTAGCCTTAAACTATATATACAAAACTTGGATTTAAACGAAAATTGCACTTAAGAGATAGGCCAATATGGAATCACAATATTTAGAATTAAATAATTGCATACTCACTGTAACTTTGGTCGATTTTTCAGTTTGTTGACTTATGGATGCGAGCACACTTTTAAGACCATCTTCGTTCATCTAAGCGAAGATTTCAAGATTAGAAGACGAAATATAAATTCAAAGCAGAAAGCAGAGTTACAGAAAATCAGAAAACTTTATTTAGGTGTGTTTTCTAGAAATGCTTTACTTCTTAAAATAAAAACAAATCCATTTTTAAAACTTCAGCCCGAGGTTGTCTTTAAACTTCAAATTCAATTGTAAAAATTTCAGAAATGTAGTAATGTAAACACAAATGGCCAATTTTTAATAAAACCAAACGGTGACATTAAATGGTCTTCGATGGCTAAGATAAAGCCTGTGTGTACCTATTCTTCAGGTAGGTAAAAGGTTATTGACCGCTGATTAGCAAAAAGAATATTAATGTAATTTCATATACGTTTTTCGTAATTAAATTTACTTCGTTTAACACAAGTTTTAAGTTGAAATGTTTTTGTCAGGCAAGTCTATCTTTTGCTAGTTCACAAGCTTCTTTTTATTCGATTTTATAAATGTCCCGTGATTTTATTTTTGAGAGCCACGTTAGTTTTAGACGGCCTCTTGGTCTTGTATATTTTTCATTCGTGTATGCTAAGGCTAGCTTTGCAGGGAGTTGTTGTGGTAAACGAAGTGCATGTCCTAACCATCTAAGTTGACGTTGTTCGAATTTGTTACGATATTACAAATACTCTACGATACTACAAGTACGATATCATGGAGAGCGAAGAACAATGACAACCCGATGGCCATTACATGCAACAAGACTAACAACAACGACAACTACACGTATACATAATAAATGTTACAAAAAATCATATATAGAAAATCATAGGTACAACAAATAAGTGGGTCAGGCACAAGGTTTTCAAGTATTTTGCTGTATAGAGATTCGTTTGCTTGTTGGTAGACATCGTCGTTTTTTATTATCTTTGGATAAATTATGTTAAAGATTTATGTTCGTACTAGCCTCCTTTGAAAACAAGGAACCCCCAACTATGCTTACTTTTCATTATCAGACGCTTATAATCTAGAAATTGCCAAACGAAATGTACTCATGTTTCCACTCTACCGTGCTATCTTAAAAATCTTGCCGTGTTAAAGGGTTATTTTCATAGCTATTGTTTTGTAGTAGAACTTAACAGATGCCCCTCTAGCGAAACCTAATTGAGGTCGACTTAATTGAGGAAAAATAGACCAACTGGTCTGTCTAAAAATCGATATATAAGAAAAGTCCTAAAAAATAATTTCACATTGAGGTTAAGGTAGGTGTAGAAAAAAATTATATCATTATAAAACTTGTCTTCTACCAGATAAAATTCCAGTCATCTTTAGGGATCTAATGTCTGCCAAAATACAAACCTTTAAGACCCTTCTTTTGAAGGCTTTAAATGAATAATCCTGATGAAGAGCGAATTAATTTGGCATCAGCTGACCAAAGCAATGAAATCAGAGCGAATCAATCCTTATCCTTACCCATTAGGCCATAATCTATTGTCTCGTACAGTAAAGTATGGTAGGTGAAAACAGCTTTCAACTATTGCTACTAGGAACTGCAAAGTATATTACGGTTTGGGGAGGCTAAAATGTTTTGGAGGCTCAACGTGCAAAAAGCCAGAAAAAAGTTTATTTTTGTATGGTTTTAAGTACGTCCTATTTTGTACCAAAATAAGCAAGACACCAAATTGAAGTGGTCAGATGGATACAAACAACATCGTCGTTCCAGCACTGCAGATTTTTAGGCCAGCAAGGGGAAACTGCCTTCTGCAACATCAACAAGGGTTTCCTCGATTAGTTATTAATTTTGCGATTCAGGATAGATGTCTTAGTAAATATTTCAATTTTCTGTCCTTGATGCGACATTTTGATTTTCTGTCTTTGTCAAGTGCAAAATCAAATAAAAATCAGCTTCTTTAAGGCTCTGAAAAGCGCTTATGAATAAGTCTTGAAGGAAGCATTAACATTCTCATGAACCAAACTTACTTTTCCAGACAGCTGCCCTCGTTGAGCCATTTGTATTAACATGTTCTCAAGCATCTTAGCTTTCTCTGGTTTGACGAGTGCAATACTGTTCACTGTGGTTAAAGATATAGGTATAAATGTTTAGCACAGTTCTCTAAAAACTGTAGAAAAAATAGCAGAAACGTGACTGGGAGTACTAAATGCTTTCAACTCAATTAAACCTTTAAGATAAAAAATATTCTTAAAGATATGCATTGTTTCAAGGACATTTTGTGGTCCACTGCATTAGAAAAGTAACTTAGTACATAAAAAAATACAGTAGCATAAAAGTCTCTGTGCTTAATGAACTTAGTCAACGTGAGAAACAGCACAATCAATAATCAGCAATCAACACAAAAACCCTGCATTGTAATTCAATGTTTCCCAGTGGAAAAATAAAATTAAAAAAAATTAAGAAATGCTTACGTCTTGCCCTTGCATTTTGATCCAATATCTGGGATAATATAGAATTTCGCATGTCCACTTCCCTGTTGAAAAGATATATATAAAAACCTTGTAAGATAAAACGTAGTGCCAACTTAACAGTGTGTCTGTTGTGATCGAATTCAGTTAACCAATTAAATGTTTTCCATTTTCATAGACTTTCCTTAAAATTTCCAAGAAATTTTCATTTTTCTGCATTATGGTGTTAAGATCACAGTTATGCTCAAATTATATTATACAGCAAATAGAAATTATATTAATAGCTAAGAGACAGTGGCGTCAATAGGAAAATTCACAGGAGAGGTGAGAAGCTCCGACAAAAACTAACAAGCATTCATATTTTTTCATAAATTGTAACAAAATATAACGTCATCAGAACTGAAATAAATAAATATTTTGACATATTCAGATATTCTTATGTTTATTTTGCTTTAAATTCTTTCCTATAAAAACATAGCAATTAGATAAACATAGAAAATTTCTGACAAGACCAGAGGTTTTCTGACAAAATAGCAGTCTGGCTCTACAAGGTGTTTTGCCCCCTTCTGACCCCCTCTATCTTAGCCACTGCCACCAGAGCAGTTTATCCAGCATAGCTTTTTTAGCAACCATTTTGATCCAATATCTGGTATACTATAGCATGTCTGCTTCCTTGTTGATAAAAACCTTGTAAGATAAAATGTAGTGCCAACTTTGAACTTCTTGCAGAAAATAGAAGTGGTAATAAAATTGATCCTTAAAAGAAAAACTATTGAAATTCATTGATAAAAAAAACCAAAATAAATTTACCTTCTCATGGCTTCTTCTCTCTTTTGTTGATCACCTGGTTGACTTCCCTAGAAAAAAATACATATGCACATTGATTTATAATTTAATTTCCTAAATAAGTGAGATTGAAAAAAACTTTAGCAGTATCCAATCCACGAAAATTGTCAAGGGCACTTCATACCAGTTCCAATTTACAAGTGCCAAACTGATTTTCATTAGAGATAGAAAATAGGAAAAAGGAGCTTAGGTCTGCAATTGAAAGGAGTTGATACTCTCATAACCCCCGATCAAGAGGCCCAAAGAGAATAGCACTGCGAGGGGGCTATGCAGCATTAAGAATAACGCTGTGGAAAATTTGGCTTCAACTTCCATAAAATGGTTTATTTTTCTACAGTAATATACTGAAATGACCCTTTATTCAAAGCTAAATGAAATTTTTAGGGTTCCTTTAAAATATAAGAAATGCTTCATGCTCAAATTATCCATTATTTTCAAAAAAGAATTTACAGTTTGCCTGAAGTGCCTATTTTGGCACCCCACCCATATTATAATTTAGTGTTATTTACAAGCTACTTTATATATATAGCAAAAAAATAAAGTTTATATCATTTATTGCTTGGAAGGTCTAAATAAAGTGCATTCCAGTTTGGCATGAAATTGTAATCACACCATAAATTAATGCCAAAAGGTACTTATTCTTTGTGCATAAAAACGTGGTGGTTTCCACATTCATTCCAGTGTCCTGGTATCAAAGTTTTAACAAAACAGATAACAGATAATGACTCACTAAAAGCTAAGCTACATTTTACAACACATTTACTATAACAGGAAACAACAGGAAACAACAAGAAACGATTTATCATTTAGCAGAAATGTCTTATCTCCAAAACGAGGCAAGCTTATCTAAACACGTGGACACGTTAATCTTTCTTGCAGTGGCCTACGTTTTTGGTCATGTCGTTCTCCAAAGCGATCGCTGTTGTCTCAGATCAAGTTATGGAAAAATCAATAATATTGTTTTTTTATACAAGAACAACAGAAACCAAAATATCAAACTTTAATATACGAGAAAAACAAGCTGTGTAGGCTGAAAATCTACTGCTTGTGAACAATGTTTTCAATGTTTGGGGAGGAGGCCTAACTCAAAGTTTTTTCACTTTCTTTTAGGTTGGTAACATTCAGGTTGCAATAAATTTTTCCTACACAAATACTATTTTAACTACTATCATCATAGCTATTGAGGCAGGATTTCCACTAAATAAATAAAATTGCAGCTGCAGTTGAAATTTTTCCTACCAATTTCTGTATATTTCATAGTTGTTTCTACTTGTTTCTGCTTGTTGCCTAGCTGTTTCCTACTCTTTTCCTACTTGTTTCCAATTCGTTTCTTTTTTGTTTCCTACTGTTTCTTCATGTTTCATCCTGTTTCCTAATTGTTTCTATTCATTTCCTGTTATAGTAACCATGATTTTAGAAAAGAAATTGTTAATTTGACTAACCAACGATTTAAAAATGAATTTTATAATTTTGCCCAATTTTCTTATTTTGTGTGTTGTCCTCATTTCCACCCAGGGTGCATTTCATGTCAACTATAATACATAAGTAAGTCTACCAGGGCATTTGTTTAAGTATGTCCAAAATATGAGCAGTTAGTAAAATTGTAAATATTGTAGTCGTACCAGACAAAGAGAATTTATTGATTTAGAGAAAACTGTGGTACGTATGAGTCTTTGTTTTATTCTTTTATTTCATGTTAACTATGTATGTGGCTTCGTGTTTAGCATGCCACATGTATCAACAGATATGTGGAACTCTGAGCTGATTTACCAAACTGATTTACCAAAACTGGTGCATGCTTGAACACTTAAAATTTTAGCTGTGCACACAAAGGACTCTGTATGGAAAAAGCCTTGTATGAGGATGCTATGTTTAGGGTGTGGCCATTTTTGCCTTGCACGGGAGATAGATCCCCCGCAAATCTCCCTCACGGAAGATTGTTTTATCACCACTAATGATGCTACTAATGTTTTTCTCTGAAATGTATACCCAAAAGTTAACTGTATTTTTATGGTAATTAGTCTCAGACGCACAAAATCTTTATCTGTGCTATTTGCAAATGCGCAATTTTCATGAACATGAAACCAGGGATGGTGCCAGAAACGAAATGCTGGGGGGGCTGTAATGTCAGAGTGCCGACGGTGAGTGAACCACCCACAAAGATGTAATATCACATCATTTCCGCTGTGGAAATTCTAGTTCAAAAGACTATTGAAATTATGAAAGTGCCGACATTGCTTAAAATTTTTCAAAAATTCAAGTGCCGACGGGGGGGCTCAATGAATTTTTGGGGGGCTCCTGCCCCCCCTACCCCAAGCACCCCCGGTGGCCCCATTCCTGCATGAAACAGATCCCCCGCGCATCTTTCAAAGATTCCAATCTGGTCCAAGACCAGGTCACACCCATTTACATTTATACTTCTTAATAATATCTTCAAACTCTTCAAATTGTATACCTGTATATAATTCGCAGCGAACTTTCATACTTACTCCACCCATCTGTCCCTGCAATTGTGCCATTCTTTGCGCTCTTAATTCCGCCAGTTCCTGATCGTCCTCCATCTTGATTTCTATGGATGCTGCGAACTACCTCGTATTCGAACGGAGGCATAGAATTTGACTGAAGTTGAAAAAGAAATTATACAAAGTCCACAGATAAGCTGCTTTGGCTTAATTTCGCAAAAATATATTTTGGGGTAGGGGCTTCTCTACCCAAACTAATTTTTGCATGCTAAAAAATTTCACCATTCTCCTGAATCAACTTTCTGATCACTTTGAGGGCGGATTCCCCCTTCACTACTACCATAATATTTATCAAGAATTTAAAGTCAGTGACGATACAAAACAGTAAATAACTTAAATCCAGTATTTATGAAAGAAATATTTCAGTTGAATGAACTTGCATATAATTTACGAAATCAATCGGTTATACAAAAAAGCCGAACACTGTTACTTATGGGCTAGATACAGTATCCTTTAGATGTAATGAATTGTGGAATTCGAATACCGTTAGATATTCAATCGACAGAAAATTGTAAAGCATTCAAAATTAAAATTTATCAAACGGATCTTACTTGCTCGTGTAGACTATGCACAACATATATTTCTATTATTGGATACTTGTAGACATCACGATTTTTCTTATATTTGTTATTGTTATAAGTTGGTGTTGATTAGCTGTTTATTAGCTATTATTTTGTAAACCAACATTAAATAAAGTGAATGAAAGAAAAATGAGAGTTGGAAGTCAGGGGAACAGAATTTCTTCTTTTATGTTACGTCAGGAATCGAAACATGACAATGTTCTGATCATTTTGAAATAGATACCTTTATTTTGTTATTCTAATGAAAATGATTTCTAGGTCAAAAACGGGTCTTTTCAATGTAAGCTTACATTTACGAGCATAATTGTACTCTTTTGAATTCCTTTTTTCCTTATTTAATCCTTTGACTCTCTGAGGCTCTGGTACATAGGGTAGTACATTTCTAGTTGCAATTCGCGACAATCGTGGCGAATCGCTGACATAACATCAATCTGTACATGAATGTTCTTTCTTTTCATTTGCAAATTTTTAGTTCTTTTCAGAAGTTTGGTCTTCCCTCAGTGTGACACAAAATTATTGGTTTTTTTATTCTAAAATTCTGGTTTCAATTTTGTTTACTGCTGACTTTTGTTTTGTATTCATAAAATTAACAGCGCTGTTGCTAAAACAAAGGTATATTTTTTTACCCTGTCATGAATGGATAAGATACTCAATTACTGGTCACTTCAACGAATGAAAGCAAGGAAGATAAAACACACAATTTGTATAAAGAGGGAAACCACACTTCTCTATTTTTATAGGTAGACTTTTATAATAACAAGAGTCGGTGCCCTAGACCCCTTTTTTTTAAGTTAGGGGTCTGGAATACAGGCTAAATAACACGATCTTTCATGGCATATCTTTTGCTAAATTGATCTTAAACCAATACCTGCATTAAAGTTATAGAATTTTGTTAAACAGTAAAAGATTAGCTCTGGTCTAAAATTCCATAAATTACCTTTTAACAATTTAAGAAACAAATTAAGAACCCCGCCTCAAAATTTTGTAAAATTTAAGAACAATAAGTTGAATGGTTTAGAAAAAAGTGTGTATATACAATTTAAAAACAATAGATTTGTAACCATGCCTTCCTTTAAAACAATTATTCCCAGTTCTACGAGCAAAAGCATTCCTCGAAGATCCCATCCTGCACCAAGAAATCCACCTGACGTTTTTCAAAGATCGACATCTGTCAAGGCAAATTATTTCCTCTTAAGCCAACAATATAAATAACGAGCCCAAATCTCTATTCTGTGTTATAACCGTTCATCCTAACATGCAGAGCATCAACACAACTTTTTAAAGAGAGTTTGTTGCTCCAAATGGATAAGGCGAAGAAAGCGCTTTGGCTGGAAACTGGAAGGGTTTCAGTTTTGATAAATATAATAATATGCTTATAAACCCAAAAACAACGGATATAACACAGTAAAGTTTTATGATCTTGAATTCTTTTGTCTCATTCTCTCTCTGCGACTCTCGTCCTCCTTTATTCTTTTTATGTTATAACTTTCACAAACAATGCGAATTAGCCTTCTCCACTCTTGCCTGTTATCTACAGAAGTCTTCCATAGATCTAATACATGACCAGGTCAGTTTTGATAAAAATTCACATGGAATTAGGGAAGATAAATGCAAGTTTATGTTTGCAACTGCATAATAATAATGATGATAATAATATTTCATTTATTCGCAGTAGGCGTTGTTTTCAGTAGTAGCTAAAAGGTAAGCCAATTAAATGTATTAAAAAAGTAACACGGCAACGCGACGAGAATGAACAACAACAAACACACAAATCAGTTATGGCATACGGGGCTTCATCAGAGCACAAGCCAATTAAGGCTTACTATTTATAGGAATCAATTGATTATATTGTACAGTGATATAAAGGCAATTTAAAGAAATAAATTTAAAGATCTAAGATTTAATTAGATAAATAATTGAAAATAATGCTTTTCAGATAATAAATGTCAGGAACCCGACCTGTGCTACAAAGGTTCTACACAACTTACAGTTGCAATTACCCCTCCATTGTTTATTTAGCTTTTTCAAGTGATCTGGCAGATTGTTCCAAAGCTTACATCCTAAATAGGACAAGATTTCCATTCCATGAGTGACGGGTTCGAGTTTTTTGGGATTTGCATTAACTTACTGTCTCTAAGGTGGTAGTGGCTACTCTTTTGTAGGAATACTTCATTCATAAAGCCTGGGGTTAGTTTATGTACAGCTTTGTAGATCTCAATCATTAGTAGCTGGAGGTTTCTTTTTTGTATGGACGCACAGTTGTTTTAAATCAGAACTGCATTCTAAGTTTTTAATAAACAACATGCTAACTTTTATACAACGACCGATACGCTATTTTTGCTCGTTTCGTTTTAAATAACCCTTTATTTCAAAAAGCTTATAACTTCACAAATATGATTAAAGGTACAGGGGCGTAGCGTGCAGGGGTGGGGGTGTGGGGGTGAACACCCCCAACTTTCAGAGAACTCATCGGTAGAATTGAATCTATAACAAAATATTAATGAAACAAAATAATTTCTGCCGGTAAAATATGGTTTTGCATCTCTTTGGGCCCATTTCCACTTCATTCGCAATTTCCACTTCATCTTTTGTTTGAAAATCGCAAGTTTTGATTTTCTTGCGAACCAGAGCGCGCGAATGAAAGTCCCGGATAAAGGATAACCAATCAGCAACCGGTAATTTACTTCATTGTTCTTATGCCCAACCATCATTTTGATTTATCAGATCAGATTGCCCAACCAGAGAGAAACAGGGGTGGAAAACTAGCAATCTCGCGAAAATAGCAATCTCGCGAAAATAGACTGGAACAATTAATTAGTTGAAACGCTGATTGATGCCGTACAAAATAAAGAAAACGTGTGGAATAATGGTCATTCCAACAGTGAAAGTGTGCCAGTGTTAACAGTGGAAATGGCGCGATCTCAGAGACACGCACAGAAAAAAACTTAAAGCAGATTGTGGTAAATCTGGTGATGCTGGCGAAGCAGGCGATTTGACGCCTGCAAGCCCTCTGCCACCACCTGGAACGAGTGATCATTCCAACAGTGAGTGTGTGCCAGTGTTAACAGTCACTTCGCCTATTAAAAAGCTGAACATTTTTTAAAAGAGGAAGAAGAAAACTGGCACTTGAAAGACCGCCAACTTGTGTAAAAGGGAAATGGCGCGATCTCAGAGACACGCACAGAAAAAACTTAAAGCAGATTGTGGTAAATCTGGTGATGCTGGCGAAGCAGGCGATTTGACACCTGCAAGCCCTCTGCCACCACCTGGAACGAGTGATCATTCCAACAGTGAGTGTGTGCCAGTGTTAACAGTCACTTCGCCTATTAAAAAGCTGAACATTTTTTAAAAGAGGAAAAGGAAACTGGCACTTGAAAGACCGCCAATTTGTGTAAAAGGGAAATGGCGCGATCTCAGAGACACGCACAGAAAAAAACTTAAAGCAGATTGTGGTAATTCTGGTGATGCTGGCGAAGCAGGCGATTTGACGCCTGCAAGCCCCCTGCCACCACCTGATCATTCCAACAGTGAGTGTGTGACAGTGTTAACAGTCACTTCGCCTATTAAAAAGCTTAACGTTTTTGGAAAGAGGAAGAAAAAAACTGGGACTTGAAAGACGGCCAACTTGTGTAAAAGGGAAATGGCGTGATCTCAGAGACACGCACAGAAAAAAACTTCAAGCAGATTGTGGTAATTCTGGTGATGCTGGCGAAGCAGGCGATTTGACGCCTGCAAGCCCCCTGCCACCACCTGATCATTCCAACAGTGAGTGGGTGACAGTGTTAACAGTCACTTCGCCTATTAAAAAGCTTAACGTTTTTGGAAAGAGGAAGAAGAAAACTGGGACTTGAAAGACGGCCAACTTGTGTAAAAGGGAAATGGCGTGATCTCAGAGACACGCACAGAAAAAAACTTAAAGCAGATTGTGGTAATTCTGGTGATGCTGGTGAAGCAGGCGATTTGACGCCTGCAAGCCCTCTGCCACCACCTGAAACGAGTGATCATTCCAACAGTGAGTGTGTGCCAGTGTTAACAGTCACTTCGCCTATTAAAAAGCTGAAAGTTTTTGGAAAGAGGAAGAAGAAAACAAGTGACGATGTTTACTTTGCAATTCTGGAAGAATGAAGAAAGATATCACAGTCAACACCATCAAAAAGAGATGAAGTTGAAGACAGCCTATTTATGAAGAGTCTGGTCCCTCAATTAAAATGTTTAGATTTTAAACAAAAGGCACGTGTAAAATGCCAAATACAACAATTACTATTTGAAGCTGAGTTTGAGGAAAACTTTTGAAAGAAGATTAATTTCTTTGTATCATAACCCAAGGTTGATGCCTGCTTATTTTAGTAATGTTTCTGGTTAATTTTATTGCCATTAAAGGTATATTTGTTGTTAAATTATCTTGTTTTTATTTGAAAACCCTAGATGACCACTTGTCAAAGTATGGAACCTACAAAAATACAACCTACAGACAACTTTACTTAGACTTTTTAATGTGTAAACATGTTTTAATTTGATGAAAAATAAGATTTATTACTATAGTAATGGAATCTATTTTTGTCCATTATTGTTTTTTCTCAGAATTTTAAACAATTTAGAACAAGAATTCAGAACCAAAATGTTTCTTTTTTGCATATTTAGCATGTTATATGCACCTTAACAGAACATAGTCTTAGATGTCATCATAACCTTGAGATTTATTACTCAGTAGAAAGCAAAAACTTTGCAATGTACAATATGAATATTTGAATTCAAAATATTTAAAAGGGACTTCCCCTTTACTTCTAAATTTTCTCATTTTAGAAGTGCTTGGCTCAGTCAAGTCCTGATAAAAAGGGTTCTTATATGCATGGGTTGGGTTTTCTCACTTTTAGATAATAGGCTACTAGTTTCTTTTCAGTGCTTTCTTTTTACTAAAATTGTACATGCTACAGCATTAGAAAAACAGCTTATTATTATAAAACTAAGATTTTTAATAAGTACTGTTGTTAACAATTATATTCCAATTGTTCTACAATAATTACTTGTTACATGTGATGCTATATCAATGTTATGACCATTATTCTAAATCCATACTCTGTAAACTAGACAACCAAAATTAATACTGAACAAGTAATATGACATGGTACAAAAAGGATATCTATAAGAAATGTCTGATTGCTACCAAAGTGAAAAGTGTGTAAAATTTGATCCTGAACAGATAATAGAAGAGGGTATAAAAGGGATATTTATAAGGGGTGTCTGATTTCTAAAAAGGTGAAAAGTTTGTTTACAACATAAATTGCCAGATTTCGTGTTGCAGGGCTTGCAAATTTCCAAATGTTGACTATTGTTTTTCTTTGCCAGTGAGTTGCCATTATCTCGTGCTATTTCACACTATCTCAAGTTAACTTGAATTAAGACCATGAGTTAATTTTCAATTTAACTCAGAATTATCTCACGATAACTCATAGTGGAAACCAAGCTTTAAGGGCTGCCATCTTGACTAACTGTTTTCTGTGTTTTGTCTAGGTCATTTTTTGGCGCCAAAGCCGTATGCAAATTTTCAGATGACGATCTAATTGGTTAATTTAACAAAAGGGGTTCTCTCAAATCGCATTTGCATCGCATGAAGTGTGTATGGAATTTGTGCGTGTTTGCAAATCGCATGCGAAATGTGAAATTCGAACGAAGTGGAAATGGGACTTTACACCCCCCCCCCTCAGGGGTAGATCCAGAAGAAAATTTGACTGTCTCTAAATCCAGCTAAGGGTTTGGGGTCCTGAAAGGTGCCAAGCAAGTGCAGGGGGCACAAGCTGAAATTGCTTAAATTTACACCTAAAATGTTATTCAACATCATTTTTCATTAGGAATCCTCTGTTTCTTTATTTTCCTCTTGATAATTACAGGTATTTTAGTTGCCTTTCAGCATTAGGTTTTCCAAATAGACACAAAATGTACTCTTAACATTTCTTGATACAAAATCAATAAAAAGGGATCAGTATTTAGAATAGTAATCAAGAAAATCCAAAAGTTCAATGGCATCAAAATTACAAGCAAAGTAGGATGGCAGCAATATTGAGCAACCATAAAAGAGCATTAGGAAAGGAACTTCCTGAAGAAGACCAGTGGCGGCGCCAGCTATTACAGAGTGGAAGGGTAATGGGTGGGTAGTGGTCAGTGTGACCACGCCCCTTTTGCCTCGTTCCAGTGATTTGTCCCTTTCCTTGGGAAATTTGATCTACCCCTACCCAGCGCTTTTTAATCCATTTTTAGAAGAAATATATAGACCATATTTTCAGAAAAGTGGGGAGGTAATTACCCCCCATACCACCCCTTGGCGCTGCCACTGAAGAAGACATAAAAGTCTATCTATAACATGGTTTACAGAAGTTAACATTACAATGTCATTTCTTACACTGTTTCTCATCAGTGGCAAAAAGAGCTTCATTCGTCTCCTTTTTGGTGTTTCATCATATCATTTCAGGAAATTAATCTGAAGGCAGAACCACTAGGAAGAGTGTTGGTACCAGAGTCAAATTATTTGGACCTAATTAAGCATTCAGAAATGAGAAATTGCTACAAGCTTTTTAATTGCAACCAAACAACGTCGCTCAGAAAGCTCCTTGAGCCATCAACCCAAATTATCTGTTGCTGTTGTTGTTGCTTGGTTTGTTAATGAAATTTAACTAAAGCAAAGGGTAATGTGTAAAAAAATGAGTATGACTTTAATAAGCAGGCTGTACAAATAAATTTGCCTTGAATACCTCGCCACAGCTACCCTCTCATTGACTGAAGGCTACACAACCACATGTCTTTCTTTGAAACAAAAGAGGCTGAAAACTTGTCTTCATCAAAATATACTGTGGGAACAACCCTTTTAAGTCTTTTAAGTCTTGCTTGTTCTGTATGTTTTAATTCAGTTGGCCCACGGAACTCCTCTGCCTTTGTTAGGTCTTCCGCTCCATTTTAAGGTGTTTTATGAAGACACAACACGATATTCATCACAAATTTTCCACACAACATCTATGGAGTCATGTACTGGACATAATGGGTACCTTTGTTTCGTCGAGGCGATTGTCTGATCGTCGAGGCGGGTTTCTCTTCGTCGAGCCGGGTTTCACTTCGTCGAGCCGGTCCTGTATCGTGAAAGATGTCGTTTCGTTGAGGCGGGTTGCTCTTCGTCGAGGCAGGATTGATTAATCGTGACAGGTCTCGCTTCGTCAAGGCAAATGTCACTTCGTCGAGGCATTGAATTGAATTGATCACTTTCATGTAGTCGAGTCGTGTTCCAGGGGGTAGTGGTTTATAGCAAGGAGCGGAAAGAGGCGGGGAGAGGAGGAGAAGTGTCTTGAAATTATTTTTGATGAGCAGCTTGATGCCTATCTTGCAAGAAACGTCGTGTATTTTGATGACAGATACTTCCTATTGTAAGTCGGGACACAGATTACATACTGACTGATAAATATTTGGTCCTCAATTTGCTTTTATCAAGTTGGTTACAATTTCCGTTAGGTAGTTTCGTTATTATTAAAAGTACCTAGTAGTCAGCCTAAGTAAGCTGTAAATTAGCTATATTCGTTTTTGGCATGCTGTAAATAAAGAAATAATTACGAGATGGTGATACACCCTTTTTGAATGAGAATGTTATAAAATATTTCCAGCTTCGATATTCTTAGGATATTTTTGTTTTGACCCTGAATACATTCTGTCAGTATTCTTATTTTTTCAATCTGAATATAAACGCTTTTTCAAAACGCTCACTGGGGCCCCCCATCACTCTATAAAAAACCACGCTTTTTGAAAAACGAGATATAGATAGGTCAGTTCTACGATTCAATGCTATGAAAATCTCAAAACAGGCAAATGCCGAAAAATTAGGCACAAAAATGCTGAGACTGAGCAATATTCTTAGAATATTCTTATAAATTGGATGATTCTGAGTTTGAATATTTTTACGAACAATGTTCTTGAAAAAGAAAGTGTTGTGGAGGGTGAGTCAGTGGCGTAACACAGTTGAGGGCCGCTAATTCTAAAACGAGGAACAAGCTGAACAACCCAGTAACAAGCGGATCAACTCTCAATTTCACCTCATTCTTGTAAACTTTTTATACATTGCGTCAACTGAAGCTTCTTTTTCTCAAGCTCCAAACTCAAATTCATTTAATATTCAGCAACCATTTTACAATATTAGAAGTCAATAAAGTGTCGATAAAGATGATTAACAATTTTAACAGCAATTAACATGTTAACAAAAAAAGTTGCCTAGGATGTTGGGAGAAACCGAAACGGTGTTCGAGCCCAAGCCCTAAATTTCAGTGAATACAGTAACATGATTATAGTAAAAGTGAACATGATTTATAATGACAACGTTCTAGGTATTAAACATTACAACTTGTAATACAAGATGATATGAATTCGAGTTTTACATTTCAAACAGTAACAGAAAAGGGCGGGCGAAACGTATTTGAAAGTGGAGGGGCAAAAAAATCAAGGTTATGAAAGGTTTTAGGAAAGGCCACCATGGTTGGCGGCAAGAAAAATTTTAGAAATATAATATTTAAGGTATGGCCAGAAACAGTATCTAAAAATGGATTATGACTGAAGGAAAATCCGAGGAAATATTTTCAAGCTTTCTTTTATCAATGTGTCGCATAATTTCGTCTATTGTAATGTTGACATGTAACAGGAAAGTTTTTGTAAATTTTTGGAGTAACCTTTTAATTGTAGCTCGTAATCAAGCTTTTTAGATCTAAAAAGGGCCCAAAAAGGGGCCACAATTAAATGAAGGAGAAAAAAAGGAATCAAGCTTTAACAAAACCATCAACATTGAAATATCAAAAGAATCACTGCCAACTCAAAATGAAAGATTATGCAACAAAAATTCTTCATTTCTCATATTCTCAAAAATTTTCTTTCCAGCAGTTTCTTTCCTTCTACAGTTTTTGAGAAACTTCCCGCCAAAAAATAGAGCTTAGGAGCGAAGTTTAGGCTACCACTGGGACAATGACCGACTTTTTTGACCAAATTCCCATTTTCAATTTTTTTTGTCCTCTTTGGTAAATACATAGTTACCAAGCTTAATCTAAGGTTATTTTAAAAATATTACTAAGTACACTTCAGGCACCGCGGAGAGCTGAGAAAAGTGTGGGGTAAAAACAGTATAAAAAGAGGCTTTACTGGTACTTAAAATTTGGCATTTTTTGCAAAAAGCTAAAGCCCCCCCTCCCCCCAGCCCCCTGCTTCGCGGTGGTATGATTGACGTAGAATTATTGGCTGCCAATAATTCACTTGACAAATCAAGCGCAAGAGCGCGGTATTCGAATTGCGCGGTGTTCTTTGATCGAAGGAATGCCAGAAACTGACAGAAGACAAGGCATAGAATGTGTTAATGTTATTCACAACACCAGTAGGAAAGTTATGTCTGATTCTGACAGGTAAGTTATAGGACATCAATACACCTTTAATTAATCCATAAAAGAGAGTAAAGATAAAAACAATCTCATTGGAATTCCATTTATTTATATGGCAATATTTCTATTCATATTCTTTCACAGTTTTCTTGAATCTATTTCAACAACCAAATTGAAGTTTAGTCTAAATTTTACTACAATACAATGTATACACAATACGCACTCGAGCGCGAAATACAGTAGATAGCACTTACGTAAATACAACGTTTTTAATAGCTGCTTGATACAAGTTTTCGAATGAAAGCTGACGATGATAAATCAAAACTTTCTAATATCAGTCGCTATATTTTGGGTAGCTTTATTGCTGCAGCGGTAGAAACCTTTGCACTATTACGAGAGCATCTGCAGCAGATATCAATACTTCCAGCAGGCAATGATACTCGTAGTGACATATTTGATTATACACAAACAGGGTTAAGATTATAACCCCCACCCAAAGTTTCAATGTTAATATATTTGCTATTAAAATGGCAAGTAACCCTACTTTGAGTGGGATGAGACGTTGCATGTTACACCAATCTTACCCATGGCTTGCTTGGTTTTTGTTCACAACTCAAACGGACAGACAATCAAGGCTCGGGGCCAGAAAGGGACTGGATTGGTGAAAAGTTGGAGAAAGGTACTATCGTTGGGTCATATACTATGTTACAGTTTGTGGCTTATTGTATGTTTTACCTATGGTATGTAAGTGCTGTATAATATTTGTGTTAAAGCTCCTTAAAACTTCATTGATTAGGAGAAGGAAGACAAACAGCCTTGATACGAAGCGATACTGTTATGCGCGAAAAGTGAAAGCATCGGTAGCAGTCGCAATTTTGGTGTCGTCGTGACCTGTACAAAAGAAATGTTACCGACTCTCTGTTTCACAAGATTACGAAACTATTTGCAAGTCGTTAATAAGCATCAAGTCAGCCTGACTTTAAACTTTTGTCGGACGCCTTAGGTCCATGTCGACCATTAAGACAACCCTGAATGTTGACAGTATAATGGATAGATAATACTGGACAAAACACCATACCTTTTTACAGAAAACAACTACTCAAAGAACACAAGAATGTCACATAACAAACTGAATTATAGACATCAATTGAAGGCTTATCGTGATCTTCGACGTCTGACTCAATTGTTAGCAGTCCGTTGTGACCATGACACATTGAGTCGGTTAATAAAAAAACAATTTTTGGTGGCAAAAAATCCACAAATGGCTTTGAAAAAAGCGAGCATTTTAAAACATACCATAGCTTTTCATAAGACACTCTTTAGTGTCTAAGATTATGTGTTTATGGGTTATCTTCATTTTCCCAGTTTAAGGTTTTCGATCAATATCCTGAAGTCTTTAATTTTTTCTAAAAGACTAAATAGTTCAGAACAAGATTAACGATTACTGCCAATTTAAAAACTTTAGCCTATGCCCTGGCATTTATATTAAAAAAGATTTGCTTTATCAATTGCCTTATGGGATTAGCTGTCCTATGTTCAGAAAATTAACATGATATACACATTATAAATTTGTCCAGGTCAAAAACCAAACAAATGGCAAAAACAAACCAAAAAGGCGTACCTTTACTAGCATGGAATCAATGGAGGTCAAAGAACAAACACCTAGATAGGTGAATCATTAGTTTATGCCTGAAAAACTGGTGATGGGTTGTTTTGTGCCTAAGCAAATTCTTATAAGAATGCACGATCTTATGCATTCTAAACTAACCTTGCATATAAAGGTTGAGCGTTCTGAAGCATCCTTACTCAAAGTTTCTAGGCCATTTAGAGACGGTCTGATAGCTGTCAAGAGCTGGCAAATTTACCATTTTGAAAACAAATCGCACAAATATCAAAATACACACATTCTGATAAAAAACATGATTAACTAAGCATATTGTACACGACACAAACTATCCCGGGCAAAACTTAGAATCACCACGCGTCATTGCTTTCTTGCTGGACTAGAACGGGGCATTCGCAGCATGCCAAGGACATGGTGGATCGGAGGGCTTGCATATCAGCTGGCTACGCACTGCACATCTCGTATCAAGAAAACGTCACGAGCATCGATGACAGTCTTACTTTCAGCATATATATATATAATTTGAAAATTAGGAAATTCTACCTCGCCTGGAGATCGGTTACACCAGTGATGCATTCTAAAAAAAAGAAATCTTGAAATGCATACATTTTCATAGCAATTCTTAAATAACACATTTAAGAATTGTTGTACTCTAAAAGGAAACTGCAAAGTCACACAAAAGACAAATAGCTATTATTTTTAATACCAGGTTTCTAGTTTTAGCATTCTTTGCCCCCCTACAGATTCATAAGCCTCACCCCCAACATGCAACATACTCAAACCAACAAAAAAAAGATCCCTAGACTCCAGTTCACTCAGTGAAACTGTTCAGTACCTCAAAATGGCTCCACCATGTTCCTTGACTCTCTGCGCGCTTCCATGGCATCCATCATTAATTTTGTTTTAAACTCTATGTTTTATTCTCATTCTTTTTCAGACTAAAAACATCGAGGAACTAAATTGCATATTTCCAGAGAGAACCTTTAAAACAGACCTTTCGTGAAGGCCACAATTTTGAAGTCAAAAGGAACTTAGCTACTGCTCAGTATCTTCTGAATAGAAGAGGGAAATTACACCCTGAAGTACTTTGCCTTTTACGTCACAAGAAATATGGGAATTCGAATCCTTAGTGTGCCTCGTGAAAAAACTTATTGAAAAAACAACTGTTTTAACTGAATAAGTTTTTGGTAATGAAAATTTGACAATAGCATAGAAAAACGGAAACATGCCATACTAAAGTACCTTTCGTCCGATACTCATCAGAGTATTACTGCTAAACTTTCTGCTTAACTGCTTAACTTTCGACATTATCTGACGTTGATACTCTGACGAGCGTCGGTCGAAAGGTGCTTTAGTAGTATGACATTTATCCGTGCTTTTTTCAACTTGGAGGTTTTCAACTGGCGCTCTACACTTGTAGGTGTGGGAGGTTGATCCCTAATGATAAGTTGAAATAACTGAGGAATCATACATATCATGGCTCGAATGAACTAGTAAGTTCTGGCTTTTCCTCGCTTTCGCCTTCTTCTTCTTCTTCTTCGGCAGGCAGAGGAGCCGGCTGTTCAGGGTGCTCCGGGCACGTTCGACTTCTTTTAAACCAATCATCTATACACCTACAATTTGATATAAATACATGTCTACATACAGACAGATCATGAAAATTACTACTCTACTTTTATGTCGTATACTGCTCGATGCCGTAGCCAAATATGGAACTCGGTCCCAAACGAGATAAAGTACTCCCCTACTTTACAAATATTCAAGAAAAATATCTCAGAATTTACATCGTTCAATTGTACTTGTAATCTTTGCAAGGTATACGTTAGCAACATCGGTTATATTTGATTTACAATATATTCAGCATTGGTAATTTAAATTAGTTGGTTTTAATTAATTAGCTTGAGGATGAATAGCTAGAAATTGTACCAACTTTAAATAAAGAAGAAAAAAAGAAAAACAAGCTGTACACACTTTAGCGCATGGAACAGGAGGGTTCTAAATTACAACTCCGGGCTTCACGCTTAATACGATCATCAGGTATCCCGTGAACATGGACGTAGCAGAGGCGAAATGTTTAGTGAGGGCTAAATGTTTCTTCATCCAAAATCAGAGAAGAGGTTCAACTTGAACAATTGCGAGACAAGTATACACGAGTCTATGTGAAGTTGTGAAATGTAACTTATAGCTAGACCTTTTCCCGTGGGCAAAGATAACCTTTGTTTAGCCAATCAGATGATTACTACACATTAAAAAAGTATCTTCCATAAAATACTGCACTCAATATAGCAAGATGAAATTAAAAAAATAATCTTGAATCTAGATGTAAGAGACAGAGTTTTACTTCACTTTTCCTGTTTATCACCTAATTACTTTTTTGGATTTTTTTACAAATTAAGTCAGGTATCAATTTTTGCGAATAGATCAAATTCGAATACTTTCATTAAAAATCTCCCGATGTTCAATACACTTAGGCAGTGGCAGCGACTAAGTGGCAGGGGGTATGGAGGTAACTACCCCTCACTTTTTCAAAACATAGTCTACATATTTCTTCTAAAAAAGGATAAAAAAGCGCTAGGTAGGGGTGGTTCGCAATTCCCGGAAAATTAACCTGGTACCAAACACTGAAACGAGGCAAAAGGGCGTGGTCTTATTGACCAAGCCTATTACTCTCCCACTCTGCAGTAGTTGGCGCCACCACTGCTTTTAGGTTGGAACGTCTGAGCTTACTACAAGGTTTTTCGAGCGAATTACTTATTAAAAGCGCAAACGTTTGGATTTCTTATGAAAGACAGAATTTTTCTTCCTTTTTTATCATGCAATTAGCGGGTCATCAATTAAATATGGACAACTAAATCATCAAGTCTTCCCCCCCCAAGCTATTTCAGAAACGAATATCATACCATCGCTCGCAAATTGTAGGCACGGCGCTGTGGCTTAGCGGTTAAAGCGCCTGTCTAGTAAACAGGAGATCCCCGGTTCGAATCCGGGCAGTGCCTTCTTTTGGAGGATAAGAATTATTAACTTTTTCTTTTTATTTCCTTTCTGTTTGCACAAACAAAAATGTGAGTCGCTGAGAATTCACATCTGTTGAGATTAAACATTTTATGGCTTCATTGCTGCCAAATATTATTGGCTCCTATCTGTATACATACTGCATCAAGTATGTAAATGAATATAGGCTACTTACGTTTTGTGATAAACACACAAACAGGGGAGTCTTGCTATGGTTTCTCCTAAAAAAGATTGCTTATATATAAATAAAATTTAAAAACATTTCCATTGTGCAAAAACCACGGTTTAACGTTGTTTATTGCAGAACGTTTCGTTTGCTCCTTCCCAACGAATATTTTTACATCTCTAGTAATTTTTACACAATTTAAAAAAAAAATTAGTAGTTGCATATTTTTTCAAATTTATTTTCAAACTCAATACTAGTTCTTATCATAACCATTAGAATAATTATCATTTTTCGCAGTATACAGATAAGTGAAAACTTCTTATCAATTTTTAAATGTTATACCAGACCGTTAATTTACATAGCATCCAAACTGGAGGATGTAGAGTTTTAAAGACATAAACTGAAACTTGGCACAAGAATTGGCAGTGCTGAGGAGAGGGTCAGGGGGTCACTGACCCGGGGGCCCTTGGCTATAGGGGCTCATATTTAATAACTCAATTTTAAAAATTTATAAGTAATAATCCAGCCTCTCTATTACAACAAACTGTCATTAATAGAGACAATAATCAAAAGTCTATTAATAAAGCAAGGTAGAAGCAGTTTGAGTCTTTCATTACCTGAGTGTTAAAAATATTTTTGTTAATAATTTCTAATTTTCGTGAGCTTGGGCTGAAGAAGTAGAAAAGCTACTGAATGTTGCCAAAAATATAATTGCAACAGGCAACCTACAGAAACATGCATGCTATACAGATTAACACCATTGCATGCGCATCTATTTGCAACAGTGTGTCAGTTGTGATAAATTAGTTAAAAAATTAATCATTTTCCATTTTCTAAGACTTTAAAATTTTTAAGAAATTTCCATTTTGATGCATCATGGTGTTTAAATATCAGTTATGCTTAAATTATAAAAAGTAGAAACAGAAGTAAAAGCCACCAGACAATGGCCTAGATAGGAAAATTCATTAGGAGGGGTGAGAAACTTAGATTTTTCAACAAAAATTTAACAAGTATTAATACTATCTTCATAAATTTTAACAAACGACATCGGAACAGAAATAAGTAAAGGATTTGATATATTCAGATACTCATATGTTTATTTAACTTTAAATTCTTTCCTATCAAAACATAGCAATTGAAGAAACATAGACAACCATGTTAAATTTCCGACAAGACCAGAGGATTCCTTTTTTGCCCCCTTCTATATACGCCACTGCCACCAGAGCAGTTTAGTCACCATAGCAACTTTAGCAACCAAAATAGCCACCAAAGCAATTTTAGCAACCAAAATAGCCACCATGACAATTTAAGCGACCACCATTTTCAAAAATTTCTGGGGGAGCATTCCTCATGCCCCTAGAAACATATGCCTTAGACAAGTTTTACCATTTATCTTTCGCCCTGACCCGGGGCCCATAATTCCTCTCCGCAGCTCTGATAATTGGTCAAAGTTTTTTTTCAAATGGTCAAGAGCTACATCGATAACATTTGTTGACTTAAATGCAAGTTCAATTTGTTTATTTTTTTGTTGCCTAGCAAAATGTAAAAATATTTTAAACAAATTTCTTGTTTACTGCTCACCTTTGGACATTTCTTCAAAGCATATTACACACTCCCCAGAGTCGATTATAAGAACATCAGCTAAAAAGAAATTAATAACTTATAAGGATCATAATTATGGCTATTGCCTAGTTATATATTTCACACATTTACCAAATGATTAATCTCTAAAGGTAGAAATATCAAAATGATACATAAAATCATATGGAAATACCTCATCATAAATCACTTTCAGGGGTGCAAACTAAGATTGTTACTTATCCTAAAATATTTACAAAGCAGTGCCACAGACTGTGATACTAAGTAGCAAATTCTAAAATGTATGATAATTTATGCAGCCCTTATCATGAAACTACAAGCAATTGGACATGTCTCATTGTTAATAAAACCCTTATACATCAATCACTGTCCACTTCCACTAATCAAGTACAAATTAGAGAACACACACATAGACATAATTAACTAATATTTATTTAAACAAACTTTTAAAGTAACTTCAAAACATCATGAAATTGTAGAGCTCACCATTGTAACAAATGCGAGGCTTTGAGAGGCATTCCACTAGATGCACTTCCAAAGTATCTGAATGCAAAGTCTTATTGCAAACTGGGCATTTTAACTCTAAAAGATGGGAAGAGCATTCACAATCAAAAGGTTGTTCTTTCCAGGCAAAGGCAAGCTGAGTGAATAGCAGGGGCAGACACTTATTGGCAGTCAAATATTGAAAGGGCAAGCCTATTGTAATAAAACAAACAAGGCATAATCTTTCTATATGCTTGAGAAGAAACAGTGAAAGACAATATTACTACAAAATGGAACACTGTTCAGACAATGGGATACATAGAATAAAAGGGGGACATCCTATACCTCTCTCCAACATAAAGTTCTTAAATTGTTCAATAGCAAATCAAAATATTTCTCAGTAGCAAATAGTGGTTTTAGTCCTGCCTTGCACCAACTACAGACAATTGTTGTAATTTGAACTGTGGGATCTTAAAATGCTTGAATTATAAAATGTTTGATAAATAGGATTTTTTAAATAATCCTGGACTTTTTTTGTACCCCTTCATCAGCTTTTTACGAAAATGAAATCTTCTGCTTTATAGCAGTTTGCTATACAGTCAATACACCTTTTCAACTAACTGCATCAAAGAGAACTGGGTCGAGATTTGGGATGAACGACCACACCTGTTGTGTTGTGATTTCTTGGGTTTAATTGGGTTAAAGGCATATTAATTGGTTTAATATGCTTTGTTAAAGACAAAAATTTGGCTTGTTTGCCTGAAATAAATTAAATCTTTTGCATTTCATCAAGAAAAAGCTACTGAAATAGATCAGCATCAGAGCATTTTTTAACATACTCATCGCTGGGGGAATTGCCCCCCCCCCTCAGGCCCTACGAGTTCTCCCACCACAGACAAGCAAAATTATACTTTTACCCCAGACACTAAGCCACTGTGAGGCCCTTTCAAAAGAATAAGCATGATGCAAATTCACTGGCCAGAAAGACATAGTCATATATTTTCTATCATCATGATGTTTTGGTGAAATGGCTCCACTACTGCAGCTGCACGTAGTCTAACAAGCTATGCCTTCAGTAGGGGAACATTCAAATTCTTCACTGACAAAGTTTTGGCCAATGATGTAGGAAGCATTAGTAAAATGGGAGGGGAGCATTCGTTGAACGGGGCACCCTAACAAAGGTTCCAGAAAGGATGAGGAAGGCTGTTTCTGGAGGCCTAGCTACCATGATATAGATATTATCTTCTGGTTTAGTTGCAAGCTGTGTCGCCGAGGGGTTTCGGAGGCCCTGTGGCAAAACGGAAATGCGAGGTCTGCTACAAGCAAAGCGAGCAGAAAATCTTTGGTGACCATGCCTTCTAGATAAGCTGAAAATGCATTTCTGAAAATTTTTTGCAGTCATTTTCTTGCAATTGTTTAAAACATTGTACCATTGTTTAGAAATAGTTTTGCAAGTCTTACTGAATGGTTCTTCAAACTGCTCCCCTAAATCTAAAGGCCCTAGGGCAAATTGCTCCCACCCCTCACCTTTCGGCAGCCCTTGTTGTAAGTTTGTAGTTTTGCTGTTTTAAAAGCAGATGGAAAGGAAAAATTCTAGAACGTGGCCCAAAAAGGTCACCTCCTACTTTCTTTGTTTATTTTGAGTAGGAACTTAATATTTCAAGGGCACTTTTTGGTTGTGCAGTTGGCAAAAATGGCAACCCTGTAAAGTGCAAAGCGACATTTTACCTGGACTATTTACAAGAGGGGGGTGACATGTCCCCTTTGCTCTTGGGGAGGGAGGGTAAGGCCACATGTTCCCTCATGTTCCATGAAAAGGTTTCAATTTTGTTTATAAACAATACTTAAGAATGCTTCAAAAAGACTTTGTGTCAAATCCTGAAGCCTAAATTCACAATCCTAAAAAATTTAGTATGGAAACAGTGTGACTATAATGTCATGAACATTTTACTAAATGTAATAAATTGCAAACAATGCAAAATTTTCAATTCCACATCCAAAACTTAGTTGTTAACCTCTTTTAGTTTATGTCCTTGGTAATTACACATCTTAACCAAACAGTTATCTTCAAGATATATGTGTCAAACAGCCCAGCAAGTCGTTGCAACAAGCTGGGATTTTTAGTGTAAGTAGAAATATATAACTATCTTAAGCACCAGTTCCTTATTCCCTTACAATTTCTTGAGATGAATGTGTGTGAGCCCTTGTCAAAAATGCCCCACCACTCAAAACCCCTTAAAAAATGCCCTGTCAGCATTAGCAGTCAAAGTCTTCAACATGATGTTTTGGTTACTTAACATCAATTCATTTTGCGAATCTACACTGCTCACCTGTCCGAATTCAACAGAGTTCTTGAAAATCTGTGCAGTGTAAAAGGGGGCTGGCAGTAGCAAACAGGTAAATACTTCATACCACAACATAAATGGAGAATTAGGGCTTTTTAGATGTATTATATTTTAAACGAGGATAGCGAGGCAATCATTCTTTAATTGTTTTTTATATCTAAATGTAAAATGTGCTTTTTATGGAGCCCTTTGTGAAAAAAAGCAAACTTGAAACATACCAAATCAACATATAGACTACTGATTAAAACTTTTAAAGGCTAATCTATTCAAATTAAAATAATCAGCATTGCCACTATTGCAAGGGTGCTTTCGAGGGGGGATGGGGGTTGCCTTGGTGTACACGTGGGAACAGAACAAGTCTATGTTTGAGCCCCTGAGGATTCAAACCTCTGAGACCTTTCTCATAACGTTTCAGTTAATATTTTTGAGTTAAAAATATGAACACAGTGAGTTTTGGTATTTGATTTTATCCAGGGACAGTCTTAAACTGTTTTATTCTTTTACCAAAGTATTCTGGGCTGAGAAGAACATTTAGAACAAGAATAAATGTAAAAGTTTCTTTAGAAAAGAAAAACACGACAATGCTTTGCAAAACACACGGATGGGCTTTAAATATACCTGAAATGAAGGCGGAGAATAGCTGTGAAGGCAACGAATTTGTCTCATTCGAGTCATCTCTTTCCCTTCTTCTGCGTCTTCTCCCGTTAACTTGCAAGCTCGCTGTAGCTAGACCGAACTCTGAAACATACCTTTGATCAAACAATTCACGGGGAACAGCTAAAGGTCTGTTATCACTGTTTATATCATTAAAAGTCCTTGCACGTATTCTGTCGTGGCTTCCCTGGGCCCGTCCTGGGTCACTTCCAGTGGCAACCAAAGGACTCGATGACGTATGAGCATAGCTAGTTCTGTTTTGCTGCCTGCCATTTGGTGAATTAGTAGACTGTTTTCCTCCCATTTCTCCTCGTCTTTGAATAATCAAGTCTGATAAATCTCTGCCTCACTAGGCGTTGGTTATTAATCCACGCAAGTATGATTGTTGGTTTGCTAAAATATCGTTTCCCTTAAGCCACATCGACTACAAAACGTAGAACAAATTCCCCATGCTAACTCAGTCTTCCGTTAAATCGTTAAAGTAGAGAGTATACTCCCAATCTCAGACAGCTTTTTTGATTATGAAACACTGTCCCGACGACTAAACTTCGATGATATACTTTTAGGCATCACAGCGCAGGATATTATCCGCCATCATAAATTGTTGAAGAAATATTATGGATGATAACAAAGAGCGAATTGTATCATGGGAAACATCTCTGCTGCATCTTGAATCAAGGAGAAATCTGAAATTGTCTCAGAAATCAGTCCTAAAACCGTGATTTTGTACCAAAAATGCATTATATCTGAAATTGTCTCAGAAATCAGTCCTAAAACCGTGATTTTGTACCAAAAATGCATTATATCTGAAATTGTCTCAGAAATCAGTCCTAAAACCGTGATTTTGTACCAAAAATGCATTATATCTGAAATTGTCTCAGAAATCAGTCCTAAAACCGTGATTTTGTACCAAAAATGCATTATATCTGAAATTGTCTCAGAAATCAGTCCTAAAACCGTGATTTTGTACCAAAAATGCATTATATCTGAAATTGTCTCAGAAATCAGTCCTAAAACCGTGATTTTGTACCAAAAATGCATTATATCTGAAATTGTCTCAGAAATCAGTCCTAAAACCGTGATTTTGTACCAAAAATGCATTATATCTGAAATTGTCTCAGAAATCAGTCCTAAAACCGTGATTTTGTACCAAAAATGCATTATATCTGAAATTGTCTCAGAAATCAGTCCTAAAACCGTGATTTTGTACCAAAAATTCCTTTTACAGATAGATATCGTCCAAAAAAGGTGGATTGGTGGATTGTTCTGACTGTTTCTATGTGCAACAGATATTTCCACACCCTATCAATATTTTTTTGCGTCTCCTCTTCCCCCATCGAACAAGAAATTATTTGTGTTTTTAGAACTGTTCTAAATTAGCAAATCAAGGGTTGCAAAAAATCATCTTTAGGTCAAAGTTCTCTATTTTTTTGCTTCTATTGGCCAAAAAATATAACTCATACCAATAAATAAAATAGAGTATGGACTGTTATAATTAAAAGTGCTTATCTCTTATACACTTGTCAAAAACTACTGATCTTAGGGTTTTATATGTCCCTTCAATACCATTATACTTACATTGTTTGATAATCTAAACAGTTCATAGTGCCACGAGCATTATACCGATAATACTAAGAAATTGAGGCTGGTTATTCAGGCAATATTCAAACATGTAATAGCATTAATGCGCAGTTAAGGTCTTAATGATTGGTTTTGAAGCATTATAGAAAGAAGAAAACCAACTATGTTTCATTGAAGAACAATACAACTTGAAAATGAATTGAAGAACAATGCAATGATAAGACAGCTTTCAAGTCTTTTAAAAATCGGCTAGATTTTTATCGCCCTTGCGGGTTCCTTATCGAAAAATTGTAAGATTAACCCGTGCTTTAGCTATGAAAATATGAATTTTTCTCTGTAGCAAATTTTACCGCCTGAACAAATGAAATATTTTTCTGTTTGAAATGAACATACCTTTCTCAAGGACACTCAATTGAATGGTTTCGTATTTAAATGATAATAATTCTACCAGTTGGTGAAGGAATGAATGAGAAGATACGCTAGCTAGAAGGCTCTTGTTGAATTATTTCTCAATACGTCATGGAACATTTCTTCCAAATGGTTGGTGGGATGATTTCATCCTGAAAATCTCCAACCTTGAATGCATACTACAAGTTAGTGGAATATCCTTTATAATGGAAACAAAGCTTATGGATGTTGTATCCTTGTTTTGCAAACCAACTGTAACGATTTTGCGTTACCATGAATTTCAAATTGATGATAGCAAGATGTTTCATCTTGATGATATATGGCTTTAAATACACATTTTTCTGAAATTAATTTTATTTCTTTAAAAAAACATCCAAAGGGAGTCTAATCTCAATTTTCTTTGCTAACCTAAAATCTAGCACATAAATGGTAGAGATTTTCGAATTTTTTTTCCAAAAAAGGTAAAAAAACATCCCCGATTTCAACGTTGAAGCTGTTTGAATAACTCTTAGATGCTGTAGCTACAACTATTGACTTTAAGATTTTTTTGAGGGGGGGGAGGGGGTAAGGCTATTTTTGGTACAAATAATTATCTTGCGTTTTCAAAACTAAAGTTTGTCTCGACAATTTTGTCCAATATTGAAACGAATTAGCAAGTAATCCAAATAAAAATTTCGAAACTGGTTAAAATTTATAAAACAGTTGCTTTAACCGAGAAAGCGTCGTTTCTTATATAACTTAGCGGTTTCCTTCCATCTTATCATTGAAGGGCTTGTTTCCAGGGCTACAATCGTATATAGAATAAAGCTAAATGTTTCCAAATATACTTTTGACCCTTATCGCAGAATTTTGCGAATTATCTTGAATTCTGAACATTAAATCTATTGTCTGAGCGAAAGTGTACAAAAAAGATAGCTAAAATATTGAGTTACAATTAGAGGTATTGTGCTATAAATCAAACAAAGGGGCCCTTTGAGAACTATTCTAAAAAAAAGAAAACATAAATAAAGAATGGTGTTGAAAGGGGGTAAAGCGTGACTTCTTTATCTACAGGGGTTTGTCCTTCCTACACAGGGAGGTTAAGATATACTAAATACAGGGAGGGTAACCTAAGATATACCAAAGATATCTGATAGCTTATTTTCATTAACTATATATATGATATGAAAACGTGGTTATGGCAAGCCTATCTTGTCTATCTTAAGAAAATAGTTTCAGTAGAGCTGGCTGGGTCACATTAGAACTTTTTTGAAAAAAAACTAAATCTTTGAGAATTTCAGACGACCTTTTCTATGCAAGAAGGGATGCTTTCAATAAAAATCGTGTATAATAAATTTGGAAGGTGAAAAAGGCATTTAACAAAATGATCAGTTTCACATTAATCTGAATAGGTCAGACTTCACATCATAATCAATGACAGGGATGACCCATCAGCTAAAAATGAGACTGAAAGCAGAGTCCAGAAAAGATGATGGAACATTTTGTAAACAAAAGGTAGTAAGTATAACACTTAAGCAACTCTGTATTCACCTTTTTTACAAGGGTTGCTGTAGTAGCCAGAAGAAGCGATAACATTTAAATTGACTCTGCCTAGAAGCTCGAGCTCTTACACCAGTTTTAGTGTGTCGATTTTAAAATAAAATCATCTTCTTGAAGTAGCTTTCCTTCTTTGATCCGCCTTCGAAGCCTTCTCTTTCTACTGAATAAATGCGAGACATCTTCATCCTTGTTGATAGTAGCACGGAACAGTCGGTACAGGTCTTTGTTCTGTTCAGTGATGAGACTGATGACTGCAATGGGAATCGAGATCAGCATTAAGATGAATGAATTTAAGACAAAAACCGCAATCAACAAATGTCACTGGAAGGTCATCTGCTTGTTCACAGGCAACGAAACGTAACCCTGCGTAGTATTGTCAATCAAATGACAAGAATTAAAACTATAAAAACTTTATGGAAGGAAATGTAATGTCACTAGAGTCAATATAGTTAGAAAAACAAAAAAATTTTCAGAATCTATGACAAGTTTGCCAAAGAAAAAATTTGTGAGACTTTTACAAGCACTTCAATCTTATGGGCAGGAAGACATGTTAAACAGATATGTTTCAAGAGTTAAGATTTAGCCAGCCAAACAGTAGGAAATAGATGGAAAGAGTTGGAGATAATTATGTCAGCTCTTGAATTGCCTTAAAAATAAATAAAACTAAAATACTAACAAATGCCTTCTATTGTCAAAGGTAATTGACAATTATCGAAATGACTTAAGCCATATGTCAATCAATACTGGCGAACCAGTAAGCGTGTGAGTTTTATCACAGTCACTTGTTGGCCAATAGTTGATCAAAATATGCCTGAGTGCACTTTAGTATTTGTCGATTGTTTTCAATAGCGCGTCAGCTTGTTCCGCACAGTATCTTTTTCAGGAACATTTTGTCCATGGGACATAATTATCGTCGGTACCTACCAAGTACCTATAGTCGGTGCCATCTCTGAATGAGGACATCGATGTGGACCAAATATGCTAAACCTTTTAGAGCAGTAGCTCTTGGTCTTCATAATTTAAACGGCAAAATATTATTTACCTTTTCCTTCAGATCCAGCCCGCCCTGTCCGACCAGCTCTGTGAAGGATGTCCGCAACATTCAAAGGGAAGTCAAACTGAACTACCAAATTAACGTTTGGAATATCCAAACCACGTCCAGCAAGCCCAGTCGTCAATAGAACATTATATTTTCCTTTCGAAAATCCGTCAATAACAGCCAGTCTCTCACTACTAGGAAGACCACTATGCAAGAAGCAAATATACTTGTGCCATTTTGTAACAAACTGCGCAAAATCAAAGTCTTCAATATTGGATTTTTCATCATCTTTGTAATTCTGGAGTCTGGTTTCTGAGCCGTTGTTCTGTTCAGAAGATGCGGAATCTTTCGTAAAATATCTGCTCCCTGCTAAATTATCCTTCTTGTTTTCCTTTAAGGTTCGATAAAGCTTCTCTGCAGTCGATACCTTATTTAAGAATATGATACTTCTGTAAAAGTTCTTTCCTTGCTCTTCGCTATCGTCTAAAGAACCACTGGAGCCGAGATTCAAATTTGATGCTTTGAGTTCTCGTTCTAGCAAAGCAGCCAAAATGAGAGTTTTGTAGTAAAAATTGTCTTCGAGTTGAATGAATGAGAATTTTGTGTCTTTAAGAACTTTATGGACCATGTCAGATTGAATAAGTTGGACATTAGGGACAAATCTTTCTATCAAAGATAAAGTCGTTTTTCTCCCACCTCTAGGTATAGTTGCACCTGCAAAAACAAACTGTGGAACTTTTTCTGCTTGTTTAAAAACATATTTTTGTTTCGACTCGCGATTTTTGCGACGAAGTCTCTCCTTTCGACTGAAGTCGATTTTCCGTCCACTGAAGAACTCAAAAACTTTCCGTACTTCTTTGAACTGAGCAACAAACATCAAATCAGTCTCATCAAAAACAATGCAATCTATATTGCTGATAGCCTGCCAATCGTAGTTCATAATGAATTTTGGGGTTGTTATTATAAACTCTGTGGTTTTCTTGACACAAAGTGGACTTCTGTCATGTGCAACACTGACCTCTTCGACGCCAAGCTCTTTGCAAACTGCACCGATCTAAAGAACGTACAAGAAATACATTAAAAATGTTACTACAACAAATCTAAACCCAGCAATACAGCATAATAACCTTCCTTAAAGGGGTTATATATCAGACATCAGGCATATCAGACATCAAAACCAGTGGCGTTTCTACAAGAGGGGGACAGGAGGGCCACGGCGTGACGGAACAACTCAGTGGAGTGACGGAACAAAGTTACCGTCAGTTAAGTAACAAAGGTCCCAAACCTTCAGGTGATTAGGTGATAGTGACAATTTTTCCTATTTCCGATTTTTAAGGCTAGAATCGCCTCTGATAGAATGGCAGGAAAGGGGGAACAATTCTAAAGCTGCTTGCAGCACATAATGTAGCTTCATGGTGAATATTTGCACATAGACATCAACAGATTTGACTTAGGCTCTTAGGCTCATCTTGATGTCCAAAGCAACCCTCAATAAATTTGAATTTAAATAGAGCTGGTCATGAGACCAGAAAGACCTTCTCTGAGATGTAAAATAAAAAACTGCCAATACTGCAAAATACCTGGTGTAGTAATTCTGTCGTTGGGGCAAATATCAAGGTATGTGTTGGAGTAATTAGTTTTTTCTGAAAGAACTGTCTTCTTCGCTGCATGTTCATAATTATGGGGAGAAGATAGCCTGAAAAGAAAGTACAAGCATGCAAAATAAAACGATTTCAAGAGCTCATGTTTTTCTACCAGCAACAACAACTTTTTTTTAGAATGAGCTACAAACTTTGAATATAAGGTGTAAAAACGCAAAATATTTCTCCACAAACTTCTCTACAATTCTCTATTCCAATTCTGCAATGTTTATGTAAGATTAACAGGGACCATTTACTTGGTCATATTTAAGGATCAGAAAAAACAACTTGAACAGGTAATCAGAAGCCTAAAAACATGGTGGGAAGTTATTCAAAATATCAACATAACCTTGAACTCTTAGAATGATTGCAAATAGAATGATAATGAAAGCAACTGTTAACAATTCAATAAAAAGATTAGATTGACTGTGCATTTGAAGCCTGTGGGCTAGGAATTCTTCTTGTAGTGGATCTTGCATTGTGGAGGCACTGAAAATGTAAAGTTTGAGATGGCTTTCCTTTTCATTTGATTATAAAAGACTTAAGCTTAAAATGGAATACTTCAATAATTTGTCAGTGTTTACCCTAAAGATTGTAAAAAAGGTTTAGTTCTTTAAAGTTGAAACAACTGATATAATGTCTTTTTAGATAGATATCTAAACATATTCCTGTCCTTAAATCTTAGGTCAGTTTCATTTGGAAATCCCAAAAGTTTCATTTGGAAATAATACTCACATAATGTTTTTCCACTTCCTGTCTCAGAATTTATGATAACATTTTTTCCACTAAAGATAGCTCCCATAGCCTTGAAAGATCAAATGAAAATATCCACTAACAAAGGCTTTGAAAATACAATTAACAATAAAAAACTATTTTATTTGTCTCTTGCTTGGCGAAAATCTAGACATCTGTCATTTCTTTTGTATAGTAAGATATTTACTAGAGAGATCGCGAGAAAGTCAAAAGCTCCCATCTTAACAATTCTATTGACCTGCTTCAAAATGTTCATTCTCTACACTTGTTATGAAGCATATAATGAATAATTTTTTCATGGTACAAAATTTTAAAATGGCTTTGAAAAAAGCAAACATTTTGAAACATGTTACTAAAGGTTTTCATCTCACACTCTACAGAGTATAAAATGTCAGAACAAAGATCAAAACTATGTTTGTGCAAAAAACTATAATGGCCACCTGTTTCAGATTATTGGTAAAGTCTGATCGTCATTTTGTTTGGCAGTGTTGGAATCTATCTACACAAACATGAAAAAGCCACTATTATATAGACAGAAGGAGTTTGTTTTCACTATGGGACTCCATTGGTAACATTCTTAATAGGTAAGTGGCACTAATTGGGCAACCTCAACAGTCATGTGCTCACATTTCTGATGGGCTTATTTCGATCCACAACTGGGTATACATATTTCCTAGCATAGAGTATTTTTATCTATGTTCTAACATTTTATACTCTCAAGAGTGTCAGGAAAAAGCTCTGGTAACATGTTTCAAAATGTTTGTTTTTAAGTCATTTATAAAATAAATAACATTAAATGATTGTCTTAAAATGTCTTGATTAAATGATTGACAATCAAGATTTAAAAAAATTCTTAGGTAAGCCCCCCTGATCCCCTGTCCACCACACAAATCTTTTTGGCACTGCCCTGTGCCTGTTGGTTATGGTCTCAGAATGCCATTTAACATGGCATCTGAAACAGACAGAAAAATATACACAGAGTTTCTTGACTTCAATCGGACAGTATTGTATGTGTGGTGATTATGATAAATAGCAAAAAAATTTAAAGTTTTCATTTCATATAAAAAGTGATAAAAATAATAAGTATTCACTGTGGCTGTTTTTCAACGAAGCCCAATTATAAGAATTGTCAGGCTTAGGTTTGGCTTGGGTCGGTCTTAGGTTGGTGTTAGATTATTCTTTGTTTTCAAAGGCTGGTTTTTGTTTGGCCTTTGACTAGACTTAGGTTTGTCTGAGATGATAGTGGGTCTGCTTGTTAGCTAAGCAAGCAATTCTATCTCCTAGCATTGCACATCCCCATTGGTCTTGGCTAGATCGTGACAACGAATCACTCAGACACATGGTTGATTTTGTGACTTTATTAGTTTGATCGGAAAACTGGAACAGAGATAGCAACACAAATGAATAATAGGAGAGTATTCCAAAGCTTGGAACCAAAGTCCTGATGCTTCTTGACCTTGTTACATTTGGTAATATTGCAATTTCTTCAAGTAAGCTGATAATAATGTTAATGCCTTATTAATGTAGCTTTTCGTTCAAAAGTATATATTGATAATTAGGTAATTTCTTTCGTCGTTGTTGTGTAATGAATATTCTATGCTTTCTTATTGATTACAAAAAGTTGTTGAATCTATCGATTAAGCCTACCTTCTCTTGAATTTCTGTGGGTCTCTCTATGCCTTTTCTGTGAATTCCTTCAAATAAACGGTCTGATATATCTATTCGGCCAAATGATTTCCATCTTTTAAAACAAATTTGGCTACATCTGAAACATTTTCTAAAAGACATTCGCGGAAACATCATTGCAGACATTCTTTCTCCATGGAGGCCAGCTGCCTCGTTTTTGATTGCAAAAAAGAGGCTGTATTTCGCGTCAAATGCAGCAGCACTCTGCCAATTTTTCCCTGATAAGGCAACTTGTATATTTAGACCCGTTTGCCAACAAGAAACGCCAATTTTGCTGATTAGAGAAGCCCGAGACCAACTTTTGGTTGCGTAAAGGCATCACAAAGAATACATCACAAAGAATACATTGCCAACCCCTCCCCTAACCTTTTCTCGTCGAATTGAGACGAAATACAAAATCGATTCTGCCGAGAACTGGGGAGGGGGCACGTCCCCGTTGCGCCGCTACTGTACATGATTCAACGTCCCTTTCTTTCTATTTCTACTTTGCAAAGTCTACGCCTTAGATAATTTGTCTCGTGTATTAAGTGCCACTTCAGGTGACCCAGAATCTGCAGCGATTCGTTTACATGCAAACCTCTTTGCACGAGGATTTTTGATACGTCTAGTTATGTCAATTCACACAACTCTTTAACCATTTTCTTCAATATTTCTTTGGAAGCATCAAGAAAATGTTAGCAGAAGCTATAGTTATAATCTCGCTTATTGGGTGCAAAAAATCTCAATCTACGTCTTTATTGAAGGTGTACTGCCTACTTTGATATAACGAGGGACTGGATGATTGTTTTGTTTTTATTTTGTAATTTGGAATTGGAAGATTTTGAGCTTGTTTTAACACATTTAACTTTAAAAGTAACATTTTTCTACGAGTAATTATTTGGTAAGTGGGCGTGTGCTGAAATGTAATACAGAGAAATTCTAAGTTATGTAAACTATTGGAAAGATATTTTTCTCTGTGCCACAAAACTTCAGAGCATTGTTCAAACGAATTAGCAATTTTAAAGGAGAATGACTCGAGTTTTAAAGTTAAAAATGCTTTGAATATAACAAAAAAAGTTGAATATTTTATATTTTTGTGTATGTGACTGCACACAGGCTAAATGTATACGGATATGTATAATACTGTGAAAATTTTAGCAGCCCAGTTCTTAAGCTTTTGCAGTTGACTAATATCTGTTGAAATAGCCCAACTCTAAACAGAGCAATGATACCCAAAATGGAGCTAAGTAATGCCCGAGTAGAGTCGTTTGGATAGCCTACTGCCTTGAATAGCTTTGGTAACCCATCTTTGATTTATCCTTTTCTATCCTACCAGAGACAAACCCAAATTGTTGATCGGTCTTCTTTGAAGAATTTCTAATTTCATATATTTCATTTCATATTTTATATTTCATTTCTAGAGTTGCCCTTCAACAAAGTTGATTCACAAGGAGATCTAACTAAAAAATAACAATTACAATAAATAATACTTTAAAGAACCATAATTATAAAACCCTATTTCTAGCAGTATACTTATTTACATAAAATTATTTACAAGAGTTATAATAAAAATAATTCAGATTCATAGATATCGTGTCTTTTTGGACATCCGCGAATTCTTCATTTAGATGCGTCATCGATAACAGCATTGGGATAATTGTTTATAGAAATTATAAAGAGGGGGATAGTCGTGACCCTTCTTGCATGTCAATCCAAATTTCAAAACGCGATCTACCCTACAATAACTTCATGGTACTGAACACTTTAGAAGGCCAGTGTTTCATAAAGCCTTTGATCAAAATCCTAAATTAGTTATATGTAACTCCCAATCACTGGTGCATGTCTAGAAATTTACAAGCCAGGAAATATTTGTTTGCATGTCGTTCCCTGCAAAAAATTCTTCTATTGAGTTTGGTTTGTCATCTTGCTTGTTCCAATATGAAGTATGAATACTTCAGTCATTATGGGCCATTATGGGGGATCAAATGAAAGGTCCTGCTATCGTTTCGTCCGTTTAACGTTTCGTCCGTCAGTACACTCAAAAAAGTTCTTGTTGTTGTTAACGAAATGTGAACGAGAAATGATACCGAATAAATAATGCGCTGGTTCCAATAATTGTCTTGCGACTCATTATAGTTTCTAAATTGAACTTTATGGTGGATTTCACCAATCACCTGACGTAATTGATTTTCATCCGTTAGTTCCAGAAATTAAGCAAACGTCCCTCCTTACAATTCCAACAAAAGGGGTGTCATGCTTAGGCGGGGGTGTGAAATCGACAATACTCCTCCCAGTAAAGCCCCAAAATGTTTGTTTATCTGACAATTTCATATATAAACAGATAATCTTTAAATATCACAATCCAATTTGTCATCTAGTAGCAAAAAACAACACTTCCAACAGTAAGATGCTTTTGAGAGATTCGTAGAATAGAGATTACACCAATTCTGTGAGAGTACACCCTTGAGTGCAACATGAGTACATTGAAAATTGTTTATAACGTATTTTTGGCTACATTTGAAAACTAATTCGTACTTTGAATATGACGTCATGATAGATTATGTCATACCAGTATACCAGTACGAGGTAAACAGCATCAGCAACAAACGTAGAGGCCTTTGCGAAAAGATGGCTGCCACGGACAGCGTGGATGATGTGCAGGACGATTTGGTGGCGAAGGACCTACCGGAGCTGATTGCATTGTTAAGTGATTTTAAATCCAAAATCTCTGAAGTATTTCCAAGCATTCAATATTTGCAGGACAATGTTGATAGCGAAGATATGAACACTAAGGAAGGTATCAGTTTCCTCGAAGTAAAGTTTCATCTTTTGTTGAAATATATAATCAACATTTTGTTAGTCATGTTAATGAAGGTTGATGGGGAATCTTTGATCGATGCCCCAGTGGTTGAGAGACTTGTTGAAATACGGACTATTTTAGAGAAAATAAGGCCAATTGATCAAAGACTGAAATACCAAATTGACAAGCTCGTAAAACAGGCTACATTGGGGGCTTCTTCATCTGGTGCACTAAATCCGTTAAGTTTTAAACCGAACCCTGATAATATGTCTTCCAAAATGGATGGTGAAGAGGATAGCTCAGACGAAGAAAAAACTGGTGTTTATGTGCCACCCAAAGTAGCTGCTGTCCCATATGAAGATGATACGCTTGAGAATCGCAAAAAGAAACATGACGAAAGGTCCAGGATGAAATCATTAAACAAATCTCTTATAAAAGACTTGAGGGATGAGTATTCTGAAACACCAGAAGAAATAAAGGAAGACTACAAATCATTTAGACGAGGAAGAAATGAGGATGATGAAAAGGAAAAGGAGAGGTATGAAGAAGACAATTTGATTAGGCTGAGCCTTGGTAAAAAGAGCAAAGTTTCAAGAAATGACAGCAGCTCAAAAGATCTGACAAAGTTTGGTTCTTTTGACTTTGATAGTGAAAATGAAGATGGTGATGGAACATATAAGAAAAGGAACAAAAAGGATAAATTTTCTGGTAAAGGAAAGGCAAAGAAAGGGAAATTTGCATTCAAAAAGAAGAAGAAAAAGTTTAAAAAATAACATAAAGAGCCAGTTTTGAATTAAACTCTGACAATTTACTTAATCTTATATCTACAAACTGTCAGTGTTCCAAGAAACCTCTTTATCATGAATTTTCTTCCATATTTCAGAAAAATTCTTATTTTGAGTTGTGATGATTACAAACTTAATTTACTGAATTTCTTAAAGTCCAGTCCATTTTTCCTTTGAAAATCATGTTATATTGTAGTAGTTTTGGATTTTTGTGAAGCAAATGCCTCTTTATAAGAGGGACATGAACAATCACCTTAAAACCTTGGAATGAGGTTCAACATATCAGCATCTTGTACAGTATGGTTTTCGAACAGAATTGAAGAACCATCTAAACTTTAAGATCCGGACTCAAATTCTACTATGGAAACGAAAACAATTGCAACAGATTATTTATCCACAAAATCCCATGCAAAAACAACTAAAGTTTCAATCATACAAAAGAAATATACATAAAAATTCATAAAACTAAGTTGGGACTGGTCTCCCAGGGTGTCGAGTTTCAGTTGAATTCAGCTCTCAAATGTATTTTGAGGTGTTTTTTAATTGTTTCAAAGTGGAGATCTCCTTGGTGGTAGTAGAGTTTTCCTTCCAAGTCTTAAAACCCAAATAGTGAAAGCTTTTCTAAGAGTACATCAACTACAAAAAATTTCATCTTGACAAAATTTCGAACAAATATTTTGACAAAATTTTCTTCAAGAAAATTCAAAATGAGAAGAAATTTGATCACAACAAAATTTTTTTCATTTAGATTTTTGGGGATTCGCATAGAAAAACTCTTATGTGAGGTTTAGAATAAAATGAATGTATCCTTTGTATCAATTCTTTCTACCGTGGTGGCCCCCAGGTACTGCAGAGTGAGAGGGTAATGGTTTTAACCAATTAGACCACACCCTTTTTGCCTCACTTCAGTGCTTTGTACCAGGTACATTTTCCGTAAGCAAATCATAATAAAATATGACCATCCCGTAACCAATGAATTTTAATAAATTTTTAAAAGAAATGTGTGGACCATGTTTTGATGAAAGTAGGGGGGTCCCTTGGGTATTTTAGCCACACCCCCAATGTTGGCAGCATAAACGGGTAAACGTTAAATCCTTTATTAAATAAAGCCACTTAAATTCATTTCACTACAGGAGGGTAGAACTATAAATTTAAAGTCAACAACCATTCTTCATCAACAAAAAATTATCAAATCTGATCACAACGCTTGTGGGAACTGATCAGGATTTCCATGCTAACGTTGCTAAAAATACGTTTTAAAAAGAAGCATTTTCAGCCAGACATTATCAGGGAAATATCTTGTTATTTTTGGAAGGTTTTGATTATTGTGTTATTGCAGATAAGTTACCCAGTTTTGCAACCTTTGGCCCCCACATGTTAGGAGCCTGCTAGGTGGTATCAAATCCAAAATTTCAATGGCTTTGCTCTCGTTTTTTGACAGGGGCGTCATGACCGGGGGGCAGGCGGAGCCGTGGCCCCCTCTGCTTTCAAAATTTGACGGATTTTCGGAAAAATCATTGTTTAGCTGGAAAATCCTCATACTTGAGCTGTGGGTGATTCTCAAACTTTTAGCAACATAAATTACTTGTACTGAAGTACTTACCGTAATTTCGAGGGGCAATTCACTTTTGTAAAGAAAATACTAGATTTCAACAAATCAAGATTCTTGCATACGAGGGTTCCCAAATGCCCAAATATTGGGGCCGAGGCATGAAAAAGCAGATACCGTTGCAACTGAACTGTTGCATAGCAGACAAGGGAATTATAGTGGCGATTGAAGATTGTGGATCTCTGGTGTAAAGCGATAATCTGAGCGAAATCAAAATCGGTGAAAAGCGAAATCAAAATGATTTCTCAGGATTTACATATTTGCTGCTCTGATTTTGTCAGACAAAATCCGAATCTTCAAGGGTCAAATTTGGTTATAGAAACTGATCAATATTGGTCATAAATTATATCTTTTTTGATATTGAAGACCGGGATAGTGCCAATTTTGTGCCTATCACCAGGGGCGTAACTTGGCCAATAGGTTTGGGGGGGGGGGGTGAAAAGGGTTTCTGCCCTGCAAAACTGAGTGGTGCCCTGCAGACCTCGTAGCAACGGTTTGTCAATAGGTTACTAGTGAAAGCTTTACCAGTGTACACTGGTCTTTACCAAGGACAAACTTCTAAACAAAAAAAACAAACTTGAAACTTCATTGCCTATGAAATATCTATTTCTCTACTTGAGCGTAAATTGTTTCTTTTTTATTCACTTTATTTAATGTTGGTTTGCAAAATACTAGCTAATAAACAGCTAATTGGGGGGGGGGGTACATGATAGTGCAACGAAATTTTGCCCGATGGGGCTAAGATCAGTTTGGTGAGTAGAGGACCCACCAAGGACCCACCATGGTTGGGTCCGACGTGAAGAAATTTTTTGAAATTATACCTTGTAAAAGGGCTAAAAAGCATCTTTCAGACAAAATTTTAGCAAAATACTATTGTGCTAAAAGAACTGATTGTTTATTGAAAATATTATTGTTTATTGGGAAAAATAGGGAGGGGGATGTCATGCTAAAACTCTAGTATAAGACGTTGGGGAAGGAAAGAAACGACAACCTTTCGTTTCAGATTGCACGTAGTTGTGAATGACAGAGGAAGATGTTGTTTTGATTGGGGGAATTTTATTTCCTGAACAGAAATGTGCAGTTTCTTGCATCGAGAAGGCCATGTTTACACATCCAAAATTAAAACATTGCAATGATACAGACAGCGATTTACTGAATTAATGCAAATAAAAGAAAAATAATAAAAATATACGTGAAAAAGTTAGCAATTAGATGAAACAAAATCGGTATCTTAACGATTTATTATGTTTTTTAGTTCATGCACTGTTAAAAAGTAATAGAAAAATGATAAAAAAATTCTTATCTTGACCAGAGTGAGGGCCTTCAGCCTCTTATTCCCCTCCAGTGACGCCGTGCTTGTCATGAAAATAATTTACAACTTAAATTAACTTGTATGGACTCAACCTTGCTCTCATAAACATATGCATCAATCATTGCATCCATTGGCTATGACTTTCGGTAAGAAATGCTTTCGCTTTGCAAATAACGGAGCTTTTCCTTACATACCTGTTCCGTTCTCTAAATACAATGTCAGGAAGGCAGGTTCATAACAAATACGATATTTCCATTTCAAAATTCCTAGAAGGCCCTTTACGAACTTCAGAAGTGGCATTTCTGCGTGGCAATAGAGCTCTTCTTGGCGCCCTGCGAAATCTTCGATTGCCCTGCGAAATCGACTATTTTTTGGATTGGGGGGGTGTTACACCCCCCACACCCCCCCGGTAGTTTCGCCCCTGCCTATCACTAGATTTTTGAAAATTTTGTCCCAGATTTGAAATTTTTGCAGTTATGTTGCGTATGGTAAAACAAGGAAGAAGTCGATCAAAACCATCGCTTTCCCCAGCGGATATTCAATTTAAGAATAAAATTTTATTATCAAAATTTGCTTCAAAGAATGCAATTTCCGGCGAATTTGAATCAATAGATTTTAAAAAAATTTCCCCCTTCAGCGGCAACCATGGCTTCACTCTACCCTTGTCCTAAGCTACAGATGCCAGGAACGTTCACTGTAAGTATGAAGAAACAGACACAAAAGACGGAAGTGCATTTTAAATATCTTTCCAGCCAAGGCAAAAAGTTACGCGCCTTTCTGCCCCGACCCTTACACTTCCATGAAATGCTTCTATTTGAGTAAAATAAATCAAAAAAGTTTTGTCGGAAAATTTTTTTTTTGCCCCCTCTAGAATTCATTCGCCACGAAACCCCTGCATTTTTGTATTTAAAAGGAAATTAGAAGAATTCTTTTGACAAGAAGGTTTTTGTCTATTCTGAAATGTGATCCACAGGGACGTGAATTGAGGGATATTCTTGGGATGGTGAAGGGCACGAAATTTCCGACTGACGATAAGCCAATTGTTATTTTGCACTTTAATTGTATTAAGCCTTCAAAAATTACTGAAACTAAAAAACTCCTAAGGTTATTAAAGATTTCCAACTTATTCAAAGAACGGTAGTTACACTACACGTTATTTATTTTAAAAGAAACTTGGATCAGCACTAAGTACTTAAAGTTTCTTAGGTTGGTACCCAAATTTTGGCGTTTTAGTAATAAACTTGCTTTACTTAGTTGGTTTCTTATTTCTGGACCTAAAATTGCCTTGCCGTTTTGAAATAGAGCATTTTGGAAGATTTATAATGCAGATCGTCACTGAAAAAAACCCATGCAGATCGAGGTCGTATCCTTGTAAAGAAAAATCAACACATTAATAGATTTTAGACTCTTAAAGCTTCTTAATTTTTCTCGAGCCTAGTACTAAGGTTTCTTTAACTTTTGGGCATCACAGTACTAGTTTCTTACAAATAAAAACGTGTACTTTCCTGGTGGTCCACATTGTGGCCCACGGTATGTTGCTATGTGCTATGTGCTATCTGCTATGTGATGCACTACATTTTCTCTCGTTGTGACCCTGTGGTTTATACGGCGGATGTTCAAGCCTTGGATTTTGGCGCGAAATTTCACAAAAGTAATGCAGGAACAAGATGAGAGATACAAGTCCGAAAGTTGAAGACAGTAAGACTATTTAGATTTCTACCTTGCCCATCGAATAGCAAAATTTGATGTTGATTAGAGAGAGATTTATAATGCGATTTTGAAACTTTGCATCAGCCAGTTAATGATGTTCATAGGTTAAGAACAGATGGCTGCAAAACGGCCTAAACGAAGATTTTTGTTTCAGGGGCTGAATCCAAACGGTAAAATTATATTGCTGTGCAGATTATCGCTTTTTACCAGAGCCCCACAATCTTCAATTGCTACTTTAATTCTCTTGTCTGCTATGCAACAGTTCGGCTGCAGGGGTATCTGCCTTTTCATGCCTCGGCCCCAATAGTTGGGCATTTGTGATGGGAACCCTTGTATGCAAGAATCTCACTCAAGCCTAAAATAAAACGTCTAGTCATAGTTTAATAATGAAACCTGTTCTACTATTGAAATTAGAGGTGTCCATTGAATTTAGAAGTCTATGATACCTTGATTAAAAAATTGATTGTTTAGGGTAACCTGAGTATTTGGCAAAAAGATTATAATACCCTTCTAAATATAATGAATGTTTTTACCAATTTTGAATATTATGAACTGGATATGATCAATATCAATGTTTGCCTGGTTTCTTTTCTGAATGATAAAATCATGTGCTTGACTATGGACAGTTTCAGTAAGCCTTATTTAGGGTTTCTAAATGTTATGTACTTTTTAGACCTGCATGGCAAACTCTCAAGCATTAAAAGAGAATTGAAATGTTGGGAGTCATTATTCTTCAGAAGCCATGGGCAGAAAGCCAAACAAGGTGTGTGTTATTTCTTTTTTTTCTGCATGCTTTGTTCTTGAAGGTTTAGTTCAATGTTGACTTTTGAGATTCTGTGACATTACTACGGTGGCCACAGGTGCCACGGCAAAACTTTCTTTCTCACGGCAAAAACTTACTTTCTTACAGCAAAAACTTACTTTCTCACGCAAAACTTACTTTCCTCACGGCAAAACTTTCTTTTTTCACGGCAAAATTTCTTTGAATTAATTTTATTAACTTAAATTAATTTTTTTTGAAAATTTTTAATCGCGTGACAATTGGATTCTCGTCGTCGTATTGCTTTGTTCCTTTTGCTTTTATAACAATATGCGTAGTAGACAAGGGTCTGGGAGATAAGGGGGCTGTAGCGGCAACTGATAGTTTCTTCAATCACTTGAAAAGTTTTACAAAAAAGCGATAAATCAGCAAGAAATCTACCATGATTTTAGTCAGGCAAAATTTTTCATTTAAACAATGGAATGTTGTGTTGGGCAACCACTTCGATTTTTTTCTCCCCTTATATTATGCCCATGCTTATTATTTCATTTCTTTATTCATTGTTCATTACTATTATCGAAAAATTATAGTACCTAGCCATCAACTCACCCTGTGAGTAATACGATATGATATGATATTAAACACAATACCCAATTTATAGGTTTTTTACAAGCCACAATCGAGCGTGCCAAGTGCACGTACGTGATTTTTTTGCACGAATTTTATGTGCACGCCAATTTTCAACGAATTGATCTTTTTCACTGCTTTCAAAACAAAGGAATCAAAGACCTTGCATGCGGTACTGTTTCGTTGAGATAGGCATATAGGCCTAGCCTAGCCCAACCTAGATAAATTTTAGAACATTTCTCGGCTGTCTTTCTGCAAAATTATCAAGAGAAGATGTAGGTATTCGCAAATCTGCGAAGTTTAAAACATCTAAAGCATTGATTAGATCTAAGTATCACGTACACAACAACACGTAAAGAAAGTTTTGCCGTGAGAAAGTAAGTTTTGCCGTGGCACCTGTGGGCCACCGTACATTACACTGCACACTCATGATACATGCTTAGATAAGGAATCAACCCCCTTGGTAACAAAATTTCAAGAACTTCTTGTAAGATTCTTTTAAAGACAGAATTAAATTTGTTCTTTTCATGCACATACTGATTCTATTAACAATTATGCAGATTCTTGTTTCTTATGAATAATGCTTAATTAACTAACCAATACACCTGCCAAAATCCAAGTACCAATTGCTAAAATATCCATGGTTTGTGCCACATATTGAGGCACAAAAATTAATTGCTTGGTCTTGTTTTTCTCATTAAAGTTTTCACACGGTGCATTTTGCATTTTCCCTTCTGAGCAGCGGCGTGATATAAAGCATACTTCTTTGGTATAAGGACCTTATTACAATATAAATTTTAACTAATGATAAATTGCAGAATGGGATTGTGTATTTTGAAATAACTTCAATTACTTATCTCCATCATTTTTTTCTGTCTCCTAGGAAGATATTGAAGAGTCAGGGAATGAAATCAAAGGTTTTTATTTTGATATCAAAAGCCTTTTCTTTGTTTTTTTTAATTTTACATTTTGCTACCCTCTATTAATAATAGGTTTCTATGCAACAGTCAGTTTTATAAATTATAATGTTTCAGTACTATAACATATTCTGCAACCTTTGTGCTTGATCTCTTCATAGCCTTCACCAAATGTGAAATGGTACTCTTATTATAAGCTGATTATTTTTTGATCATGCATTGATGACTGTGCATGCTTCTTAATGGTTAATGAAAACTACCAAATAAGTCATTCACTACCAAAGTATTTTTGGGAATTCTGCTTAATAAAAACCTGTTATATGAAAAAATAACATAAATTTGGTAAGAGGAAGACAATATAGAATTACCTTTGTTCTTTTGCCTATACAGCTCCATGTCAGATTTGCAAAATAATGAAACCTAGTTTTCTACGCGCTTTACTTGGTTTTAGTTTGAAATCAGCTAGATGCTTTCAACTATGATATTTTTATAGGTGCCTACAAAGAATACTATCATCTAAAGGAAAAGCTCAAGCAATGCGACAACAAAGAAACGGGAACAAGTTTTGAAAATAAGGTCTTTGAGTATATTTTTGATATTTTTTGATAAAACATAAAGTTTGAATTTTACTGTCCACTGGAAATGAAATGAACCACTTACATTTTGAGATATTTACTATTTTAGCCAGATTTACAATACCGGCTGTTGGAATTTTTCCATCACATGTCTTGAATATATTTATGTAAGATCATTGAATGATTTGTTCTTCATATGTTACTCCAGATCTTATCAGGGATAATTCCCAAGGCAACATAAAGTTCTGCCAATCAATTAGCTGCCATTCATGCTGAACCAAAACCTTTAAACAAACTTGCTTTCATAAAATCAACAGACTGTAGAAAAGGTGCTCCTTGTGTTTAAGTTTAGTTTCAGGTCCATTAGATTGTCAATCCACCCTGCATGTAATTTAAAACAATTCCAGTAAAATTAAACACAAATAAAACACAGAAAAACGTAAGCTACATAAAAAGGTTACAGACAAACAGACCAATACAAAGACAACAATTGGTATAAAGGAAAGACTTATTAAAGATTTACGCACCCGTATGCAGGCACACATCAAAGCAAATTCTTCAACCTTAATGATAATCATATCTCCAGTTCTTGTTTTGTTTAGCATAGAAGTCTCATAAATTTCAAATTAAAATTTGTCATATTCTGGTAGTAAGCTTGATAAAATTGTGCCTGAAAAGGTTTACAGTTTATGATTTGTTGATAAAAAATGAATATGTTTATAGAAAGAATAGAACATACTATAATTATAGCGGAGATTGCTTTTTTAATAAATTTGTTACTTTCCTTTACTTTAGAATTCTTGTGAATCTGTTAAAAGAAGTACTGATGTTGGAATATTTGGCAAGGATTTAAACAAGACTGAAGAGTTAAAGAAACCTGCTAGCCATTTGAAGTACCATTCAGTGAGAGACAAACACCAGACTACCTTTGTGAAGAAAAGACACCTGAAGGCTCCTTCAGCAGTTTTGAAACCAAAATCAAACACTGAATGTGCAAATAATGATGTAAAAGGAGAAAGTGATTTCCAAGTGTCAAAATTGGTGAATATTATATTATGACTATATTATTGTATAGTCAATTTTCTGGTTTTTGCTATATTTTTAAATTGATGCACCAATCCAATCTATGACAAAAGGAAGATATGTAAAATAACATTCTGACCAGACCAATTTATAAAACTTTGAGAAAATAATAAAACTTTCTCTACTAAAATCATGTGATCTTTTTATCAACTTTTCTCTGTAATACACTCTTAATTGAGTGAGTTAAATGTGTCAAATTACAACCTTGCCTGCAATTTTGTTTCAACAGGACAACAATGAGGAGACAGAAAAAACCAATGTGGTTCTAATGAAAGAAGAACAGTCAACAAATGATGGAGACGATGTCTTAAAAGAGAACAAAATCACTGAAAGTATCCATATAACATCAAAGAGTTTTGTTGCATCTAACTATGGAAGGTAAGCATATTTGTAATACATCTTTGATCTAATGTTATAAATGCTTGTAACCAAGACATCAAGCCTATCTTGAGAAGCAATCCCCTTGATATTCAACCAAACAAATGTGTACCCTTGGGCACTTTCCTAAAGCCATGCACTGTTATATGATGCTTATGATAAATGTTTGATTTAAAGGCATCGAGTCTTGATTAAAGCAGAGACTATACCAAATTCTGCTGAGTAACGAGTTTTGTGCTACAATTTTATTGATTGGCCTGAACTGATCACATGTACTCACCTCATACTGAATTATAAAACAGCCTCCACCAATAGCAAATTGTCAACAATAGATGCTGATATCGCATGAAACTACAGTGAGCACCATAACAACCTCATATAGGGAGGAAGACCTTTTTACTGAGACTCAATGCCTTTAAGGTTTGAAGATCTAGAAAGCTTCTCAGAGCTTGAAAACTATGAAACATTGAGCCCTTTTCTTGCTTTCTCTGTTCTTATAACCTATCTTCTATCAAAAGAAAGATCAAGAAACTAAATCTCACTCACCGCTCTTCTTTCACTCTCCATTCTAATCCAGGTAAGTGCTTTGTGACAGGGTCCTCAGGCCTAAAAAAATTAACCTTAAAAGATCAAAATTCTGGCAAGAATGACCGATTAACAAGAAAAACGATTCATTAAGACACTTTTAGGACAAAAAAGAGAGCGAAATTCCTTTAAAGCAGTTTATTCAATGCAGCTTTAATATCATTTTAAATCAAAGTCAACCATTACCAAAATTTGTGTCATAGTTTAGCTATTTGCTTACAAGAATCAGCTTTCATTGCAGACGAACCAGTTTTGCATCAAAGAAGACTTCTGCTGTGCGGAGAAATTATCATGTCTCTAAAGAATGGCTTGAGAAAGTGAAGCCCAAAGATGAGGTGGAAGATGAGTTGCAACCATTTGAAGAATTTGATCAATGTATGGATACTGAATTTGATAATTTTGAAGATAGTGGTGATTGCATGAATCTTCACGAAAAGGAGAGTGGCCGATCGAGTCATGGCTGTGATGAAGTTGAAATGGAGGACTCCTTGCCTGAAGTGCCGTTAAGCACATTAGATGAAAAAAAGGACGTAGAAACTTGGAAAAAGCAAGGAAAATATGAGGTGGTGGCAGATCCTAGTATAACAAATTCTAGGCAACTGGGCTCTGGGAACGAATGTAAAGCAAGTGATTTGCCTGTATCGGAAACTAGGACTGCTACTGGAAAGAACCTTGCTGTGAAATTTAAATCGGAGTCTGTACCTGTAGGGAAGGGAAAAGTCTTAGAGGAAGAATCTTACAGTTCACCTAAAGATAGGGATTCAAATATGGGTTTAGAAAAGTTTGGCCACACGAAGAACCTAGAAAAATCAAGTTTAACTAGAGGAGCACAACAAGAAGAGATTTTGCATGATAAAAATGTTACTAGAGCTTTGAAAGTCATTACACGCAAGAGGAAAGCTGTAGACGAAACTGATCTCGCGGTGGAGTCTCGCAAAGAAATTTCTGGTTCGAAAGAGAAAAGAGTAAAAATCGAGGCAATAAATGACGGAGTACCGAAAACAACACGGGGAAAACGGTAAAGCTTTTGTGTACTTTTTGGGGAATATTTGTGTAAATAAAAGTATGGTAAATATATGTTTGTGACAATATGTTTGTGAAATTGAAATGATTTCGAAAAAGTTAATTATGGACACTGACTAGATAGGTGCAAATTAGTGTGATTTAGACTAAGATGTGTCTTAATAAAAATGCAAATAACTTGACTTGTAAGATGGTTAAAAGTATTTGCAGGAATGGTATTTATCTGATTCAGCTAGTGAATTTTTCACTTTGGAACATTTTCAGAAGATATAGAGCTTTGATCGCTAGGTTTTGAGAAAAAACATTTCTGAGAAGATTATATCGATTTCCTACAAAAGGATACCTTGCTTATTACGTTTTAGCCTAACTTTAGAGGTTAATTTAATCTTCTATGGTAATTTACAATATTCATTGCAAGTTGTTATGATTTTAACGTTATCTGGGACGCTATAAGTAACGTCCCAATTTTAAATTTCATTCTAGTCTTGTCAGTGAAAACTTTGTTAAGATTGATATCCAGAAGAAAAAGTTTTGTCGAGGAAAGCGGAGAATAAAGGCATCGACCTATAAAAGACAGATGTTTAAGAAAAAGACCCAATTCAATACAAAAAGCCCCGCAGTTTGCTTCAAATGTCACCAGGAGGGACACTGGGCCAAAGAATGCGGCAAAAGATCAACCAAAGGAAACCCATCGTAAGATCAACTTTGATTATTTGGTATTCAGTTCGTAAGAAGGCAGGTTTAGTGTGCTTGATAGCGACATTTCACATTTCTGCTCTTTTTTGGGTATTTTATATATGGGGCTATCTGGGTAGCTGGTAAAATCACAAATTAAATGTTCCTTTAAGGTCGGTTTTCTTATTAAATCTATGTTTCATAATTCAGTGTTGAAAAAATGCTTTATGTAATAGTGATAAAAGAGTAATACGTCAGGATACTCAACTGCCTTGGCCTTAGCTGAAATTTGTGTAATAGTTCTAGTGGAACATTTGATTACAAAATTTTTGGTTGGAAACAATAATACACACATTTTGAACATAAAGGATCGAATGACTACATGTCATGAAGTAAGGTAGAAACATCGAAATAACCACGACAAATTCCGATTTTTCTGACAAGAACTCACTCAATAATGCCAAAAACTCGAAGATACCTGAATTGTTCTTTAGTAAAGCTTCATTCAACAATGCACTTGAAAACTTCCTTAGCAAAGTGTATTTGCTAACATAGGTACTGAATTTAGGAAAATAGAGACTGAGTTTTCTAGCCGAGGATGTGCTTCCTCATAGCTTTAGAACTATTTCGCATTTACAACATGGGCTCCGACACAGGCTGTAAAGTGGAAGGGGGGGGGGGGAGAATTTGACACCCATGACAAATGATTTTAAAAAAGCTCTATTGCCTTGCAAAATTATGGAGAGGGTGGGCCCCTTCGTCGGAGGCCCTGTACAAAAAATTACAGTGTTTCAATTTCCTTCCTTCAGAGTTACTTTTTACCAATAAATATTCCAGGAAAAACATCGGGTTGTTGTTTGAACAGTCATTTTTTATGCGAAGCGGTCGAGAAGAAAGCCTCGTAATCAGAACGGGGCCAGCTTTGTGCAAAAACCTTATTTGACTGGCATCTTGATTTTCAACTCTTGACAAAGCTAAAATGTCCTCCTTTTCAAGTTCTATTTCATGTATTATAAGTTGAATTTTTTCCTAGACGATTTTCATCATTTAATGGTAAAACGAAGGAAGATTACACTCCAGTTCATGAAGAAGATGAACTTGAAACACCAGCCACGTTTTCTATCCAAGGTAGATATTTTTGAGACATTATGCGTTTTAAGAAGTCTAGTAGAAAAGTGAAAAATCAGAATGTATAGTTCAAAAGTTCGTATCATAAGCGTGCCACAATGTTTTTATTTCAATACAATCGATTCCGCTACGTCACACTACCTGTTACAGTGACATAGAAATTAGACCAAAATGCGGAAAACTATTTAATTTTGCTCCGCTTACAGTCATTCACAAATTTTCAAGTAGCATATACCAGACTTAAGCTCGTAGTAGCAAGGGGGTAATAGTGGAATTTCACTGTATGAAAGGGTCGGAATATTACCGATTAAAAATTGTAGTGTTTCAAAACCATCTTTACCAATGTGATTTCTCTATAAACAATCCGAAGAGCAGTTATACCTGGAAGTTCCATGGAAGTTACTTGTAGGCCAAAAATGGGACCACTATGCCCTTTTATTTCACGACGATTGAATAGCTTTGTTTCGCATATACTCACGATGACTGCATAGCTATGTTACTTTACTTTCAAGACGTTCCAGATCTTCCGAGGTGTTGGCCAAGGGTTCCATACCACCCACCAAGAGCTGCTCCACCTGTGCCACCATTGTACGAGCCTGTTGATGGGCAGCCGTCACAAGGTATCTACTCAAATATTTTGCCATTGGCCTACGATTACAGTCCTGATAGTTAGAGAGGTGACAGCGGAAACTCTTACCCCCATTTATATGATTGATGAATTGCTTGTAAGGGGAGGGGCATGCTGACGATGTTTATTTAAAGTTTTACCAAGAGAATATTTTCAATGTTTATTTGCATTATCATTGTAAATAAATTAACAACACTAACTCGCAGAAGATTGAGATTCTTTTTGGATATTGGTTACCACCCTCGACCTTTATGCCCGATCTATATGGAACCAATTTGTAATCTCAAGTTCTTTAAAACCACCAAGCACTGAAGGTTGCAAAGCTGCCGATTTCCATAGATTTGAAATATTCAATTAATTTTCTGTGATATTAATCAAAATATTATAATGGTTCACTGCTAATTCTGTGCAATGTGCAGAGGTCAAAGAAACCCCCCTGTCTATATTTTGATTTGATATTTGGCTGCTGGGGGAAGGGGATAGAAGGGGGTAAGCTGCCACTTTTATAAGTTTGAATGTCGCAAATATCTTTATAAGCATTCCTAAGTACGTTTTATACAGGTTTTCAAGTTAAAATCATTAATTGGCTATGGTCCCTAAGTAGCGTGGGTTGAAAAATCAAATTTGATAATTCTTAAATTGTCATCATTCAAGTCTAATTTAATTTGAAATTTGTGTTTCTAACGATTCTTAAACTTATATATAAAAATACGTTTTTGTTCTTAATTTCAATATTAGCTAGAGTATGAATGATATCTTTCGATCTTAAGATTTATTTTCTCGATTGGACGGTAATCTTTACTCGTTGCATTGCCTTTTTTGCAGAGGCCATTAGAGAAGTTAATGACGCTCTCAGTGCAATAGGATACAGCTCGTTTAGGCCGGGACAAGAAAATACGGTTGCAAGAATTGTGTCAGGTAAACCTTTTGCTCTTATCCTCTATTTTTCGATCACTAGGCCTTAAGGGATGAAGGCGGCTTAGAGGCGGCTTGTAATTGTTTAGGGATAGATTGATAAAGATGAATAATTTCAGGTCGAGCTCCTTTTTACTGGAAAAAAGGGGATATTTACTTAGCATTTATTTAGAAGCTAGTGAAACGGCTAGAAAGAATTTTCGTCGACAAAGAGGGTTAAAATGTTTAAATTCAAATGAAATCGGAAAATATTACCTACTTCTTACTGAAACAGATAAATTGACCATTTTATGGATGATTCTGAATAGTGAAGTAATAAGGAGGTTCGACTGATTCACACGTGTTGAAGGCAGAGTTGTAAGATAATGCTTCTGCGGGGGACCTTGCTAAGCCTTGTGATGTCAGAAAATTGTTTCTGTTGACCAGTGTAAAGATTTAAAATGGCTTTGAAAATACAACATTTTGAGTCATACTTAAACTTTTCATCAGTGCTTTGGCATTTCTTCGCGTTTGTGATCTATGTTCTGACGTTTTATGCTCTGAAGATTTTCGAAGATAAACATGTTTCCTGTTTTCAAAGTCATTTTAGATTGTTCAAAGGTTTTTATATTCATCCTGAATGCGAGCTTGTGAATTGAATTATAATGACCCTCCTGATAAATCGGAACCTTTTTTCTAGCCACATGAGAATTTAAAACAATACTCAAGATAGTTTTATACTTTAACCTTGAAAACTTCCGGTTGCTATGTTATATCGTTTTATCCAATTTTTAGTACTTTCATTAAATTAGAATAAGTAATAGCGCTCTAGAGTCACGTCGCCCCTTATGGAACGATTCGATTTTTTTATAAATTCTGACTGTGCAATCATAAAAATAAATATGAAGGAGTTTAGGTTTGTTTATCTTCAAAAACCGATAAGACTGTCTTTACACAAGCATGTAGATTATACGGCAAATAATGTGCTTGTAGTACTTTTATATTATTAGGAAGTACCAAAAAGCTGAGGAAACAATCTTTACTGAAATCGTTCCATAAGTGGCGACGTGACTCTATCTGTTGTGAGCCACGACGTAGACATTAGGTAATCGCGAAATGTGAGAGTATCATTTCAAGGGAATTCACATTTACTTGCAAAATCGGTACAGTGCAAGCAGAATTCAACAAACAATGCCAGCGGATATACAGGATGTAGTGACAGACTTTCAAAAAATGTTATAAAAACCTTTAAATTTGCAGCCCACGCAAATCATTTTCCAGTTTCTCTAAAAAACATGTATTTAAATTAAAAAACTGTTTAACTAAGTCATGAGTAGGTTTATTTTTTTTTCAGGCCTGTCAACCTTGCTTGTTTTATCAACTGGATCAGGAAAATCATTATGTTACCAGCTGCCGGCGTACTTGTTTTACAAGAAATCTAAAAGCCTTACGATTGTTATCTCCCCACTTGTTGCTTTGATGGAAGACCAGGTGTGTATGCCTTCTCAACAGAAATACAATTCTCCCAAAGCTGTCTACTTGCTCGCTTGAGGCTGTAAAAAACCATTATGCAGTGCAATCCTCTTTGCTGTCCAATCCCTGTCACAGGTATTGGGACTCTAACGTTAGTTTTCAAAGCAAACTCAGCCATCACTTACACCCCCCCGCCCCCTCCCTATGAACGATGCTGATTTACTATAGAAAAAATAATAAGGTTATGGGGTACGCTTTTTCTTGTGGCTTGTATGATTTTTTTCGAGACTACGAACATTTTTCTGGGGGAAGGGGCCAAGGGGGTAGAAATAGAAGTATTAGGGAAACGAAGTGAAAATTTAGTTTCTTATGCTAACACTTTGAGACAACGAAATCTCACAGCTGATAGAGAAGACACATTTCTTTCAATTGGACATGTCTTTCTGTGATTTTATCGCCACCTTCTTATATCGTCCCCCAGCTTTCTCTGTGTATGAGTTATTCCCATACTTTTTCAGGTGAGCAATCTACCATATGGTCTCAAAGGAGCTTGCTACCATGCTAATATGTCAAAGGCTCAAAGGGAAAAAGTCTTAAAAGACATCCAGGAAAAGAAAATAGCAATCCTTCTCCTTTCTCCCGAGGCACTGGTTTCGGGTAGCTCATCAGAAGGCTACACAACGCTGTTGGGAAGTATGCCACAAGTAGCGTTTGCTTGCATTGATGAAGCTCATTGCGTCTCCGAGTGGTCGCATAATTTTCGGCCTAACTATCTTAGAGTTTGCAAGGTTAGTCTGATTTTTTGTGATGTTTTCGTTTCCAAAAATACTTTATCCCAAACAAGTTTTTACATTATGCTACTAATAGTGGAATACTGCTTATCACACGAGAGGTTCCTGTTTGAAACTTTTTGTTAATTTTTGTGCAACCTTAGCTTCAAATGTAAAGATGCAACAGAAAACCACAAACTTTTTCCAGTGGCGGATTTAGGAGTGGTCCAAGGAGGCCACGGCCCCAGGCCCCGCGCTTATGGTAGCCAAAAGGGGCCCATGATAATTCTACACATTGTTTGGCTAAATTGTAATAATGTTGCCCAGTTTCCTTAATAGCTTTTCATTTTTACTTCTTTAAGGTGCTACTCTCTCTTTATGTATATATTTGAAAATGGTCATATTATTACTTATTACTTTCTTGCTTATCGTCCTTGTCTCTGTAGGTTGTTCGTGATTATCTTGGTATCAATTGTTTTCTTGGCCTAACTGCAACTTCGACCAAAGCCACTGCAAAATCAATTGCAAAGCATCTCGGGATAGAACTATCAGAATTGGATGCAGGAATAATTAGAGGGCCTACAATGCCAGACAACCTCCATATCACGATTTCTAAAGATTTTGACAGAGACCGGGTAGGTCTTAGAATATTTGTTTAGTATTGACGAAAAGCAGGGGCGGCGGGGAGCAATAATAAATTGCTATTAATCGCGAGCGAAGCGAGTGAACAACGTGGGTCCGGGGGCCACGCCCTTTAAAAGGGCGGAAACGCCCATCCTTTACAAGAGGGATACAGATATAAAGTTATCACTGCTCCTAAATGATGGTCTATTTTCCAAAACTACGCTCGTTTCTGAAAAATCCACAAAAATTTCTATTAAGATACGAAATATTTTGAAAAAAAGAAAACATTTCGTCTAAGCTCAAACATTATTGTTGTTTTTATTTTATTTTAACTTATCCGTTCCTTGTCTAGGAAAACTCGCAACTCTTGACTGTAGTTCCCTAACAAGTCCATCAATTCAATGAAATTTCCCCTGTTTGGAGAGAATTTGTCTTCAGAATGCCCCCGGAAAGCGAGTCCTTGGGCAGACAAGTAGACTGCAACATCAATATGGTGCTTCATCATCTTTGAATATCTTGATGCATTTTCATTATGTCTCAGAATTTCTCTCTGTCTTGCTTCATCAAGTGCACTGGCCACATCCACATTCCCTAAAAGCTTGTACGAAGCGTGACATGTCATGTGACTTTTTGATTCTTGGTGCCTGTTAGCAACATTCGACAAATTCCTGCCATCAGATGCAAATCCAGTTGGTTGCACGAAGCAAGCCTTCATCTGAAATAAATTATGTGAATAAATTGATAAAAATTCTTCTATTATCACCCACATTTTTATAAAAGTTACAGTGGAGTTGCAACCTTGTTTTTTATATTTAGCTCGATTTTAGCATCAAACTGCTCTTAATTTCAAATAGTTGTTTGTAGAAATCGAGGAGCGTATCACCTTCGTACACCTTTGGCAAAAATACTAATGTTTTAAAAAATCTCGGACGCCTTTTGGGAAGAGTGATACACCCCTTGGTATCTTGGTAGTGATGGAAACAATTACAGCAAATGTAGTCTTTACCTAAACGCCTAAACGATAGTTAACTATGCCTAAACCTAAACATTAAGTTATAGATGGTCAGTTTCGTAAACTTGAGCATAAGTAATACTAAAATGGCTTCTTGTAGGGACTATGACAGGGACATCTGATCAATCGGTGTCTTGTGAATAAGTGTGTTCATGAAAATGCCACAATTCCTTGCGTTTGTAAAAGGTGGCTACATATGCAGGGCTGTTTAGACTACCGCGGCTCTCCGCCGCTCGTTAAAAGCCCTGCTATTCATCTTCAATTTGTAATAGCAAAGCCGCTATAAACGAGACTTTCCGACGAGAGAAAATAGTAAATAGAAAATAGTAATCTTCTTACCTTCAAATGATCTCCCATGACTAAACATGGCCAGCAGAAATATGTATTATTCTCTGAATCACCACATATCCAAGAAAAACCTCTATACACAGCTTCACACGAACGACTTTTAACTTTAACATCGGGGCATGGGCGTCCGTCTTTTTTAAGACGAAGGCGCTGTTCATGAGTTAATTTACCTCCTTGCATAGATATGAGGGAAAAGACAGTTGAAACACCCCATCGTACACCAACGGACGCTACTTGATTCATTTTGTATCTGAAAAGGTCTCTACTCTCTTCCCAACGTTTATCGAACTGACGATTTGTATGCGTGATCGCGTGTGAGCTCTTGCTATTCATTCCAAGAATTTAATAGCAAGGCTGTCAGATATGCGTATTTCACAATAGCCCGTTGCGTCACACCATAGCCACACTATGGCGCAACTCCTATTAGTTTCCTCCGTTTGCTATTCAGAAGGGCCAAGTAATAGCATGGCCATCGACGGCCACAGCGTGGATCAGAAAGGTATACACGCGGCATTCTTTGAATAGATTAAGTCGGGCAATCGCAATATCAAAAAGCACAGAGGGGTCAAATAAATCATGGAATGAAGAAACTGGATAAGGAAATCAAGATCCAGAAAAGATTTTACTCGTATAATTTATGTTACATTAATTTGTCTAATACAAAAGCAGAACATTTCTTTGGAAAAAAATTGCTATTAATGAAATAGCATAAATAGCACTGTCCGCCGCCTCTGACGAAAAGCTGTACTTAGAATACATATTGTCCTGTATAAATTTATATTAGTCACATTGCAAAGAAGTCTATACAAGAAGCCGAGCAACAAAAAGAAAAGGAAGCCGGAAGATTTTGTGTCTGTAATCCTGGATGGACAGTGTTGAGATTTTACATACTCCACTCTTCTTTTTAAGCAACGTTTGATATGACTGTAACCGCAATATACCGTCTATCTTGATCTTCTCTTCGATCTGACACCAAATATCTGAACTCGTTGTCTACAGCAGGGCCTTACTAATATACTGACTAGGGGGGCAATTGCCCCTCCGGCCCAAGTGACTTTATATTGTTTCAAACAATAGGCTATTGTCCTTCTCTTTATTTAAACAAAGGGTTGCCCCCCCCCCCCAGCAGATTTTCTTAAGAATAGGCTATAGTCTACAGAGTACCGAAGTGTGACGTCATCAAAAATCTATTTTTAGAATACCTTAATTTTGACCACATAACCTGAAAGAACGGCTAGCAGATAACTGTTATTCCGGCCTGGTTCATAAAATTATTGTTAAGAATTTAAATTCTTCATTCTTCTCATTAACGCAACTATTACCGTGATCTACGGCCCATTCTTCACTTCAGTCTAACACCAAATATATGAACTCGTTGTATTTTGAGATCTCTTCAATTCTAGGCCTTAGTCAGCCTGTTGTCAGGCGAAAGATTCAGCAAATGTACATCGATTATCATTTATTGCACGAGAAGAGAGCAAACGGAGAGGTTGTCGTCTTTATTAAGAACTTGTCTACAGAGTTTGCCGCCAACTGAATTGGATGTCGATAGCGAAGAAGAAATACAACCGAAAACCAAGGCAAAGAAGAAGGGGTAAGGAAATCTTGCTCGCTTCAGTAAAGAACATGTTTGCTGCTTGCAATTAGGCCTTTGTTGCAAGTCTTGTTATATGTTGCAAAGAATCACAGAACAACAAGATTCAGAAACACGTCCTGAAATAAATCAAGATTCTCTCAGGAAAACGTTTTTCCTACTATAACGGTCTAATGTTCTGATGTTTTATACTCGGATAAGTGTCAGAGGAAAAGCTTTAATGTACTCAAATGTTTTCTTTTTTCAAAGCCATTTTTAATTTTTTTACCACTAAAAAGATTGTTTCTTATAACTGTCTATTTGCTTTATGAGCAATGAGCCTAAGGGGAATGGCCTTTCAACCATAAAAAATGCACATCTCTAAAGGGACGCTGCAACTGTTAGCTAGCAACTCAAATTTTCAAGCTTAATGCGACCATCGTGCAACTGTACATGGCAACATTAAGCTTGAAACTCGGAGTTGCAATTTAGAACCGTCCTGTTCTGTACACCTAAGCGTGTGTACAGCTCTCCAATACGGCATCGTGCTCTTTATTACAGACCACCAAACAGTAAATTTGTACATCTAGATGCTCATACTTTGCTCATAACTTTGCAGCGACGGCTAAGATACGTTAGTGATTATTTAGGCCTAATTTTAATCTTGCTTGGCAATTTGCTGCTAGCAGGCTACAGCGAGTTGCAAAGCTTGTCCATTCGCAATGTTTCTTTTCCCGTTCGAAAATGTCTGATATCTGCCCCATTTGCGAGAACTGTTGCAGTTATGAAGTTTAATTATATTCAAATTATTAACACGAACTTTACTTTTGAACAGAAAATCTAGGAAAAAACCGAAATTACGAAGTGTATCATGGGATGCTGATTGCTATCATGCCGGAATGACTCCTGCGCAGCGTCGAAAAGTTCAGAAGAAATTTATGTCGGGAGAACTGCGTATCGTTGTAGCAACGACTGCCTTTGGAATGGGTCTTGACAAATCGGATGTTAGAGCAATTATTCACTATAATATGCCAAAAAGTTTTGAAGGATTTCTTCAGGAAATTGGCCGTGCAGGGAGAGATGGATTGCCAGCTCATTGTCATATATTCTTAGATGAAGAGGTAGTCAAATATTGATAATTCTTTGTTAACAATTGTACATTTGAAATTATCACTTAGTATAGTTACTTGGTTACTATTAATTTGGTTATTGTTTTTAATAATTTTTTACCTACAAAAGAATGAATAAGCCTTTATCTGGTTTTTCCTTGGCAAGAAACATTTTAAATATTCACAGTTACCGCACTAAAATTGATTTTATTCTTTTCTTTTCTTGTATCATTTTTTATCGTAGCCCAATAGCCCAATTTTCAGGTACCTTCGCTGTATGTGTTAGAGGTCTTTAAATCTGTCTACAACTAGTATTACCAGAAATACTAAAAAAATATAAGAGGGAGAGGGTTTTAGAGAGGGACTTTGGGGGTCAGACTATAGTTTGTTCCTGTAAGATGTTAAATCTTTGTGGAAGTTGTGTTTTTACCTTCAATTTGGTAAAAAATTTCAATTTCTTACACTAAACTTATGCAATGCTAATTTGTGACATAGTTATGAATAAACATAGAATTGTGTTACAATTGTAAGACTCCTTTAAACGTTGCTTCTTGTTCCAGGCAAAGGATTTGTGTGAACTGAGACGCCATACTTACGCAAACTCAGTTGATGGCAATTCGGTAAAGAAGCTGGTGAAGAGAGTGTTTAAAAAATGCGACTGCAAGAAGAGGCACGAGGAAGCACTGAAGCACAAGACGCGGGAAGGAGGTAGTGTAGATTCAGAACAGACCGGGAAGATGCTATCAGGTGATGGTGAGTTTATGAAAAATGTCGGAAAAACTGACGCCCATACCTCTGACCAGCAACTTTTAAATGACGATTTTGTTGACAATTGCTTTAAGGACGATCTTGACATCGATGCTTTGACCCAGGAAGAAAGTTCTGCAGATTGTGAACTTCAGGTTAGTTCAGCTATTAATGTAGGTGACGTCACACACATGAGCAATAAACTGAGTGCCGAACCAGATGCCCGTTCTGCATCGAGCGAAGCACTTCGGCAGTTATTACCAGGAGATCAATCGACTAGCGTTCCGTCGCACCCGGTTGACGATTCACCAGGCACGATAGGCGATCAGGGTACTTCCAATACGAATCAACCTCAATTGATTAGTAATCACTGCAATCAAGAAGATCAATGCGGGGGTAATCAAGAAGATCAATGCTGGGATAATCAAGAACGAGTTTGCTCAGGCCACCATGTGACGTTTTCAGTTCAGCAATCAGTCCAAGCACTTGATATCCCAGAAGAGAACATTGCCACGTTGTTATCTTATTTAGAATTTCTACGTGAGCCTCCTGTGACGTTGTTAAATCCAATCAAATCCAGCTGTACTTTGCAATGTTACGGAGGAGCAAGGCAGATGCAATTGCTTGCGATGAAGTTCCTGCCAGTAACTGCTGTGTTTAATAACATGCGCAGGAATCGTTTGAAGCTAGCGGATAGCAAAGCGCTTACATTTAATGTTGTGGAGGTGGCGGATGAAATGGGATGGGACCTGGAACCGATTTATCGAGAACTGCGATCGGTGCAGTGGAATACCTCGTTTTCGCAGAGCCACAATGACAGCCTCATTGGAAAGTCTGGTGTTTTGGTTGAATTTGATGATCCTTCTTTTCATGTCATCGCTCCAGGTACTGTTTAAGAATTATTATCAATACAGCATTCATTATTTCACATTGAGCAAAACAATTTCGAATTTATGAATTTTCTAAGGATGATATCTTTTTACAGGCAAAGGTAGTGTTATCATTTGAGAGAGATACTTAATTTAAAACTGTTGAATTTTCAACATCCTTCTAAGGTATTGTTATGATACTAAATGTTCTGCCAGGTCGAGAGCTGAATTTCAGGCAGGTTGTAAAGTTTCACGCAGTTAGCATAGTGAGGGGAAGGCAAGAGGGGGCGGACGCCCCCTTCCCCCCCTCAAATGGGAAAAATTGTCTTTGAAAAGGGCGTTTTTGTCGTCTCTAAGGTTCAGTGTGAAGGGATATGATGCTTTGGAGCGTTTGACATTTGTGACGTATTTGTTGGCTGTACGTAGATCAGATCTAGTCGTTAAAAGCAGTTGTCGATTTAGCTTATTCTCCTTCCCAATGTTCGAGTTTCACCAAGAATCCATCTATTACTTTTTACGTTGTCATGCAAAAAACGCAACAGGAATACAGCCATTTTGTTTCATAGCGACCTTATATAAGAAGCTGACCACAGTAGCCATCACCCTCAATTTTAAGAAGCTGCTGAAGGTCCTACTTTTAAAGGTGGGGTGGTGGTACTCACTCTTTTCAACGATTAGACACCTATCTCACGTTACGTGTTTGTTTTTCTAAAACGTACCTCTCTTGCATTAGGTATTTAAGAAATCTTTGGGGAGCTTTTATCTTTTAAATCTACAACAACAAATTAGGAAATTTAATGCTAATATCGAATTTTGTTTCTTATTAAATTGAGTTTAGCCTTAATAACCTCTTGCAGTATATCGCTGCTCTAAGTATAGTTTCCGCTTTATATTATTCCTGCTCCTTTGTATCCTTGCGTATTATTCGTTTCCAGGCGACCTGTGTGATGACGAGCGCGACTACGTGTGCAGCGTTCTCCTCAAAACAGTAAAGGAACAAGAAGAGACAAGACTTCTGCAACTTGATGCACTTTATAACATCCTTGATAGATCATCAAATCAAACGTATCATGACGTCATCGAAAAACACAACCCCGAAGCTGACAAGCAGTTGAGAAAGAGCATTCGGGAATATTTTGAATGCGAACCGACTGAGATGAAGTCACTTCTGAACAGGTTGTCACCCCATAAAATCGATATAGAAGTCCCTCAGAGTAAGTGGGATGTGATTGCCCGTGATGTCCGGACGATGTTATGCACCAATACTGATGTCATGTTCACTGGCCGGGCTTTGGCAAGAATATTCCACGGAATTGATAGCCCATGTTTTCCTGCAACTGTTTGGGGTCGAAATCGTAGATTCTGGCGCCAGTACATCGATGTTGACTTCAACGATCTCCGAAAATTTATCACTGATGAAATAATTAAATACAGGACATAATATTATTTACATTTTTCCTTTTAACACACTTTTCAATTTGTACAGTTGTAAGATATCTTCTTTTTCGACGTTTCTCTTTTTTGTTTTAATGTTTTTCGACGATGGTGGATGGGCCAAATTGACCATGCCCCCCCTGTAATGGTTCCTCAAAAATTGCGAAGCAATAAACGCATTCCTTGTGATTGGCCACCAAGACTACTATCCAAAGAATAAACAACCACAAACTTACTATGTATCTTGTCCAATTAAGCGTGGTGTGATTAGAAAATAGTAATTTTTCCTTGCGAAGAAATATTTAACAAAAAACGTACCTCATTGGCAGAGCCGATGCCAACAGAGGGCGCATCGCCCCCCCCCCCCTTATAAGGCTGTTTTTCGGAAATCCAGAATGCTTGTTGGAATGTTTTAGGATTCTGTACAAGTCATATCCGAGAGACTGACTGATGATGATATTCTTAGCTTTCCATATTTTATTATTAGCAATTTTCCTTTAAATCAATTTTTTATGTTGCATCGGCTGAAAATAGTTCCTTGCGGAAAAATTAGTCCTTGTCTTGTGGTCCTTGTCTTGACTAGTCACTTCAGCAAGAAGGCAACTACACCTTGGGGAATCTATCTGAATCTAAAGCAAACTGGGTTGGACAGTTGGCTACTTGACCTATATCTATCAAAAGGGAAATGACAAATAGATACGCATGCGTAGTATTCAATTTACCATTGTAGTAGATATGACGTCGGAAACATAATGGTTTCTACTCAGCGAATGGTCGCGCATTCGCAGCGAATGAGAAAGTTCAATTTGCTCATGCCACAATGTGCATTCGCTCAGTCGCGCGACCAGAGCGAATAAAATGGAAACCCCCCTTCATACGTGCAGAAAACTGTAAAGGCTGGTTTCCACTTTATTCGCTCTGGTCGCGCGACTGAGCGAGTTCACATTGATTCGATTTCGCCAAGTCGCGCGACCAGAGCGAATCATGTGGAAATGTTGTTTAGAACCCGGTTTTAAACAGAGTTAATCACCCCTTTGATGCTATCATTTAACCTCGCTTTCACTTTCTGTCACGTGCAGGCTATCCTAGGACATCCGGGACATTTGTAGGTTTATAAGGGATGCACGAGTGCTACGCCCCCTCTGCAAGTTTTATGCATGCTGCAAACGGTTGTTTGCCGCTGCAGCAATGTTCAATAGGGATTAAACCAGCCTTAACGGACGGCCGCCTGACCTGTCAACGTGATTTTCAATTTATTGCCTTTGAGCATGCGCCAATTTAATCGCGACGTACGCGCGGCCAAGTGGAGGTCGGCCTTAACGACATTGGTGATATTTACGCAGGCCATTCAGTGATACAATAGCAGAAGGAAATGTTTTGCTTGTTATCGCTAGTCTTCACAACGCGACGCAGTGCTTTGTTTTGTTTGTTTGTATAATACCCCGGTTATCGAAAAGCTCATTAATAATTCATGAGCATACACAGTCCACAAGTCTATTTCGCTTTTCCCCTCCCACCGCGCCCGTCTCATTCACAGAAGTCCACAGGAGGGAAGAAAATACACTCTCTCAAGCATGAAATAGACTTGGAGCAAGTCTAGCAAACAAGGTAACTGGAATTTTTTCTTTTGATATGTGATCCTGACAACATGACGACCATGCAACTCACTCCACTATCTGAAAGTGAAACCGAGCGGTTGAAGAAGGTGTACCCACATACATTCGTTAAATTGGGGCAGATGTACGTGAGAGTTGTGCCAGGAAACTGCATTTTGCCTAAAGCCTATGAGAAATACAAGGATCGATTTAAGAATTGGGACGTCCGCTCAGAAGATGTTTATGTTTTTGGCTTTCCTAAAAATGGTACAACCTGGGTACAAGAGCTCGTCTGGTGCCTACAGAACAACTGTGACATAAACAAAGCCAAAGCCATTTCATCGCTGGAAAGAACCCCATTTTTAGAAGGACCAGTTATTGTTGACTTTTTGGATAAGGCTCGCTCTCGCATTGAAGGTTTCCACGAAATGGTAGAAAAAATGGATTCACCGAGAGTCTTTAAATCTCACCTTCCATTTTGCCATTTTCCCGACGACTTACTCGAAAAAAGCAGGGTTGTGATATGTTTTAGAAATCCGAAAGACACGTTGGTCTCGTTTTTCCATCATCAAAAGTTATTTCACTCTTTAGATTTCAGTGGTGATTTCGCAACTTTCTTCGATCTTTTCATGGATAATCTGTTACTTTACACGCCATATTTTGAATACACCATTGAAGCTTGGAAGCGACGAAATCACCAAAATGTTTGCCTTTTGTTTTATGAAGAACTAAAAGCTGATTTGGCTGGCAATATCAGAAAGGTTGCAAAATTTCTGGGAAAGGAAATCACAGAAGAGCAAGTTGGGATTTTGATTGATCATTTGAGCTTTAATAAAATGAAACAAAATAAGTCTGTGAATTTAGAAGGACTCCAAGATGGAAAAGATATGAAGAAGGAGGGGAGCTTCATTCGAAAAGGGGAAGTAGGAGACTGGAAGAATTACTTCACTGTAGAGATGAACAAGCGAATGGATGAAGCAATTGAAAAGTATTTGAAGCCTGTTGGACTTGAATTTCGCTATGAGTAAGTGTAGTAACATCTTAAAGTACACAAAAAAGGAAAATATTTTCAATGAAACAATTTTTTGGTCTATTGCTGGCTTATTGATTTTTGCAAGTATAATATCAAGGGTTGTTCCACAAAGGTAGGTTTTCTCACTGTTCATGCTGAAGTTTGATTTGATACATTAAATATTATTAGAGACGGGAACAGGCTAAAACGAGTGTTGCTCGAGGTATATATAGTCGGATTCTCTACGTTTGGTTTTCAGTTTAAAAGTCTCATAAAAATATGAATATTGAAGAAAACAGATAATTGTTACTGGGCCTAAAGTTTTCGTCAACAATTTTATCACAGGTTCCAAAGGTTGTGTTCAGTGCTTTATATATGTTGAGAGATGTTGGAATATTTCAGATGCATTGTGACACAGAATAGTGACTGTGATGACACACTGCCAGCATTGTAAGATCTATGAAAGATCAATGTTATTGAGAAAGTATCACACACCGTGTGTTGTGAGACTTTAGTTATCCTAACAATCTCGCTAACAATAATCCCTAAAGACTCAGATAGCACGAACAAACACAAAAAGTTCACGTACTCCTTTGAGCCACTTCAACGTATTCTGAAAATTCAAACTTTACATGCTGTATTTATACTTTGAAGAAAGAGGATATATATTTAGAAAATCATGAGTAAGTTTCATCAACGACATGAAGTAAGTAAAAAGTACGACGTGAAAACATGGGAAAGGAAGGGAAGGGCTGAATAGGTACCTATGCTAAAACAAGCTTAATGACGCTAAGCTCAACAAAAACATACGTAAATGCTAACTGTGATACATGAAAAGCGAAATAAACAATGATGACTAAACTAGGCATTACGGTCTAACAATCCTGGGATCCCAAACTGTATCGATCCGTAAATTTCGCTTGCGTTTACACGGGATCGATCCCAAAACATTATGTGTGTACACGGGATCGATCCCAGATCGGCCAGATGTTTTTCAATGGTAGGGGATAACCAAAGACGCTGTTGTCAAATTCAGACAACAGATAAAAATAAACAAGAGTGGACATAATCGATGGAAATTTCCTGTTCCAGTCATTGGAGGTTTCTGAAAACCGAGATATCCACAAAGCAAGCTCATTTTTTTAAATTACATTTTCTATAAGAAACGAATACTGGATAATCAGAAATAATTATGAAACTTTAGTACTCAAAGTAAAAAGTTAAAGAAACACCAAGGTCTCTGAAAATCGTGGATATCCATCAAGATGACTTGTTGTCTGGCACAAAACGTCAGACAAAGAAAAGGAAAAGATTCTTCCCTGATCTTAGTACAGCATTAGAACTGAAGAGAATCTTATGATAGTAATGTCACGCACAGTTGAAAACAATAGGAACATGGGCCGGGTCACACTATAAAGGGGTCTTTGTGGATATCATATACCGAGATTCCGCAAGAAAATGTTCATACTACTGCGATTCATCAATTTGAATTTCAATTCCTATTTGGTGCGAACTACAGTAAACACCCATGTATAAGAATCTGTTGAGATGACGTATTAAAAATGCCTGGGAAATATTGGTTTGGTCTCTCCCTTGCTGGAAACTCTCCAGCACGGTTTAGTCACATGATTATGACATCAATCAACACAGCCGCCGAGAAGTGGGGCAGATCAAGTGTTCGTATAAGGAGATTAAATCGTGCTATTGTTTAGTTTTGTTATCTTTATAGTTGTGCTGGAAACGTGCTCACACATGTGTTGTGGGAAATTAGTAACTTGTCAGTACGTATAGATTTAGTTATCCGCATGTTTAAGAAACCAAATTAGATACTTACAGATACAGTAAAATTAATAGACTCGTGGAAACAGAAATTAAGGAACCATAAATGCACACAACATCCTGCATGATGCACAGGCACATGGTTAAATCGTAGTAAAAACCGTAAGTAAAGCAGATTAATCAGTATTATTAGATAAATGGAGCAATTTCGTATAAAAGATTTAAATAGAAACACTAAAGTAGAGTTAGAGTAGAGTCGCTCGAAATGTAGGTAAGAGACGAGCAACGTAGAGTCGCCTAATAATTGTATGTGGAATAAAACAGAAAATTAAAGATGTACGAAAACGATATGGTCTTTTTCTTGAGAAATTCGGTTCACTTCTGAAACCTCTTTCGAATCAGTAGAGTGAAGCAATTAATGCAACAAGTGGTCCACCGCGAGCCAGAGGTTTACAGTGAATATGGAGAATTTAGAAAAGGACAAGAAGAAGAGAAGTCTATTCAGAAGAAATGTTACGAAGTTGGTGAACAAAGTGAAAGATATATTGGATTCTCCAGATGTGGAAGATGGATTGGTCGAGCATCTGCGTAAGGAGCTGCTGGAACGACAAATAGAGCTGAAGGAAGTTGACGATAAAATTTTGGATTCACTGCTGGAAATCGAAGAAACAGATGAGCAAGAATTGGATAGAGAAAGTGAAGAGGCGAGTAGCTATAAGGAAAAAATTTCATTTGCCATCAGCAGGATCGATCGATTTCTAAAACCGCCAGAACGAAATTCGCACAACACGAGAAGTTTGTCACAGGACAGCTTAAATTCCAATTCGTCGAGCGAAACCAAGTTGGTCAAAAAAGTGAACATCAAATTGCCGAAATTGGAGCTGAAAAAATTCGGAGGAAAAATTCACGAATGGCCGGAATTTTGGGATGGATTTCAAAGCGTGCATGGAAACCCCGATCTCGCGGACTGCGACAAGTTTAAATACCTGAAGAGTTTTTTAGAGGAACCAGCCAGACGGGTTGTAGCTGGAATGCCGATGACGGAGGAAAATTACAAGATTGCCGTGGATTTGCTGCAGAAGCGATTCGGGAGAAAGGAAGTTATACAGCAAGCGCACATCGGACATCTTATGGGGCTTCAGCCGGTATTCAACGAAAAATCCACCACACGGTTGCGGAATCTGCATGATGAAATCGAGACGCATTTCCGTGGACTCGAGGCCATGGGGGTAAACAAATATTCGTATTCTTCGATCGTCGTGCCATGCCTGATGGAGAAAATTCCGGAGAATATGAGGAGCCAAATGATCAGGAATTCAAGGGAAAACTATCTAAGTTGGGCAGTTGACGACTTACTGGCTTATATGGAACAAGAACTGCACATAAAGGAATGCCAAGTGCCATTTGCCAAGAAGGAGAACGCTGAGTTTGGAGCAAGGCCTAGACTTGACAGGGGACATGGCGGCACCGCATCATCATTGCACGTTGGCAGCAAAACTGAAGAAGGTAGCTGTGTTTTTTGCAGAAAAGGACACGCCCCTGAGGCATGTAACAATGTCAAAGGAGCAGAAAGGCGTAGAAACATGCTTATGAGATATGCCAAGTGTTTTTTGTGTTTAAGATCAGGGCACCGTGCTTATAATTGTAGGAGTAATCTTAACTGTAGCACGTGTAAGGGAAGGCATAATGTTGCAATTTGTTCTAAAGCAGAGAAGGTGCAATTTGATAAGCTTAATCGTAGTGATAAGGAAACCGAAGGGAATAGATCATCTGCTGCCCAGTTAAGCCCAAATGCACCGTCATGGATAGGAAGTACCGGCTCAGGGGGGAACGTAGCACTCCAGACTGCTGCAGCGAAGGTTAACGGGCATAGATTACGTGTTCTTTTTGACTCAGGAAGCCACAGATCGTTTATAACTTCGCAAACTGTCAGCAAGCTAGGACTAGAAATCGTTAGGGAGGAAACCTTAGGAATAAAGCCCTTTGGGAGTGAAAGTGCAGAGTACAAAGTGAGAGAAGTTGTTCGAGTGCCATTGTCTTCACAGGACGGAATGAGGAAAATTGTTATTGAATGCTTTGTTGTTGATAACATATCTAACATTAGCAATGTACACCCTGAAGTTGTTAGAAAATCTTATCCTCACTTGCATGAAATCTGGTTCTCAGATGTTTGTAGGCTGGAAACATTAACTGTAGAAATTCTGGTTGGGTCAGACTTCATGTGGAGCTTCATGGAAGGTGAAATCAAACGAGGGGGGCCTGGAGAACCGGTTGGTGTCAAAACAGCACTGGGCTGGGTACTTTCAGGTCCATTGGAAGGTAACAAGTTGATTTCTTATGAATTCAATGTAAATTTTGTGCCAGAAGAAACATCCACATTATTTGTTAGACAGGATCTTGATTTGCATAATAAAATTGATAAGTTATGGAACCTAGACTCTATTGGAATTAAAGAGGAAAATAATGTATATGAAATGGTCTTGGATAACCTAACTTTTGATGGCAAAAGATATTCTGTTGGTTTACCGTGGAAAACTGGCCACAAAATCTTGCCAACTAATTTTGACAATGCATATGGCAGATTAAACAGTCTTGTTAATAAGCTTAAGAAAAATCCATCACATTTTAAGAAATATGATGATATAATAAGGGAACAAGTTGAACAAGGCATAGTAGAGCAAGTGACAGATTTGGAGCTTGCAGCAGAAACGCATTATTTACCTCACATGGCAGTCATCAGAGAGGAGGCAGAAACTACTAAGGTGAGGATTGTTTTTGATGCATCTAGTAAAGATAAGAAACAGGGTACATCATTGAATGATTGTTTGCATGTAGGACCATCCTTGACACCCCTAATTTTTGACATTTTACTCCGGTTTAGAGAAAACAAAGTAGCATTGGTCGGAGACATAGAAAAAGCCTTCTTAAGCATAGAAGTAGATGCAGCAGACAGAGACTTCTTGAGGTTTTTATGGTTAAATGATATTGAAAGTGAAAATCCTAAAGTTTGCGTTTTTCGATTTAAAAGGGTAATTTTTGGTGCCAATTCTTCTCCATTTCTGTTAAACGCAGTCTTGCGTCATCATATTAATCAGTATAAGGAGATTGACCCTCAATTTGTTGTTAAGTTAATAGAAGGATTCTTTGTGGATGATCTAGTTACCGGAGGGAATAGTAAGGAAGACGCTAAATCCCTATTTAATAAGGCAAAAGAAAGAATGTTAGAGGGAGGCTTTAGGTTAAGGAAATGGAAAACAAATGATGACGATTTAGCACAGGAGATTTTGAAGGACGAAGGTGCAGTAGTTGTAAGAAGTGCAACAGATGACATCACTTATGCTAAGGAAACTTTAGGAGGAGTAAGCACTGATGTTAAGAAGACTAAGGTTTTAGGAGTTATTTGGGACAATAAGAATGATAAGTTAGAGTTAAATTTTAGTAGGATAGATAAAAAGGCTATTCCACTCACTAAGCGTAGTATGCTGAGTACACTTGCAGCTATTTTTGATCCCCATGGAATAGTCAGTCCCATAGTGGTAACTGCCAAGATCCTTTTTCAGGAAGCATGCATGTTAAAATTAGGATGGGACGACCCCCTACCAGAATCTTTAGTTGGTAAATGGACAAGCTGGGTGAAAGACCTCAACGCCGTTGGCAACATTACCCTACCAAGATGTCTTTATGATAAGAGTGAGGGGGAAATAAGAAATGTAGAGCTCCACGGTTTTGGAGATGCTAGCTGTAAAGGGTATTGTGCTGTTGTATATCTTACTTATGAAACGGATGCAGGGATTAATACTATATTACTTTGCTCTAAAAGTAGGGTTGCACCATTAAAGGAATTATCAATACCACGTTTAGAACTTTTGTCTGCCAGAATTTTAGCCACATTGGTAGATTCTGTTAGAAAGGCACTTGCTTCACAAGTAAAAATTGATACAGTAAAACTGTGGCTGGATAGTAAGACAGCATTAAGTTGGATTCATCATAAGGGTGAATGGAAACAATGGGTTCAATTTAGAGTAGCAGAAATTTTGAAGGTTACGCAAATTGAGGACTGGGGGTATGTTAGAGGTACTGAGAACCCTGCAGACATAGGTTCAAGGGGCACCTCTGCTAGCCAGCTCAAAGAAAACAAATTGTGGTGGGAAGGTCCAACCTGGTTACAAAAGGGTAGAACAGAATGGCCAGGGGGTATAGAACTAGAAGATACAGAAGAAGTAAATAAGGAGAAAAAGAAAACCAGTGTTTTGATAACAGTTGCAGAACAACCAAAAGGTATAGGCAAGGTAGTTGATATAAACAGGTATAGCAGCCTTCGTAAATTGCTTAGAGTAACAGCCTTTATTTACAGGTTTATATCAAATTTGAAAGCTAAATTGAATAAGCAGCCTGTAAATCAATCACCGCTGGACCCTGAAGAGATAGTGCAGGCAGAAAAGAAATGGATAAAGGATGCACAATTGCTAATAAAGGAAGAGAAGTCGTATGACAGAATAAAACTTCAACTTGGTGTACAAGAAGTTGATGAATTATTAGTTTGTAAAGGCCGATTAGACAACTCTGAATTGAAACTAGAGTCTAAACATCCAATAATTTTGCCCAAAGAACACCACTTAACAGAATTGGTAGTGAGGGATTGCCACAAGGCAGTTTTTCATGGGTTAGTAAGAGCAACATTAGCTGAGGTAAGAACACGATTTTGGATTTCAAAGGGTAGGCAATTTGTGAAAAAGATCTTAAAATCTTGTTCTATTTGTAGAAAACTGGAGGGTAAAGCTTATGGAGCACCACCAACAGCTCAGCTGCCAGATTTCCGAGTGACCATGGCTAAACCATTTGCAAATGTTGGCATTGACTTTGCTGGACCGCTCTACATAAAGGCAAGCAATAGTGAAATGACAAAGGTTTACATTTGCTTATTTTCTTGTTGTGTAACAAGGGCCTTACATTTAGAGTTGGTGCAGGACTTATCAGCCTCAGTTTTTCTAAATTGTTTGAGACGATTTTGTGCTAAGAGAGGTACGCCAGAAGTCATTAATTCAGATAATGCCAAAACATTCAAAGCAACTGCAAAGTTTTTGAAGAAATTGAGCAATAATCAAGAGATAAAAACATTCTTGGAAATTAAAAGAATTAAGTGGAAATTTAATTTAGAAGTTAGCCCATGGCAAGGAGGGCACTTTGAAAGGATGGTACGTAGTGTAAAGAGATGCTTAAGAAAGGTACTTGGAAATGCCAAGGTATCCCATGATGAACTATGTACTTTACTGGCAGAGGTAGAATGTGTGCTCAATAATAGACCCCTGACCTACTTGTATGATGAGCTTGGTGGAGAAGTCCTTACCCCATCTCATTTAGTCATGGGGAGGAGGTTGAACTTGTTGTCGTCAGGCATAGAATATAGGAATAAGAGCAAGGAAAATCAGTCATCTTTAACTAAACGTTTCTTGCATTTAACCCGATTATTGAATCATTTTTGGAATAGATGGAAAAAAGAGTACCTTGTAAACCTTCGGGAGTCACACAAAATGGTGAGTAATAAACAGCAAGTAATCAGAACTGGAGACATAGTATTGGTACAAGATGACAACTTGAAAAGAGGAGAATGGAAGGTAGCCAAGGTGGAAGAGCTAATTGCAGGGAAAGATGGACATGTTCGCGGAGCAAAGGTACGCAGAGTCGGAAAGGGTAAGTATGAAATATTAAATAGACCTATTCAAAAACTGTACCCATTTGTAGACGCGGGTGAGGAAGTTAAAGAATCGAAAAAAGAAGGGAACGTAATGCATCAGGGAGGAAAGAAGCAAGAGAAAGGGAACGCAGTTGAGGGGAGAAGTGAGAATGAGCAACAGGACCAATCCCAGGCACACCAAGCCACAGGGACCCGAGATACTAGGGCAGCCGCTAGGGACGCACGTCTCAAAACTAAGTTATTGCTTGACTCGTAGGAACTAGTCAAGGAGGGGGGTGTGTGCTGGAAACGTGCTCACACATGTGTTGTGGGAAATTAGTAACTTGTCAGTACGTATAGATTTAGTTATCCGCATGTTTAAGAAACCAAATTAGATACTTACAGATACAGTAAAATTAATAGACTCGTGGAAACAGAAATTAAGGAACCATAAATGCACACAACATCCTGCATGATGCACAGGCACATGGTTAAATCGTAGTAAAAACCGTAAGTAAAGCAGATTAATCAGTATTATTAGATAAATGGAGCAATTTCGTATAAAAGATTTAAATAGAAACACTAAAGTAGAGTTAGAGTAGAGTCGCTCGAAATGTAGGTAAGAGACGAGCAACGTAGAGTCGCCTAATAATTGTATGTGGAATAAAACAGAAAATTAAAGATGTACGAAAACGATATGGTCTTTTTCTTGAGAAATTCGGTTCACTTCTGAAACCTCTTTCGAATCAGTAGAGTGAAGCAATTAATGCAACAATAGTTTAAAAGAAAAACGTCTCTTTTTTATTTGCTCGACCCTATAATTACAACAGAATCATTTGCTCGACCCTTTAATTTTTTGCTCCTTCTTCTTCCTCTTATTCTTCCCTTCCATTTTTCTTCCTCTTTCTTGTCCTCTTCTTTTTCCTCTTCTTCATCCTCTTCATCTTCTTCATCTTCTTCTTCTTTGCCTTAGTCCCAACTGGGGTCGGCCATTCTTGTACGTCGCCGCCAATATGGTCTATCCTGAGAGCCTTCTTTCCGGATGTTTTTCTTTCTCATATCTTCTTCAACCATGTCTTTACACTTCAATCTTTGTCTTCCTACAGATCTTTGATCTTCCACAGGTAGTTCCCATGCTTCCTTCACTGGGTCATCTTCATCTCTTCTCATCACATGACGTAACCATCTCAATCTGGATTCCCTAATCTTCTCTACAATACTAGCCACTTTAGTTTCAGTTCTGATATCCTCATTTCTTCTTCTTTCTCTTAGCGATATACCCAGCATCCATCTCAACTTGCTCATATCTCTTCTGTCCAGCAAGAGTTCTTCTTTTCTTCTAAGTGCCCATATATCTGCTCAATACATCATTATTGGTCAAACAATTGTACAATAAACTTTTATCTTTAGTTTCTTAGGCATCTTTTTATCCAAAACTACACTGCTAACTTCTTTCCACTTCTTCCAACCAATTTTATTCTTTCCCTGACATCGTCTTCTGTGCCTCCCTCTTTCATCATTTTTCCTCCAAGGTACTTGATCTTATCTTCTTGCTTCAATCTAGTTTGATGGATGTCCTCTATTTCAAAAGCTTCTTCATCTATTGCTCTTTTTGCACTAACCATAGCCTCGGTAGCAATTACCTTTAGGCCTCCTTTTTCCATGCTTATCTGCCATCCTGCTAGTCTAATTGGTAGGTTTTCTTTACTTTTAGCCATGATTACCAAATCGTCCGCACAAAGTAGTTCCCAAATGCCTATAATGGAAAGGATATAGTGCAGATCCCTTATGTAGACCAAATTCTATTTCCAACTCTCGGGTGTTTCCGTGTACTATGTTAACTCTTTCAAACAACAGAATCTGGTGTTTTAAAGGGGCTGTGTCGCTGTGTCACGGTTTTGTAAACTAACCAAATACATGGGGCATTGTGCGTTTTTCCACACTGGGATCATGACGGATGGTGCTCCGGTACTTCAGTAAGTTCGATCAATTGTATTTTATGAATGTATTTGCCGAACTTGGAAAGGATAATTACTATGTTTCCACATTTGTACGGACAATCGACACCAAATGTGTCAAGCCATTGGCATTAGAGATTAAACAACAAAATGATTACTCCAAAATTGTCCTGCAAACTTTGAAAATGTTTTCGCTAATAACTTGAAAATATAGGCTGGAAAACAGTCAATGACATGATTAAACATGATAGCAGGACGACAAAACATAAATCTTTAAACAATCTTGTCCCCAATATATAAGCGATATGTTCAGAAGTAGTTCGCAAAGTACAGCTTGGCAGCTGCGTAATGCAGACACTGACTTAAAGCTTCAAAGAATAACACAAGCAAAGGGGCGCTAAACTTTGGAATAACCTAGATTCCGAAGCTAAGAAGGCAAGATCTCTTAGAACATTAAAAAACTTTGCTTCAAAATTTATTGGCTTTGCTTGTTTTGTTTTAATACTCCAGCTTCGGATTGCTTCAGGTTTTTAGCTATGGAAGATATTTGTATCTGATGTTAATCGGGAAACAGAAGTTGTAATAATGAAAAGAGTATTAAAAATGCGAAGGTATAATGGCTTAGAAGTGGTTGGGTATCGTATCTTATGATCTAATGTAAATTTTTACTTTATTCTATTATTTGTTAGTTTTTCTTTTAGTTTTGATGCATGGCCCCTTGTAAACCAGCATTGCTGAATGGGCTACTATGCTTAAATAATTGAAAATGAAATGAAAAATGAAATAGCTTGTATCGGTAAGGTAGGTTTTTTGGTGTCATTTCGGCCTATTTCTTTTAACTGCTCCCTTCGAGCTGCTGTATCCAGGCTGTAAAAGTGGCGATGGCTTTTTTTGCATTGCCATCCTTCATCCAAAGAAATATAGTGATAAGACCGTAGAAAGAACCTTCATTGTAATTTTCTTTCACAGAACATACCAAAATGCGAAAGCTTCGCACGATGGGCATGAGCACGGATATAAAACACTGTGTTGTTCCATATTGATTCTCCATATGGTGTGTTGCCACGCGTGCACAACTTTCGCACAAATTGCGTGTTGCCACGTGGGATGTCACAACACAGCCCTTTTAAGAATCTGTAGGCTTGAAAACCCTCAGCATAAATTGAAAACCCTCAGCATAAAATAACCCACCTAGCCTGCAACTGGTGGCCAAAAAGGCTGGGGGAGAAAACCACTGTTCCGCAGATTTTTACTTGAAATTGGCCGTTCCGATCATTTTTGGCCTAAATTACGCGTCCCGTCAGTTTGTAGTTAAAATGATGGTACTAATTATTATTATTAGATATTATCATCCGAAGAGGCCATCAGAAATTCATCTTCGGAAATTCAGCAGATCTGGAGTCGTCGAACAACATCTGCTCAACTTTTTGGCTTTCATCTCAGCTTCCGTTAGATTTCTCTGTTTGTTCTGTGAGATTTGTAAGAAGTCTAGGACCACAGCATCGTCTGGACTACTACATAGTCTTTTCCTGACGGTTTGTGCATGGCAGACAGCAACACCATAGGTGGAGGCGAATGTCCTCAATTCATGGAAGTCACAAGCATCCATCTTCTCGACTAGCAGTGGCTTTATCTCTTAAAGGTCACAGAAGTTTGTCATACGTTGGGGCCTTGGATTCACACTTGTGAAACATGAAATGACGAAATGGATAACCGTTTCACGCCTTGCACCCCCTAAAACTGTCATTGTTAAGTGGTCGCAATTGTTTTGATCCACCACTGTTATCGGTCAGTTTCTGCCGCGGACGGAGACTCGTTGTATTTATAGTTGCGATAATAGCAATTTGCCAGGCTATTGAAGATTAGGTTTGTGAGTTTGTTGTTTATAATTTACTTCATCTTTACCGAGGCGGTGTGCTTGGTTCGTTGGTGTTTTCTGCAGTGAACCGAGAGATCGTTTTTCGGGTTTTACCCGGTTTTTGTTCTTGATTTGCCACAAGGTTAATAAGATCTCGTTCTCTATCCATGGTGGCTGGAGTCTTATGGTTCATTCTTCAGACAAAATGGAGACCATCCAACTTGTGCCACTCTCTGACAGCGACACTGAGCGGTTGAAGCAGGTTTACCCAACTCCATTCGTTAAACATGGACGGAGGTATATTAGAACAGTGCCTGGAAACAGCATTTTGCCCAAGGCCTATGAGAAATTCAAGGATCGATATAAAAATTGGAAAGCGCGTGCAGAAGATGTTTATATTTTTACCTTTCCTAAAAATGGCACAACCTGGGTACAAGAGCTTGTCTGGTGCCTACAGAACAACTGTGACATAGACAAGGCCAAAGCCATTTCAGCATGGGAAAGAGTTCCTTTTTTAGAAAACCCCGTTATTGTCCATTTTATAGATGATGCTCGTCCCCGCTTCAATGGCTACCTCGAGATGGTAGCGACCATGGATTCACCGAGAGTCTTGAAATCTCATCTTCCGTTTGGCCATTTTCCTGAGGACTTGTTCAACAAATGCAGGATTGTGATGTGTTTGAGAAATCCAAAAGACACAATAGTCTCGTTTTATCACTTTGAAAAGTTAATTCAATCGCATGATTACGAAGGTGATTTTGAAACCTTCTTTGATCTATTCATGGATAATCTTTTGCTTTACACGCCGTATTTTGAATATACCATTGAAGCTTGGAAGCGACGAAATCACCCAAATGTGTGCCTTTTGTTTTTTGAAGAACTAAAAGCTGATTTAGCTGGCAATGTCAGAAAGGTGGCAGAATTTCTGGGGAAGGAAATCACAGAAGAGCAAGTTGGGATTTTGGTTGATCACTTGAGCTTTAAGAAAATGAAAGAAAATAAATCTTTGAACCTCGAAGCTTTTCAAGATGGAAAGACCATGAAGAAAGAAGGGAGCTTTATTCGGAAAGGGGAGGTAGGAGACTGGAAGAATTATTTCACTGAAGAGATGAACAAGCGAATGGATGAGGCAATTGAAAAGTATTTTAAGCCTGTTGGACTTGAATTTCGCTTTGAGTAACTGCGTAAGTCTTTAGAAGTCTAGGGTACGGAAAAAATGTATTTTTTGGAACAATGGTTAACTAGCGTTTTTGAAAAAATGTTTGTATCCGTGCATCTACTGCCAAATCGATGAAACGATAGACTTTTTATCGAAGAAACTCCAATTTGTCACTATTACGATTAAAGTTTAATTTGACATCTGTGATTTGTTTGAGGCTATTTTGCACCCTATCAATTACAAGGCTGTTTCATTCCCAGTACACAAAAGTTATCGCTTCCTTCAAAATGAAAACTTGAGGTAAACTATTCTCTGCTCAACCTGGACACTCCGTATCTTAAAAGTTCTTTTGTTAAACGAAACTTTACATTTACTTTTTTTACAATAAGGCTTGTAGGCCGAAATGGCCCATCGCCAACACAATTACTATACTTACAAGTTAACATAATTACAAATTCACAAGCTACTGAAGTTTTGCGGATCATTGATCGCGTTCTCTTTTGAGACACGAGAGACATTTCAACCTTGCCCATTTGTCATTTCGCCAAGATATTTGTTTACCTTCCTTTAGAAAAATTTGACGTGACGCAAACAACAAGCAGTTAATGTTGGATACGACGTTTAGATAATAAAAGACACGGAGCCTGCTTTTTTATATCATTTCAAAAGACTGTCTTCATAAGTTAATGATATAGTCTACAATGTCTCTGTTCATCTCTTTAAACAGTGACAGGTGCAGGCGTAGCCAATGTGGTAAAATTTCGAAAGTTGTCAATAGTGATAACACTAGTACGAGAAAGCATTTCACAGGGAGCCTGGATATGAAGAAGAGGCAACATTGAAATTAAACATGCTAGAATGATCAAACTTGTGTTTTCTACGAAATAAAATGTCTGTCCAGTTTCTCTAACGTTTGTCCAGCAATCTTCACATCGTCTAGTCTTTCTCAAAAATTGTCTCTTAGCCTTTTTAGTTGCTCCATTCCTTTTGTTTATTTGAGAGCAAGGCATTTCAGTTCAAAATGTTCTCGTTTTGGGATGCAGCCAAGCTCGGGTGCCAGTCTATTTGACTTGACCCTAACCCAGCTGATAATATAGTGGGTCCAAGGCACTGATCTTATGTCCAAAGTCGTGGCATAGTATTACCATATGTCCATGGAACCAATTATACAGACTCCTCCGTTAGTTATTCTACACTTGTGTACTTACCCCGCAATGCCCAAGTCCTCTTCTTATCCCAACCGCCCAGTCTCTCCCTATTCATTCACCCACACCAAACCCCGCCCAATCTCTCTCCATCCCTCTACCAACAACCAACCCCGTACAGTCCCTCCCTATTCATTTACCCAAACCAAACCCCGCCCAATCTCTCTCCATCCCTCCACTGACCCCCAACCCCATCCCATCCATCCCATCGCACATACCCACCAATCAGCACAAAACACTATTCGTGTGACAATGCACACAAAAAAGGAAATTGGGAGATACTAGCTGATTGAACAACAGACAAGCTAGCGAAGTGGAAACTTTGATTTATCATGTCTTTTGTGCAAGTCTGTGTAAATCATGTCCGCGTTTTAGTAGTTTGCTTTAGGGGGTTACTACTGTAGGACGTGGACCATTACTTTTGTTTGGTAATAAGACAGTAAAAGGATAAAAAGATAAAAAGAAGATTCTTTTATGACAGTCTAATCCAATAATGCATGTTGATAGTGTGTTATCCTCTGATAACTTATCGCAGGAACAAAATACAGTCCGTTTTACTCGCTAAACAATTAACGAACCTACAATCCTGGCCAAAAGTTATTGAACTGGCTGGCAAAATGTTGTCTTTTTGAACAAATACGCTTCCCATGCCCCACAGTCAATGTTGATACGCTTATTTCTACTCATTTCGATTGCCGTTACTTTGGTATTTTCCAAAAAACCAACTTTGCTGAAGGGGTTGTGGGCTTGATAACATTACTGGGGTAAAATTGTCATTTTATTGGGTTTTTTCTCAAGTCCACTAACCTTTGGCCATTATTGTCTAATATAGAGGGAAAACGAGCAGATGAAAATTTATAAATATTATACAGAAGTATCAATTTTTGCAACCCAAAATGGAAGCAATTTATGAAAGGTGGGTGCATCTATGCAGAATTTTATCTTCAGCAAGCAAACGAGGTAATGCAGGGATCAAATTCACAACTACTGACAATAGCGCCTCGAAGTCCGGGCCTAAATCCAATTGAAGTTTTTTGGAATTGTCAAGCAGCAATCAAATAGGGATGCCATAGAGAGAATTATTACTGCTAAGACAATGGTAAAGAAGAACGCACAAAATATTGAAAAATAGTCGGATAATGGTTATTGTAGGACCAATGTACTCTCGGATACTATAAAAAGTTTTTGGCGGTTTTGTGTAGAGTCTAATTTGTTTATATTCGGGGTCTTGAACACAAATGTTAGGGTTTGTAAGATTTGTACAATCAGCGGGGGGAGGGGTTAAGTTGATAATAATCTACTATACAAACATTTTATTTACATACATGCAAACATTTCAAACGTTTATGTGTCTTCAAATTTAATATCTAAAAATCAAAACTTGCCATTTGGAACTGTGAACAACAAAATCATTTCTACGCATGTGCTAATGTATGATATTGATCAAAGGAGCCTTTCGTGTCGTGCGGGGAAAATGATCACGAGTAACCACGAGTCACCAACGAGTTACCTACCATACGGGTTACATTCTACGTTTGCAGAGCTCAGTATGGATGTATACGAGATATCAACGATTTACCATCTTCTTTATAAAATACAATTTATATATATATTTATTAAAAAAGTCGTGGTATTCCCTTATAAAACCACTATTAGAAATGGTAACTCGTTAGGGTAACTCGTTAGGGTAACTCGTTGGTAACCCGTACCAGTTGGTAACTCGTGATGCAAGCCCGTAGCCAGGCCTGTGGAGTAGGGGTGGCAAATCCCCAGACCTGTTGCAGGCAGACGTTTCAGCAAGTCTTTTTGCATAATATATGAGTAATATATGGATAATAAGAGATCCAAATAGAAAATTCTCTTGCTCCAGGTGTGGCATTGCCACCCCATGCCACCCTTTAGCTATGGGCCTGTCGTGATTGCTTGAATATTTTCAAATAAACCAAATTAGACATCGATGCCGCTCAAAATCAGTTCTGAAAAGCAGCGAGGACAATTTTGAATGTTTTTCTGTACATCTGCTTGTATTGACGGGTAAACACAAAGGTTCTCTATCTCACAGCCATCATTTCCTTTTTTCTTTCGTCGGAGGTATTGTATTTTTTGGTAGACTGACTCTTGAGCTGGGAATATGGCTGCCCTACTGTAGGTAATCAGGTAGCATCTGCGTATTTCTCTCTCTCCTAAGCTTTCAGGCGTTATCAACTTATTCTTTGTATACAAAAATTGAAGGCAAATTGAATCAACGTACTACAATAGCAAAATTTGGAGCAAAACGCAATGTGTAGGCTATCAGACCCATACCAACCCATGACTTATAGTTAATTGACAAAGAAAGACCACCATATCTATATTTCCCATCATAATTATTCACCCTCCACGTGCGTAGAGAACTTTCAATCTGATCAGTTTAGGTAGAAATGTAGCGTCTTCTTCGATTTACTACGTAAAGTGCAGCTTTTTCAAATTCTTCAATTTTCATGAGGATTTAACACATAATACTCTAAAAGACTGACTTTCTAGTTTTTTGCATGGGGCGACCATTTCTAGATGCCTTGTAGCTCTTTCCGATACATAACAAACCTCCATGATAGATTTTCATTCTGCTTAGAAATCAGAGTGTTACTCAAAGAAGGTTGCTTCATCATTGTCTTGTCATGATCGCGTGTGATATTGCGTCGGTCAAATCTAAATGTGATATTTTGCTGAAAAACTTCTCACTACAGGCTCTCAAGAGAATACTGATGACGACTTCTGATTGAGGTGTGGTCAGTGTATGTCAAAGTAGCGAATCTCTTTTTAACATTGCAGGACTCCATTTGCAGCATTCCAAATATCATCGAGATCTTGGGCGGGATATTAATTAAACTTTTTTAATCTATTGTTTTCTGTCTTTCGAGAAACAGGTTGAAGCATACAAAAACCTTTATGTGAATAGAGGCTCGATAAATGGAAATAAGAGCAACCTCAAAAAGATGTGGCAAACTATCAACAGAATCGAAGAAAGATCATCAAAATTAAAAATGCCTGCGAGATAGGAATTGAGGGCAAGAGACTAGCCTAGGAAGGAAGATTATAAGAAGCATTGTATCCCTGTTTTGTTTCAGTTATTCAAATTCTAGCAAGCAAGTTTAAATAAAATGCAAATCATGATCTTCTTGAATGTTTGACAATGAAATACAATATGAAGAGACGCATCCCAGTTGTTGACAACTTTGTATCTAAGAAGGCCGTTTAATCAACTCAAAATACAATACGAAACAATACCAGCCGAGTAATTATCAATTGTTCCCTTAAAGCCTTCCAAATGACATCTGCTTGCTAGCCGTTCTCCAAAAGATTTCGCTTGATTTTGTGGAAATACACAACAAGGAATTGCAGGGACCTACAAATCCCAAGAAATAACCTTGAATACATCAAGAAAGGCTTTCACTATTCGGCTCTGACCTGGAACGATATTCCCATCAATATCAGAGAGCTCTCTACATTCAGTGAATTCAAAAAGCAATTGAAAAGTTATTATACGAGCTGAACACAACATAAAACACAACTCCCTGGAAGAGCAGCTGCTATAAGATAGATTACTGTGCATAATTTAGCTTCAACCGTACATAAATCATATTAATGTAACTAGGGTATTTATTTTCTTATTTGGTATTAGTTGTAAGCTGAAGGGATTTTTGTGTATAAAGAATTTAAAATGAAAAATGAAATGTCAGCAATGTGAAGTTTGTTCAGCATGAGTAGAAAAGACCTTATTAACGCAAATATTTTTGTTGGTCAAATTGCTTTGCAAATCGATTTCCAGTCCTCGTCAAAGTCTAAGACATTGACTTTGGTCTTGCATATAGGTATCGAGAGATGCTTGCAACCTAGATTTTATTAGCTTTCAAAATATTTATGAACTAACATTGCTCGGAAATCAGTTTATCGAAAAGGGCACTTTGCGGTCCTCGCGCTGCCCCCGTGTTGCCCCTTTGCTGTCCCCGTGCTACCCCCACGCTACCACCGCACCACTAAGGCAACGGGGGCAAGTGCCCCCATGCTCCGGTGCCCTTGGGAGCCAATTCATTTTTGGAGCAAATCATCAGTGCACGGCGAGCTAAGGTCTTGGTTAGAAGAATTTACCTTCATATTAGGTTGAAGTTTTCTAAACCTAGATTTTTCCAAAATCTTCTTTCCTGTTTACAGAAATAAAGTAGTTCTAAAGTAACTCCCATTGGCTCAAATACTTACTATATTAGCTTACAAAAAAATTCCTGAGACGCCACAGAAAATTGTTTTCAATAGATGTTTTCTTCGGTTATTGAAAAGAAGAGGCACGAGGGATAAGCATGATGTTTACTTGACTTCTGCACGAGGTTACTTCATAATGTTTTTGCACATGCCCCCACTCTTGCTTTCTGGATTGTTGCAGGTCGTCAAAGCAAATAGCGTTTAACACATCGGCTGGCTTTCAGCTGAAAATATAAGGACGTACTTTTGTGTTCAGTCTGTTCGTGTCGCAAGATGGAGCAAAATGGTGGACGAGAAACCAAATTCAGGTTTGCAATCGATAGAGGTGGCACATTCACTGATGTATATGCAGAATGCCCAAATGGAAAGATTCGTGTAATGAAGCTGTTGTCAGAGGACCCAGCATACCCAGATGCGCCGACTGAGGCCATCCGAAGAATCCTCGCTGAGGTAAACTAAGTTTTAAATAGTTAAAACTTTGTTCTGCACATTTCTTGTGTAAAATATGTAAAAATACACTCTTTTTTATAAGAACCAGCAAATCTAAGTTCAGGCTGACTGTTCTTAATTTTTTCGAAAATCTGAAGCTGGATTGTTCTTAATTTCTTCTTAAATTAAGAGGGTGTAAGCAGTGTTATTGCTAGCTTCTTCACGCTAAGGAGGTGTTCAGGTTTCATTTGCAAACAAAGTGAGTGAGGCAGCCTTAATTTGCTGACAAATTTGAATATTCACTGAAAAAGCACCCACACATCGCTAAAAATCCTCGATTTTGAGGAAAAACGTTGTTCAAAATTGCATTTTGCAGAAGCTCAGCCTCAGCTTGTTCTTAATTTGTTCTTAACTTTTGACCTGTTATGAGGCTCGTGTTCTTATGAAATTGTTTCTTATAAAAAAAAGAATGCAACCTATTTGCGATTTGCCTTCCGAAAATTATTAAGTCTATTTAATGTGTCATCGCATTTTATTTCTTTGAGCAAGCACAAAAATGATCATCCCACAAATGATCCCCCAAAATGGTTGAATTTTTATTTTTAAGCTAAAAATTATTATTGTATATTTGTGTCTTCTTTGTAGGAAACAAACTCAGATTTTCCAGAAGGAATGCAGGTTGACACAAGAAATATTGAAAGTATAAGAATGGGAACCACTGTCGCAACCAATGCATTGTTAGAGCGAAAAGGGGAGAGGATAGCACTTGTGATTACTAAAGGCTTCAGGGACCTTTTACACATTGGCAATCAGTCAAGACCAAATTTATTTGATTTGGTGAGTAGTGTTCATCTAACAAGGCCTCTAAATCCCACTCTTTTATGGAGAGAAAGCACAAGCAAACAAATAATTCAACAAAAGCAATTAATGCACATCTGAAAACAGCCAAAGAACCTCAATGCATAGCTAATATCTCAGCCAAAATTTATTTAGTTTCCCTCTTATTGCAAATATATGTTTCTAACCAAATAATTAACTTCAGATGATACATCATTTAAAGATTATTTGCTTTTGTCATTTTAGGAAATTGTGATGCCAGATGTTTTATATGAAGAAATTGTTGAGGTTAAAGAGAGAGTTGTTTTTAAGCAGCAAAAATGTCAGCTCAACAAAGGAGAAATGACAGTTAGGGGAAAAACAAATGAAGAGGTAAACTCATTTTATCTTGGAATTCCATGTTCTAGAGACAATTCTGAAAATTTTGGAAATATGTTTTGGAAACACTTTGAGATGAAGGGTCAGTGCATTGCTTGATAAGCATAGCTTCCCTCAGTATCCTAATTCACATTTTAAATTGATAGATGGAAACAAATGAGACTGGCATCCAAGATTTTTTACTTGACAATAGCTTGCCATTTAGTACCAAACATAAAAGCCTCAAAAAATTCAATCCATTTCATTGTCAGTTAAAATTTGTCAAAAGAAAACAGTTATTTTAATTTTTGGAGCCATTAGAGAGAAATATCTATGGGAGTGTCTGGTGGGACTGAAAGAAGAGATGCCTACCTGCTATTGTATGTCTGCTTGTTTCTATTTACTAGTCATTTAGGGATAAAAGGGCATTGTTCGGAAATGATTGGTTAAGGTATCTTTTCCCCATAGCGTCTTGGTTTTAAACAATCTAAGATGATTGCTTAAGAAGATATTTTATTAATCTGGGTTGAGTTGAAAAGAAACAGCATTTGAAAGAAACAGCAAGCAACAGCAGGAAACATATAGGCAAGCTAAAATTGGTAATATTTTTATAATTGCAAAATGCTACTTTATTGTTTTAATGACATTTCTTTTTTGGATATATCATGTTTTTCCACTATCATATGATATATCACTGATTTCTATCCAGCTTGAGGTTTGGGAAGAGTTAGATGAAGAACAGTTAAAAAAAGATTTTCAGGTAACTTCTCATTCTTGAAAATATTAAGGGTCATTTGTTTGTACCCATGATGAATTTCCTCTAGGAACATTATATTTCTGATCACCTGAGGTTATTGTCATACATTTTATTTTATAATGATAATTGGTAAAAAAACGTGCAGTGAATAGAAAGCTCCAAGCTCTAAAAAGGCCTTTTCTAAAGATGAGGTATATTGTACTTAAATGCTTTTGTAGTTGTGGAGAGGGTCCCCTTTAACTCTAGTACTATTTAATGTAAAAGTGTGTGAATATCAGTGAAAAAGAATTGCTCAACATTGATATTGAGATTGCAAGACCTGCACTTTGACGTTACAAAATGACATTTTGTACTGTGATAATGAAATGAGATCCCTTCTCTCATATATGCCCTCTTTATAGCATCACGTTTTGAATATGCCCCTTTCCTATGGTTTAAAAATTGATATCCAGTCATCAGCACTGTGGGTCTGCAGCTGATTTTTTAGTATTTTTGGAGTTCAAAAATCTAATTTGTTTTGCATCCGTTTTAGGACTTACTTCAAAAAGGAATTCGCAACCTTGCAGTTGTGTTGATGCATGCATTTTCGTAAGTTTTTGTGCATTGTCAATTTTAAAAATATTAACAAAAGGTTTTTTTGAAAATTTAATTTTTCTTATCTTGTATATTATACTTGTCTCCATTTAATGTTGCGCAAAATTTACATTAAAATGGAAATACAATTAGACATATTAGGGGAGACACCTGTTTCCGATTTATGTCAAAATTATTGATTTCAGTCTGATTCTGTATGGCATTTTAGGTACTTTTCACGTGGCTTGACATTAGTTTTTAGGTAAATATGACTGGTCAGACAAAGCCAGTATATTATAAGCATTGGTCACTGAACAACGAATCAAATTGGGAGTTGTGCTTTAAACCAATCAGGATTGAGTTATTGATATTTGTCACGTGTAGGAACAGAAATTTTCCAAATTAGGAAACTGTCTGCTTTTATCTCTGCAACTCACGATTCAACAGATTTATTTTTCTTACTATTAAACTAATGATATTTGATTTACAAATCTGTTTATTGGCCGTTTCCATTAGGTATGATTCACACGAGCAAAGGGTTGGTGAAATTGCAAAAGAAATGGGATTTGAACAAGTCTCACTCTCTTCCAACATTATGCCGATGGCGCGTATTGTACCGAGAGGGTATACAGGTAAAAGAAGTGCCTTTAGCTTTTATCATCTGAGAAAACCTGTACTTGTGTAAGATAATACATTAGCGATATTTCAGACTGTATATGATGAGAGCTTTTAGATCTATTCGTTCAGTCGTTTTACATGGAGCCACATATCGTCTAGCGGTTCTCTAGTGGGTCTCTCGTTATTTTTGTGAACAAAGAACCATTCGTTTATATTCTCCCTGTTCTTATATCTGCTTCATCGCCAGTTCTCTTACTTAATTTACTGCTTTGGCTGACTTTTATCTCGGGAAAAATGGTGTTTTTTTATCATCTAAATTTTTATAAGTTTCTTTTACGTAAGAACGGAGGTACAAGGGAGCAATCTTAGCAGCATCATTAAAATGGTATTATATTACTGTAAACAGCTATGATTGCGCTTCCTTATTCAGGCTGTCCCCACCTCCACAAAGTAAAATTTGTATTTCGGTGCTTCATTTTGATATTTTATTTTTGTAATTTTTTTCATCGATTAGCATGTGCCGATGCTTACCTCACTCCATGCATCAAGAAGTATGTTCGAGGCTTTTCCCAGGGCTTTCAAAAGAACCTGCAGGTAGAATGAATTCTTTTTTATGTTCACCATATTGGAAAACTCCATTAAGAAAGCAAGGCCTAGTCTATTACTAGCTCTGCCATTTAATCAATTAGATCTTGTTTTTAGAACACTTGCCTGACGATCGCATTAAAGGTGCAGTGAAGTAAAAATTATGAAATCTGTAAAAACTTATTTTTTGCGCTGTCTAGGGTCAGATAAAATGGACAAGTTTTGTTTTTCGTTCAAATTTGATGTAAATTGCGCAAAACGGCCATCCAAAGTATGACCATGACGAAAACTTTTGCTGAGAGTTCGTACTTCCTTTGTGACGTCACACGGGGTATAGTACCTTGATAACCTCCGAAGAAATCCTCTTTGTTCAATTCTTTGTTTGAATTAGCTTCGTTGAACGAATCATCATCAATTTCGTGACTTTCCAGTGAGAGGGAATCTGATAGTGCATCTTCGTCAGCTATTTCAGATTGGAATACCCCGTGTGACGTCATGTTGTTGTTGTTTCAGAACAGCAGTTTTCTTGCTTCCGGTGACAATAAAAACCCCAAATTATATAGGAAAACGCCTGCAAACACGCAAAAGACCTATGTAGGGTTCCTTTTATACTATAAGTTGACTATATTAAGCAAACAAAATTTCACTTCACTGCACTTTTAAGTGTGAAACTCGGAGTAGCAGCTTAGAACCGTCCTGTTCTATACACAAAAAAGCATGTACAGATCTGCCTATTCGGTATCAAGCACTTTTTGACAGAACAGTAATTTTCATTATCTAGTTTTATGTTAAATTTTAATGAAATTAGGTATAATTTAAGCGTTTAAATTAAAAATGTAGGTTTTTGAAACCATTTTCCTCATTGACAAGGTGAGTAGAAAATTCCATCTTGAGTATGCTTAGATTGTTTAATAATATTGATCACTTTTTATTTAAGGGCGTTCGAGTTCTTTTTATGCAGTCTGACGGTGGCCTTACACCCGTTGACAGGTATTCTTAGCATTCTGCCAACCAGATCATTGTCCTCCATTTTTTGTTTTTATTTCATCTTCTAGGTATTAGCGCATTAGTAGCTTTGTCATGAATATCGAAATGGTGACTTTGACAACATATATGTAGGCAATCTCCACCTATTTCACTTCAGTTGATAGAATTATTTTGTTGCTGCTAGATTATGTCCTGACAAAATAGTATTGTTCTCGATATTTTTGAGAATATCTGAAAGTTTTCCCAATAATTCTGACCCCAATTTAGTCTCTTTGAATCATGCGAAGCAAGTTGCAAAATTTTGCCTTGTGTTGTCATTGTTTGTTTTATCAAAGGCTTCCATTGAGCCTGTGTTAGTTTCATCAAAGGCTTCCATTGAGCTTGAAACCGTGGATTCTTACGGGATTGGGACAGGGATTGGTTAGGGGGCAACAATAGGCCTGCACAATAGAACAGGGATTGGTTAGGGAGCAACAATAGGCCTGCACAATAGAACAGGGATTTGTTAGGGGGCAACAATCGGTCTGCACAATAGGACAGGGATTGGTTAGGGAGCAGCAATAGGCCTGCACAATAGGACAGGGATTGGTTAGGGAGCAACAATAGGTCTGCATAATAGGACAGGAATTGGTTAGGGAGCAACGATAGGCCTGCACAATAGGACAGGGATTGGTTAGGGAGCAACAATAGGTCTGCACAATAGGACAGGGATTGGTTAGGGAGCAACAATAGGCCTGCACAATAGGACAGGAGATGGTTAGGGAGCAACAATAGGCCTGCACAATAGGACAGGGATTGGTTAGTGAGCAACAATAGGCCTGCACAATAGGACAGGAATTGGTTAGGGAGCAACAATAGGCCTGCACAATAGGACAGGGATTGGTTAGGGAGCAACAATAGGCCTGCACAATAGGACAGGGATTGGTTAGGGAGCAACAATAGGCCTGCACAATAGGACAGGGATTGGTTAGTGAGCAACAATAGGCCTGCACAATAGGACAGGAATTGGTTAGGGAGCAACAATAGGCCTGCACAATAGGACAGGGATTGGTTAGGGAGCAACAATAGACCTGCACAATAGGACAGGGATTGGTTAGGGAGCAACAATAGGCCTGCACAATAGGACAGGGATTGGTTAGGGAGCAACAATAGGCCTGCACAATAGGACAGGGATTGGTTAGGGAGCAACAATAGGCCTGCACAATAGGATAGGGATTGGTTAGGGGGCAACAATTTGTAAAAAATTAGCTCTGCACTAAAGTTCCTTAAGGGTAATGTGTCCATATAAAAGGACTACGTATACCCAACTTGTCAAGCCACCCATCAAAATAACAGTTTGCGATTGGTTAGTATTCTTGCGATGCAAAACTGCTCACATGAAAAGCTAACCTCGCAGCAGGATAAATAAACAGAACGACCGTAATGACTGGGGCGATGACATGAAAAATCACATGTTTCTAAAAACCCCCGCAGAGTCGCTTGCTATAGCTGGACACATTACCTTTAATAGATACTGTCCCTCTGCTAAGTTAGACAACTGTTCTCTGACCCCCTGCTGACATTAAACGCCTCTACTAGGTTCATTGGAAGCAGAGCAATTCTTTCTGGACCAGCCGGAGGAGTGGTAAGTTAAAGAAGATTGTTATTCCTTTTTCATTTTCTTTTTATAATGCTTCTTTAATCAAGGCTTTCAACTTAAAATTCCAATTTCTTTTTCAATGCAAAAGTCTTTAATAGAAGAAGAGTCAGGTAGTAATGGTCACTTTGTAATTTGACGAAAACTTCATGTTCATTTGATGGCATTCTCAAATGCAAAGCCAAACCTTGTGCGAACAAATATCGTGGACATTTTTTGGTCATTCATTTAATTTCTGAATGATTATCATCTTTAGTCTTTTTAAATATTGCTATCCTATCAGTGCGATTGTCCCGCTTCCTTTGTGCTTTAAAGCAATCTAAACACCCCTATTGTTTATTCAAGGTTGGCTATGGACTAACAACTTTCGATCCTGCAGTGAACAAGCCTGTCATTGGTTTCGATATGGGAGGTAAGCAATTGGAACACGCCCACGCTTCTACGTATCCTTACATTCGTAATCTTGAATCTTAGAAGAAATTGGTCAGAGAATAAACTTATCTTTTTTTACCATTTTTTGTGGCACCATATTGTAATGGTTTATATGGCAGAACCTCGGTATTTCTCTCCCTAGCAGTTGTAGTAAAGATGTACATAAAAATGTAAAGAACGCTATTGTGTAGAAAGGACTGCTCTGCTCATAGTCCTTACCTTCCTTTTCATAAAAACATAATCATATGAGGCTTGACCCCCAGCTGAAGCCTCTTCATAAAAACCATCTGTCAATCAATATTAGCCAATCAATGAGCTTGTGAGTGGAATCACACTTACTGATTGGTCAGTTTTTGATTGAAAGATATTCAAGTCTCTTTAGTATCCGTCGATTGCCTTTAGAGCAATCATTGCTTGACATTATAAGTCTTTTTCTTTCATATTAATAAACATTATTGCTTTGTATTAAGGCACATCAACTGACGTGTCCAGGTATGCCGGTGCATACGAACATGTATTTGAGACAACAACCGCTGGAGTCAGCATCCAGGCACCACAGGTACGTCTATGGGCATTCCCATGTTATGGCATTCCCATGCAAGGGCATTTACATGTTAGGGCATCCTCATGTTGGGGCATCTTCATGTTGGGGCATTCCTGCATTGGGACTTTCTGGTCTAACCTAAAACGTGTAAATTATCGTTTGTTTCAATGTTCTTAGCCCATTTTTGTTGATGTTCAGCAATAAGTAGTCTGAAAAATGATCGGTTTTCGAGGCGTGTCTGTCCTAGGTAAGAGCATAGACATAGGCGACCCATGAGCTGAGAGGGCTGCAGCCCCCCCCCCCCCCTCCTTAATCGGCAAGACCTGCCGCATTATGGCTTCACCCAGGCAATTCTATCTTGATGCAGCAGAAATATTCGGGCAAGGTCTACACTAACCCCCCTCCTTTGCATCCACTATGCCCATGGGTAAGAGTAAGGTGCAATTGACCCTGATTGGGCTACGTTTCCCGTAAGCAATTAAACTTCTACCTCCTCTTGTCTCCGTTTTAAATTTCAACGCATAAATGCTTTTTTATCATGTATATCCTTATCTTCTAATTAGTCACCATCCCATTTGCTCGTTGATTCACTGTTTTATTTACATTTTGAATAAAATTTTTGTTTATTTCCCAATAGTGACGTCGGTTTCTTAACTTCATTCTCATTCGAATTTAGTTGGACATCAACACTGTTGCTGCTGGAGGCGGGTCCAGACTGTTTTTTCGAGCTGGGATGTTTGTTGTTGGTCCGGAGTCGGCTGGAGCCCACCCTGGTCCGGTTTGCTACAGGAAAGGTAAGCAACTGCCGGACCAAAAAAATCAAAATACCTTGAAAACTATAATATTTGTGGTCAATATAGAATATCAAGATCCAAGTCAATTTCTGGTAAGGTTTTAAGACGTTGAAAAGAATATGACTGGAATTCCTTCTAATAATGGATGTAAAGTTAGACAACGGACCTGCCATCGACCCTTGAGAACTGAATCTTATAAGCAGTACAAAAGACTATTAAATAATATTTTAGTTTGATGTTTATAACAGCAAATAATTCTCTACAATGAAGTTTTAAGTTATTGTCATAAATACTGCCAGTTGTTGTCAGAATTTTTTCATCTTTTCGTTATCAAGCCACAAGAAAAATTAGTAATATCATATTCATCCAGTTCCTTAACATCATCGCCTTGCATTATTATAAAAAAATTTAATTTACTGACGAGGGTTTATCTTATATCAATAGAAATACACAAATTTATACAGTTAGTAGTAACTCTAAACAGATCGATCGACAGTGAATGACTGTATAAATTGTGCTTTAGCCCACAAATACCCCCCTTTAACAACCAAGAAGGTTTGTGTTTATTAAAAAAATTTATTTCAGGATATACGCTCATCTTTTTGAAGTAATAGCAAACCGGTTACAAAAATATAGTAAAATAATTTTTACTTAAAACCTAAAACCTTTTTCTTTACTCAAACTTTTTATGATGTTATGTTCAAGGACGTCTTTACTGGGGGAGCACCGGGGGCTTCTTTTTGTGTTATGGTGCTAATTCAAACTTGTGCCTATGTGCCTGTGTATACTTGTCATAAGTTGGCTAACATCTAATCTAGAGGACACTGTTAATCATAGGAGCAAGATCATGTAAAATTTCGGTATTGAAGCTAGTGTATATATTTGAGTCGTAAATTATAGGTGCATTAATTTTTAACGATGACGTAATTTCTATGTAGATGGCTACCTTGCTGTCACTGATGCTAATTTGGTTCTTGGCCGCATTTTACCAGAGTAAGTGCATTTCAGCAAAATAGAAAACAATAGATCTTACAAATAGGAAACGTAATTATTCCAAAACTTTTCGTTCCGTGCAGGCAGTGCCAAAGTTGTAAAGTCACATCACAAAAGATACGTTGCAAAACTCTCACTCTCCCTTCTTCATTTTCTCATCTAATTTAGACGAATTAAAGAATTGATACTGCCGAGAACTATGAGGGGATGTGTCCCACGCCGCCATTGAGTCAATGAATGTGATTAAAATAGAAGTATAGACTATCAATTTCTGTTTTTTGCAGCTCTTGTTTATATTTATCCTGATCGTCTTTACTATCCAGTCATATTTTTTTAAATGAACGCCACCTCCCAATATCGTCTGTATACCCAATATCCACGAATCACGTCTTTTTACAATAACAGCTTTGAGGTAACCTCAGTCTCTCTGCGAACTTGAGACAGCCTCCAGATAATGGATCCTTCCCAGCAGGTTTTTATGGCGTAGCGGTCCCACTTTATTTAAACATACAAGGTTCACAAAATACACGCTTTTTAAGTTGCTAGCCTTTGAAATTTTCCACGTCTCCTCGTAAATCCCAACTTAGTTACCAGGGTACAGATGGCCTACTTTTCAACTACTTGATAACCTCAAATTCATGTTGCATTTATCACAAATGTTGACTTAAGTCCAACTGATATCTCTCAGTACGGAGAATGTTATGTTCTAACGTATCGAAATTACTATTTTTTCTATTAGATATTTTCCAAAGATATTTGGTGCTACCAAAGATATGCCGTTGGACAAAGATGCAGCTATCAAACAGTTTGAAAAGCTAACAAGTGAGGTAAGTGACGAAGTTTAATTTTGTTGTCATAACAAAAATGGGATCGAATTTGAAGAAAGAAGGAAGCACTCGCGTGGATTAACCCGTTGTCAGTTGGAACTGAAATATCAATCAGTAACATGTAAGGTTTGTTCATGAAATACCTGCCGGGCCATTTGTACCGGAGCAAGTCTCTTGGCGCTCAGTCTCAAGGCATTCCTAAACCAGAATCCGAGAATTGTAGGCACCTCTTTCAATTCACAAGCTTTTTTCAAGCTTTAATCACAATCATCTCTTTGCCTGTGTTTTGCTTGATACCTTTCTGCGTGGTACCTAATGCGGCATCACTCAATGTATTTGACTGATAATGTGCCATTTGTTAATATTTTGCCATATTTCCGTTTAGTCTTTTTAACCCACTTATTACGAAGAAAATTAATGTCTGAATGGGCTTTTCGTAATGGCTTGGTAAGGCCGGAGGTGTGTTGTAATTTTGCCATGTCCCCTTGTTCTTTGAATATCATCAAAATATTCAGTATATAATCAGAAAGAGCAGAAAATACCATCAGTTTTCTCTCTCTTACATGGGTATCTCCTCATTCCTACATCCATGAGTGATGCCATCTGTTTGGTATCATGAAAATCATAGCAAATCATGATTCCATAAGTAGTGTACAGTAGAAATATGTATTTAAAAGCTTAAACTTTTTTTGATGAGGGAGACTTCGTTTTGAGAAGTTGTAATAAGATATACACTATTACATTTAAGCACCCCCTGAGGTTTATTAATGCAGGTCCAGTGCGCCTTACCACTGTGTCCAGTGTCCCAAAAACGTTGTCAATTCGAAGGGCAAATATCTTTTCTTTTTTGTCATATATTACTATATTATAATGATAAACCACTTTGATAAAGATCTTTATGGTCTTGATGACCATATTCTTGATGACCCCATGGATTCTTTATCAAAAAATTGCATGGAACCTCTATGCCAGTATTCCGTGTGATTTCATATGGTCCAAAACTATCGTTGAAGTACTTCCATCACTTAGAAGTTATCGAATAATTATAGAAATGTTTATTTGGGTACATATATGCAGAACATAAATTCTATATCTGCTGTCAGCTGTATAAACTTTTAGTGCCGTTTGCCGATGTGATGTGGCTTGCAGTCTTTCTAAATGGTATCTAAATGTCTTTTGCAAACTTTTTGGATGTTGAGGGCTATATTATCATGTGGGTTAACGAAGATGAGAAGAATTCTTCAAATGCTATCCTAAAAACATTCGTATATCACCTGCCTTGGTAACAAACTGCTTCATTGATATGTTTCTGTCGACGTGCTCTCGCCACTTTCTGTAAAGACTCTTTTGTAGCAAAAGGGCTCGACCAAAGATATTATAACTCCTCTGGTGCAAAAAGTCTTGTGTTGATAATAGTAGGCCTGAGTTTGCTGTTTGGACAGACACTTGGTCAAATATAGGGGGAGAGGTGGCAAGCCTATTGTTTTTATAAGATAAGGTCACATTTTCCCATTGTTCTAAAATAAGCCTCCATTGTCCCCAAAAATATTTGGGGGTGACAGCCTCCACCTCGCCCCCAGGTGTCTGCCAGTGCCTTTATGTTTCTTGTCATTGTATTTGAAGGGTAGCTGAAGCAGGTGTGAAATTTGCTCCTTTGAAACCTCTAACATAATAGATGGTAATTTTGTCTGAGAATCTCTTAAAATCCTTTTGTTTTTGTGAAAATCTCATACGTTCTGGCAAGAGCAAGTTCTGGCAAGAGCAGATAGCCCCTCGAAGTTTACTGCCATAAGAAGCCTCTCATTGCAGCCCGTTGTACTGCTGGTAAAATTTGCAATTTTGAATTGATACCACCAAAATGCATTGCACCCGTGTCCTATGAGTGTTATACATTTTAGATATCTACATCCTGAAAATTTACATCTGATTATAGAAGCTAGTAGGAAGGTTAACTACGGGGGAGGGGAGGAGGATGCTCAAAGCTAGTAGAAAAAAGCAAAATATTTCAGCGATTATTTATTAAATTTGAAAAAGGTAATTTTGGCTACCCTGGGTACCAGACTCGCTAGACTCACGCTACATAAAATAAGAGACACTGTTGTGCGGTCATGTATGAAATCTAGAGTGACTTCTTGGCCATCCAGACCTTGGATCCAGGCATGCATGTGCATGCCTCACATGACAATGCCTCTTCCAGAAGCAATAGCGGAAGAACAAAAGGGGCAGAAACGCGTATGGAAAAGGAGCCCGGGGGTCTACCTCATCCTCGGAGAATTTCAACGAAGATTTCATTTAGAAGAAAAGAACTTATACCCCTGTCCTAGAATAAAATTCTGCAAACCTGTACTCTGTCCTGGAACAAAATTCAGGAAACTGGTGGTTTTTGTAAGAATACTGCGAATGTTTTTTTAATTTATTATTAAAGTCTCCCTCTTTGAGTTCAAGCTTAAACCGAATAAAATCTATTTTGATGAAAAGTATTCGGAAAAGAATCTTGTTTGGGCATACCTCTGCGTTAAAAAAGACTGTACAAGTGTATAATTCTGCCCCAGATTTATACATACAATTTTTGCAGGCACATCAAATAGACCCCCTGGGAAAAGGAGACAATGCCTTTCAAAATTTAGAATCTTGATATAAAAACTGGAATATTATGGATGTGCTGGAATTCTAGGCATAGGGATAGCGGATGCTTGAACGTTTAGTGTGAATATGTCGGGATATTATTCTTCATTGAGACAGAACTGCCCGAATGGTCCTGAAATGTGATGAAATTTTGCCGGATAAAGGGTGCGGGCTACAGCTCTTCCAGCCCCTATGACCCCTGCGCCTATAATACCAGGACCTGAAAAGTACTGGAAATTATACTGCTATTCTAGAAAAAATACTGCTATTCTTTCTACATAAAATGCAGACTCCTGACTGGATAGCAACTCCAAACTGAACAGGCTAGCAACATTCTTGGTAAAATGTTTACAACAGAATTCAGAATGGGAAAGTTATGTATTGCCTAACTTGCAATGTCCAGTTTCAACAAGCAACTTGTTTTGTTATGGTTTCACAACACTCCTTTTTGATAAAACTTTTGCGTTTATAACTGAAAGCTGTTGTTAATTTTGCTATAAGTTTTGGTATGGCTCACAGTAAAATTTTTCATGAATCTTCAAACGTGCTTTGACGCTGACAGCCAAATGTTTGCAACTTTTGTTTAAGAGTGTGAAGACCCCCGGATGTAGAGGGAAATTTATATTCTAGGTCTGGTTTTAGTGTTTGCTGTCGTTTTTGTTCCGTTTTGCCAGGACGTGGTTGTTCATTAATCAGACAGGAAAATGGCCAACGTTCAGCTTGTGCCACTCTCTGACAGCGACACTGAGCGATTGAAGGAGGCTTACCCAACTCCATTCGTTAAATTGGGACAAAGGTTCGTGAGAACTGTGCCTGGAAACTGCATTATGCCTAAGGCCTTTGAAAAATTCAAGGATCAATATAAAAATTGGGAAGCGCGTGCAGAAGATGTTTATGTTCTTACCTTTCCAAAAAATGGCACAACCTGGGTACAAGAGCTTGCCTGGTGCCTACAGAACAACTGTGACATAGACAAAGCCAAAGCCATTGCAGCCAAGAGAAGAGTCCCATTTTTGGAAGCGCCAGTTCTTGTCGACTTTTTAGAGGCTGAGATTCGTCACCACGTTGAAGGTTACCTCGAAATGGTAGCAACCATGGATTCACCGAGAGTCTTGAAATCTCACCTTCCTTTTTGCCATTTTCCTGACAACTTGGTGGACAAAAGCAAGGTTGTTACATGTTTGAGAAATCCAAAAGACACAATAGTGTCATTTTTCCACCATGAAAAGTTACTTCACGTGCATGACTACAACGGTGATTTTGCAACCTACTTCGAACTGTTCATGGATAACTTGGTGGTTTTCACGCCATATTTTGAATACACCATTGAAGCTTGGAAGCGACGAGATCACCCAAATGTTTGCCTTTTGTTTTATGAAGAACTAAAAGCTGATTTGGCTGGCAATACCAGGAAGGTGGCAAAATTCCTGGGGAAGGAAATCACAGAAGAGCAAGTTGCGGTTTTAGTTGATCACTTAAGCTTTAAGAAAATGAAAGAAAATATATCTGTGAATCATGAAGATTCCCAAGATAGGAAGATCATGAACAAAGAGGGGAGCTTCATGCGAAAAGGGGAAGTAGGAGACTGGAAGAATTATTTCACTGAAGAGATGAACAAGCGAATGGATGAAGCAATTGAAAAGTATTTTAAGCCTGTTGGACTTGAATTTCGCTATGAGTAACTGCATGCGTATTTAAAATTTTCGAGGATGTAAAAATCCATCATATGGAATAGGATTGGCTGGCTTTTGTGGAATATTAATTTGTGTGTGATTAAATCCAAACGAATGAAATGAAAACATTTAGCGCAATACTTTGTTTCGTGGCCATTCAAGCTAATGTTTATCAATAATTTTTCACCTGACATTACAGACCGCATTCTCTGTGATTTGTGCGGAGAACAGAAATGCTGATATACAATTTTGCACAGACGTGATTAATGATACTTCTGTATAAAGTTTTGCTGCAGATGACAATAACTTTTCAATGAATTCTATTAGGTTTGAATCCTGAATTAACGATGAAAGTAATATAGCATAAACAAGAATAAATACTAAAAGACTAAGATTAACAGCAACGAACTGACAAGAATTAAAGAAAATAAGCCTGAAACTACGTAAAAATGATTTTTTGCTATTATCAAAAACTCTGCACAGATAAAATGCTTTCGGATTCGATTTTTTAAAGTGAATTTATGCGGTTCATTTTACGAGTCGAAAATAATGCCGCCTGGCCTAGAAGCAGCCGAAAATAATGCAGCCAAACATGACCAAAAGATTTTCTAAAAAATAATTTTTCAATCAATCTTAAAATTTGCATATATTTTATGCAAATTTGGGACTATTCACATTTGAAATTCTCAAAAATCAAGAAAATTCAAAGAAAATTGTTCTTTGCATACTTATATGTAACTGTGTAGGCCCAAACCTAGGGATTCTAGATTTGAAACTCAATAGAGTTCAAAGATTCTCAATTTAGTTATGCACTCCCAAATGTCCAGTCTTGCGAAACATAAAAAGACACCTAGAAACATGATGAGTATTGCGTTTTAGTGAGTATTGGTACTACCTTGCAAAGGCTGAATTTCTTCTATTCACATTCCAACACTCCAGCATGCCAACAGGGACGAAAACAAGTTGCTAATTTTGGGGGGGGGGCGTGGAAGTATGAAAATTCCAACTTCAAGTGATAAATTTTTCATTCGACCAGTAGATCTGTTGTACCTACCAAATTGATATTTGTAAATAGCCCAAGCACCATAGTTCTATTTTCTTTATAATTACCAAATCTTTACTCAATAATTAGCCTAAAGCATAAAAGCCTAAAATCTCTAAATTTTGATTAACATGAAACAAACATTAAACATACTGTAAGAAGTAAAGCAACATTTAAGCAAAACCAGTATTAGATATACTCAATGATTAGTAGTATTCTTTCAGATCAATTGATCAATTTTATCTAAAATACATTTTTTCACGATATAGAAGCACCAAGAATTTGGGCCTTTTATTTTCGTTCTTGATCGAAGAAAACTACCTTTAAACTTTTCAGAGGGCCAAATGCCTTTTCATTCTTTACAATTGAAATGATGATTCGAGAACAAACTTGTGCATATGCCTGATTCGAAAGATGAAATACTCTTCTTTGATCAAATACTTCTACTGCAGTTTTTGCAATGTGTTCTTGCTCCACAGCAGTTTTGTCATATGAATTTATGATAAGGACTCAAGGACATTAACAAATAACAGGGGGAGTTTAGCATAAACTCGTTTTTAATAAGAAGCGTTGAGAATTTTTAGTACTGAAAGATTCTTAATCTTTTATTGAATTAACTACTCGTAGTTTTTAAAAAAATTCCCACTCTAATATTTTCTGATCAATGCGGGTATTATTATTCCAAACTGTAAGTTTCAAGTTTCTTATCCGTAAGTTCACCTTGCCTGTTCGTAATTTGATTCAACTCCCGTCAGAAAGAGAGAAAAAGAAAACGGGGCAAGTGTGCAATTTGGATCCAGTGGAGACGGGATTCACAATAGAAAACGATTGGATGGGTCAGCTTCAGCCTGTGAATTTTAATATTTAGAATTTTTATATTTAAAATAAAAAAACTTTTTAAAATATAAAATTCACAAGTTTGGACTTATGAAAAAAATTCCAAGTCAACCGTTACGTTTTCCAACTGTAACTGGATTTTCCAAACTTTGGGGGGGCGTTACGCCCCCCACGCCCCCCTATTATTTACGTGCCTGCATGCCAACATTCTACGAAACGTCATTCTACGTCGGACCCAACATCCCATCATGGTTGGGTCCGACGCGAAAGAAATTTTTTGAAATTAAGCCTTCTAGAATGGCTAGAAATGCATCTCCCAGACTAAAATTGTCTATGTTTTTGTCAAATATCTTGGGATTAATCTTCTTCTATGATGTTTCTGAAAATTCTTTTTCGGATCAACGGAAAAACTGAACTGCCAAACTTTTTAAAAACTTTGAATGTTTTTAAAAATTACATGAAGTACAATTTTCTACAAAAAAGTTTATCTACCCGTCAAAATCCCAATTTTACCGACTAACATCCCAATTTTACCGACTAAAACACAAACGCCTATTCTTGGGGGGGGGGGTATTACACCCACAGGGGCGGATCCAGAGCAAATTTGAAGGAGGGGCAGTCGGTAGTGGGGGCGCTGAAAAATTTTAAAAAATTTGTGACCAGAGTACGCTATACAACAATCAATCAAAATTAATTTTGGGAAGGGCCTGATAAGTCTAATGCTGTTGGTGTTGTTACAACCAACTGATGTTTTGCGCGCCAAAAGTGTAAACGGGGGTTTGTGAATTGTTGTGCCGCTAAAGCCCCGTCTGCTACCATGATTCCTGACAACAAAAATTCAAATTCCAATTCATTTTATATTCAGAAACTTAGTTAAAAATTTATAACAATAAGACAATTATATAGTTATTTACAGTCCATATAACTAATATTTTTACAATATATGGTTGCCTAGGAAGCTGAGAGGAACCGCAACACCCTCAAAAATAAGCAAATTTTCCGACAAAAGCCCTTTAAACTGTGCTTTAACCGACGACTTTGGTCGCTCGCCCCAAAACCCACGCAATTTCTGCCACATACATAGTTCAAGTAAGATTATCATGGCCCCATTCGAGCACGGGCCCCAAGATTTGACCCTCTTAAGCCCTCTTTTAAGTCACATTCTGTGGCCCTGCCGCTACCCTCTAACAAGTCCTACACTGTGCATTTTCTGTTTCATTTGTCAAAACTTCTTATAAAAATCCTATCCAGGAATTGGGCCTGCGAGTGCACCAGCAGGCAACCATATTGCTAACGTTTCCCCCAGTATAAGGCACCCCAGTATATGGTCAAGCCCTAGTATAGGGAATGTCAATCAAAATTAAGTTCTAAAGTGCCGCCAAAGCCGTTTCGGTGCCTTGTTGTCGCGATGATTGCCCGCAACTCGCGCGCGATAGCGCGCGAGTGAAGGGCTTATAGTCTGCCCCGCGTATAAGTAGCATATGGAAGCTTCAGTTCATAATGTCAGCACTTTGTCAGCAGATTTTGTCACTTTTCTGCTGCCATGACAACTGTCAATCAATTTCATTGTCAATCAATCGGCTTTGTCGAGGAGGTCGTTAACCGCCACCTCTTTGTGCGGAAGGGAATTATCTTCGGAGCGTTGCTCTGCCAAGACTCTGTTAAAGGCCTTCGGTTTTTTTGGCACAAAAACGGTGCTGCATCACAGCTCGGTTCTCCGCAATGGATGGAAGTTTTGATTCGAAGTTTTGGGAATCAAAACCAGTCGAATGCCACACCTTTCTCCCAAAAACTCGACACCGTACGAGCAAAAGTTATGATTGTCGTGATTATCGCCTGTACATCGCTGTACGAATCCTTTATCGCAATCTATTTTAGCTGTACCCGTTCTATCACGTGTCCATTTTCATACGTCTTTGCTTCACGAAAACGAAAAATAAATGTCAAACCCTAGAAAAACTTCATGATTTTCAAAAGGGCGTTGGACTTAAATCAAAGGCAAACTGAACACCAAAAATTCTTGATAAAAAGAATAGTTTAGCATCAACTAGAGCAGCTGTTTTTATAAAATTGTGAAAACCCAAGATGGAATCTTCTTCGAATATCCTGACCTAAATTTTCAAAACAATCATTATCAAGGAACTAATTGTTTGCGGGCAGTACTAGCAAGAGCTATTTCTAGTAGATAGAAGTTATTTCAAGACACAGCGGCTTCTCGGCCAGTAGACATTCAGCCATAAATTCGGCAAGCGGCCATGTTGTAACCAGGCACGTAAATACTGTGGGTGTGTGGGGGGTGTCATCCAGTCGGAAAACTTAACTACTCATTGCTAACAATGAGCCATTGCGCCACGCAAGCATCCCATAATGCATTTTCAGAGTGTCTGAAATCAATTTTGGTTAATCCGTAGAAGTTTACTGCCATTGTTTGGATAGCCTGTGCTCCAGACCCTTAAGGTTAAGGGTCTGGAGCACAGGCTATTGTTTGGATCGTCTCCACGCTCGCAAAGGCCCATTGTTTAGCATACCGTGACCACATAATAGTTCATTTCTATTCTATGTCGTGCCCATTTGGGCAAATTAGCAGATAGGAAGAACAATTGTTTGGAGGACAATAGGTTGTCAAGTGACGTATTTTTACATTGTCACTGGATGTGAAAGATTTGAAAACAACTGGAAATTGCTTGAATGTACAAAGGGAGTCAAACTCGAATTTGCTCCGCGTGACAAACCCCCGTTCACACTTTTGGCGCGCAAAACATCAGCTGGTTGTAACAACATCAACAGCATTAGACTTATCAGGCCCTTTCCCGCCCCAAAATTAATTTTGATTAATTGACCAAATTATTTTTCGTATGATATGCCGATTTTGATATGTTTTAAAGGGTGTTCAGCCGCTTAATAGTTTGTTCTTAGGGTGTTCGTGGGGTGTTCAGCCTATTCTTGGAGTGTTCAGTCTTTTAGAAACGACGGAGGGAAATTTATATTCTAGGTCTGATTTTAGTGTTTGCTGTTGCTTTTGTTCCGTTTATTAAGGACATGGTTGTTCATTAATCAGACAGGAAAATGGCCAACGTTCAGCTTGTGCCACTCTCTGACAGCGACACTGAGCGATTGAAGGATGCTTACCCAACTCCATTCGTTAAATTGGGACAAAAATTCGTGAGAACTGTGCCTGGAAACTGCATTTTGCCTAAGGCCTATGAAGAATTCAAGGATCGATATAAAAATTGGGAAGTGCGCTCAGAAGATACATATATTTTTGGCTTTCCTAAAAATGGCACAACCTGGGTACAAGAGCTCGTCTGGTGCCTACAGAACAACTGTGACATTGACAAAGCCAAAGCCATTTCATTGCTGGATAGAGTCCCATTTTTGGAAGCACCAGTTATTTTTGACTTTGTGGACGAGCTTCGTTCCCGCTTTGAAGGTTTCCACGAAATGATAGCGACCATGGACTCGCCGAGAGTCTTTAAATCTCACCTTCCATTTGGCCATTTACCCGACGACTTACTCGACAAAAGCAGGGTAGTGATATGTTTGAGAAATCCAAAAGACACAGTAGTCTCGGCGTTCCACCATGAAAAATTACTTCACGTGTATGACTACAAAGGTGATTTCGCAACCTTCTTTGATCTATTCATGGATGGTCTGTTGCTTTACACGTCATATTTTGAACGCATCCAACAATTATGGAAGCAAAGAAACCACCCAAATGTTTGCATATTGTTTTATGAAGAACTAAAAGCTGATTTGGCTGGCAATATCAGAAAGGTGGCAAAATTTCTGGGGAAGGAAATCACAAAAGAGCAAGTTGGGATTTTGGTTGATCACTTGAGCTTTAAGAAAATGAAAGAAAATAAGTCTGTGAACCTCGAACCTCTTCAAGATGGAAAGATTATGAAGAAAGAAGGGAACTTCATGCGAAAAGGGGAGGTAGGAGACTGGAAGAATTACTTTACTGAAGAAATGAACAAGCGAATGGATGAGGCAATTGAAAAGTATTTTAAGCCTGTTGGACTTGAATTCCGCTATGAGTAACTGCATCCGTATTTGAAATTTTCGAGGATGTAAAAATCCATCATATGGAATAGGATTGGCTGGCTTTTGTGGAATATTAATTTGTGTGTGATTAAATCCAAACGAATGAAATGAAAACATTTAGCGCAATACTTTGTTTCGTGGCCATTCAAGCTAATGTTTATCAATAATTTTTCACCTGACATTACAGACCGCATTCTCTGTGATTTGTGCGGAGAACAGAAATGCTGATATACGACTTTGCGCAGACGTGATTAATGATACTTCTATATAAAGTTTTGCTGCAGATGACAAGAATTTTTCAATAAATTCTATTAGGTTGGATTCCAGAATTAACAATGAAAGTAATATAACATAAACAAGAATAAATACTATTAAATTAAGAATAAATTAAGATTTTCTAGAAAATATTTTTTCATATATTTTAAAAGATGGGGCGATTTACATTTAAATTTCTCAAAAATCAAAGAAAATTCAAAGAAAATTGTTCTTTGCGTACTTATATGTAACTGTGTAGGCGCAAACCTAGGGATTCTACATTTGAAACTCAATAGAGTTCAAAGATTCTCAATTTAGTTATGCACTTTCAAATATTTAGGCCCCGTTTACACGGGAACGGATCCGCATAGATCCGTACCCAAACTGGCTACGATAGGCCTTGCGTTTACACGGGCACGGTAGGATCCGTATCTTTTCTGGGAGAGATCCGTACCTTTTTGGATACGATTTGAAAGCGAATCCATTTGGATCCGTACCTTCATCGGCGCCGTGTAAACAGGAAGATACGGATCCGCAAAGGCACGGCAGTAAAACGAGACTGTTGCTGGGGTCAGTGGAGGCCATTTCAATTGTACGCAGCACTCATCATACAACAAAGAAATTACTCTCCCACCCCCGCTTTTTCTTCCACAGTCGAAAGCCTTTCTGAACCCTGTCTTCATCATGGTTTGATTTTTTTCACCTTTTCTTTTGTTATTTTTTTTATCCTGGGTATTTGGAAAGTTCTCTGTTGCTATTTCTAGATAGGCCTCGATAAATTGAAGGAGAATGTCTTCGTATTTCGACCTAACAGTCTCTAAGTTTTTTTCATTTTGCATTTTACCTTGTCATTGCGCATGCTTAAAAAAAGCGATTCGATTTTGGTCCGTTCCCGTGTAAACGCTTTATAGTTTAGGATCCGATCTCGTGTAAACGCTTGTGGATCGTACCCATATCGTACCTAAAAGGTCCGGATCTTTTGGATCCGTTCCTTTTTCTCTCGTGTAAACGGGGCCTTAGTCTTGCGAAACATAGAAAGACCCCTAGAAACATGATGAGTATTGCGTTTTAGTGATGCACTTTTAGAATTGCTGGCTATCTTGAAAACATGGAATGCGGAATGCTGGAATGCTGGAATGCTGGAATGCTGGAATGTATTTTCTAGAACCTATATAACTACATGATAACAAGTAAATTTGTTTTAAATTTGGGTTCATTGATACGAGAACTTATCGTACTACTTTGCAAAGGCTGAACTTTTTCTATTAACATTCCAATATTCCAACATTCCAGCATTCCAACTTTCCAACATTCCATGTTTTTATAAAATTAGGGACATCTTGAAAACGTAGCATGTTGAAAGATATCCATGGGCCATCAGCTCTTGCACGTCATTAATGTCTATCATATCACATCAAGTCACGGTTTTGCATACTTCGTTGTGGGAGTACCCAATGGCAGTGTTGCGATTCTCCGGATCTGTTTCAAAGATCTGAAGCCTGCTGAAATACACGATCAGTTCGATTCATCAGTGTTTTGACTGACAATTTTCAGATTTTTAAAAACTGATGTCCTTCACACATGATCAGTTTTTATCAGTTTTTTACTGACAGCTTTCAGTCTCTCAAAGCAGATGTCCTCCATACATGTTCAGTTTTCTTCACTTTTTGACAGACAGCTCACTCTGTTTTGGTATGGGGCTTGATCGTGAACGAACTGCTGTTATTTTTGCTGCAACTTTGGTCGTCAAGAAAAGGCGAGAAATACCGAAAAAAGAAAAAAGAGATCGCTTTCAAACTATCCGCATTTCGAAACTACTTTTGAGTCTGACGTCACATTGCATTACGATTTCCGTACTTCAACTAAACGTCTTGAATTGAAAACATCATCAATTCCTTGATTGATATATCGAACATATGCGAGTAAATGTTAATGTGAAACTGAAATCTCTCTAGCATGCCCTTTAAGGTTGTAGAGAAATGATCAACAGAAATTGTTTGTCTCTTACCAAATCGATTTTCAGTTCTCTTCTCATCAAATAAGAGGTATCATAAGACATTCCTCTTGCATATAGGTATCAAGAATTACTTTAATGCGCAAACGCAGTAAAAAAACAAGCACAGTTTGCAGTTTATCCGTTGCCCACTCTATCATTAGACGATGTAAGCCAACACTTGTACTTCCTTGCAGTTGTTGGGACCACTATTTCTAGCGGTGCCCCTATCTTAATATTTAATGATAAACGAAGTGTAAGATGAAGACTCAGAGAAATATCACCATTTTGTGTAACTATTTTGTATCAAATCCATCAATATTCTGTTTCACATTTTTGCCGATCACCATCATTACTTCAACTCTACTCCAACCAACTAACTAACTTATTACGAGTTTCAACATAGATAATCACGTTCACTGAGACTTGTCGATTGATATTTTCCATACGTTTGTCCTTATTAGGTATTGAGATTCAAAACATGTCATTTACTACTGCTTTAAATCAAATATAAAATCAACGTTATAATTAAAACTCTACATGCCGCCGTGTATCTCGGCACGTATTACACTACCGAATGTGATAACAATAACTGTGTGGGGTCTTAGGATACCAAGGAAGGTCTGGGCCCCAACACATCTCCCCTCCTTGACTCGCTCGAGTCAAGCATAAGACGTGTGCGCCACTCTGAATCCTGCGCCGCTGCTCTCCGTACCTTCACCACACCCTTCTCAATCTCATGCTCTACACCCTTATCGCTTCTCAACCTTTCACTTTCTTGAACCGAACTTTTCACACTTTCCTTGTCGCCATTTGTATCTCCTTGTCTCCATTCTATAGGGTACAATTTTTGCAAAGGCCTAGAAATAAAATCTGGTTTGTTACGTGAAATTACGCATACCTTTGCCCCTCTGATATGTCCATCTCTCCCCATGATGAGCTTGTCTATTCTCCCAAGTTTCCAAAGCGATCTTTTCACATTGTCCTCGTGTACCACTACGGTATCTCCAACTCTGATTATGGCCGTACCTTTACCTGAAAGCTTGTGATGCTCCCGCAAATTTACTAAGTACTCGGTTCGCCATCTGTTCCAAAAATGGTCCAGGTTTTTCAACAAATACTTGTACCTTCTAGAATACGAAGCATCGTTACTATTAATTTCTTTAGCATTATCTGGCAATGTTACCAACCTTCTACCGAAAATTAAGTGCGAAGGGGTTAATGGCTCCGAATCGAGCTCTTCATACACATAAGTTAAAGGCCTCGCGTTAATGATACTTTCGACTTCGAGAATCAATGTGCGAAGCTCATCCTCCGTTAGTTTTGCTTTCCCAATAACTTTGCGTAGACACCGTTTAACTGTCCCAACCATTCTTTCGAAAAACCCACCCCACCATGGTGTCCTTTCTAGATTGAACTTCCAAATAAGTCTCTCGTTCTGTAGAAAGGTTAGAAATGTGGGGTTTTTGTTCAAATTGTCCAAAAGTTTTGCTGCTGCCTTGAACGTTTTGGCATTATCAGAAATGACAAGGCTTGGCACACCCCTTCTGGCTACAAACCTACGAAAACACCTTAAAAATGACTCCGTAGATAAGTCATTGACGAGCTCTAAAGAGACCGCACGCGTAACACAACAAGAGAACAAGGCTATGTACACTTTATTCATGCTCCCATCCTTTTCTCTTACAAACAAGGGTCCGGCAAAATCTACCCCTGTTTTGCTAAAGGGTTCGGCTTGTTGCACTCTAAAATTTGGCAGGGCTGCCGTAATCGGCTGCGAATATGGTTTGCCCTCCAAACGCCTGCATACTGTGCATGTACTTAACAATCTTCTGACCAATAACCTACCCTTCGGTATCCAAAACTTAGTTCTTATTTCCGCCAAGGTTGGCCTTACTTTGAGGTGTTTCACTATACCGTGACAATGCAATAATATAAGGTTCGCAAATAGATGGTTCCCTGGAATCAAAATAGGAAATTTAGTCCCAGGATCGAGCTCCGAATTTTCTAGTCTCCCCTTACACCTTAAAATACCATTATCCTTAAATACTCCCAAATTCCTTAACAAACACGCATCATTCTTTTCACTAACAGTAGACTGGGCATCCATAATCCATAATTGCTCGGCTCTTTCTATTTCTTCTACAGTTATTTCGTTAGTGTTTATCTCCTTCCCAGCTACTTTAGCCTTAACGTTTCCTATAAACCTGAAAATCCGTGCCGTGGTACGAAGCAACTTATTCATATTACTGAACCTATTTATGTCCACTACAGAACCTATAAAAGATCCATTCTCCTCTGCCCCACTTAGTACTACAGCCTGTTTCTTACTCTCTAGATCTACATTTTCCGTTCTCTCTAGGTAATTCCTCTTAGGCCAATAATCTATACCTTGTTTAAGCCATGCGGGACCTTCCCACCACGTAATGTTGTTCTTTAATTTACTTGCTTCCAGCCCCCTACTTCCTATATCCGCTGGGTTCTCTTTCCCTGGGCAATGTCTCCAATTATCCTTATCAGTCTTGGCTAGAATCTCGTTTACCCTTTGTCTAACAAATTGCTTCCACTCCCCAGCATTATTTAACCAAAATAAAACTGTTTCGCTGTCCAACCAATACTTCAACGATGTTATTTCAACCAGAAAACTTAGTGCATTTCTAACGTTTTCCATCAAATTTGCTAAAATCCTGGCCGACATAAGTTCCAAGCGTGGTATTGAGAGACCCTTGAGTGGGGCGATACGAGTTTTAGAACAAACAAGTCTAGAATAAATTCCGCTTCCTGTCTCGCAAACAAGATAAATTACAGCACAATATGCCTTGGCGCTGGCATCTCCAAACCCGTGTAAGGAATATTTACCCGTTTCCTCGTTGTATGGGTGTATACCCCTGGGCACTGAAATAGATTTCACCTGTTTCAAATCCTTTTCCCATCTTTCCCATTTATCCCTTTTTTCTGGAGGTAACTCTTCATCCCATCCTATCTTATCCACGCACAATTCCTGGAAAAATGATTTAGCTATCGTTGAGACGGGACAAACTAGTCCTAACGGGTCAAACAACTTAGCTAGCGAGCTTAAAACTGATCTTTTCGTTACACAGTCCCTCTCCCCTCTTATAGTACCTATACTATCCAGAACAATCTCCAAATTATCCGTTTCTTCCTCCCAGACTAAGCCTAAAACCTTGGTTTTACCTTGTCCATCGACAATATTTAACTTTTCCTGCGCATAAGTTTCCTCGTCATTACTGTTTACATTGGCACTGGCTAAACCTTTCGATTTACCTTCACATCGTGATACGTACTCCCTTACTTCCCCATTATTTGACTTCCATTTCCGTAAATTAAATCCTCCTTCTAGCATCCTAGTCTTAGATTTATCAAACAACGAAATTGCTTCTTGGACTGTCTTAGCCCCCGTACATAAATCATCAACAAAGAAAGAATTTAACATCTTCTTAACAAATTCCGGGTCTATATCTTGAAACTTAGTTACGTGATTCCTAATAACCGCGTTCAACAAAAAAGGCGATGCATTAACTCCAAAAACAACGCGCGCAAATCGATAAACAACAAGTTTCAAATCGTTTTCATGAGGATTTTCGACCCATAAAAAACGCAAACAATCCCTGTCGGTAGCATGAACACCTACATTTAAGAATGCCTTCTCGATATCACCTACAAGTGCGATGTTATTCTCTCTAAACCGAACAAGTATGTTAAATAACAATGGTGTTAAATTAGGTCCAACATGTAAACAATCGTTTAACGAAGTACCGCTTTTCCCTTCCTTAGAAGAGGCATCGAAAACCATGCGTACTTTAGTGGTTTCCGCATTCTCCCTTACGACAACTTGGCTAGGCATGTAATAAACCTTTTCGGCCCCCTCTAATTCCGTAACTTTCTCGATAATACCAAGATCTTCTTGTTCCTCAATTATTTTATTACACTCATTTAGCAAGGTGGGCGTGTTCTTAAGTTTCCTTATTTGAGACTTCAACCGTGTAAAACTAGCATTAAAATTGGGCGGTAACTGCTTGTGGCCTATTTTCCAAGGTAAACCTACGGAATATCTTTTACCGTTATAAGATATATCATCGATAAATTCAGTATAAATGTCCTTATCTTCTCTATCACCGACTGTACCTAAATCCCAAAATTGTTCTACTTTGCTCTCCAAGTTTGCTTCGACATACGTAACATTAACATTGTTTAAATCGTAAAGTAAAGACTCACCATTCAACGGTCCCGAGAGCACCCATCCTAACGTAGTCTCGACTGCGACTGGCTCGTTTTTCTCCCCTCGTATCGTCTGTTTGCCTTGAAATTCCCAGAGGAAATTTGCTCCTACTAACACGTCGACCTGTAAACTAATCTCATCAGAAACATCAGAAAACTCGATATCCGCTAAATGTTTATATTTACTTTTAACAATCTCAACATGGCAATTAGATATTTCTGAAATTTTCTCGACAACATACGCTTCTACTTTCACTCTTTTACCACCTCTCGCAGCCCTCAAATCCAGCTCTACAACATCTCGCAATTTCCTCTCTGCCGTCTCACTTCCAAAGGCTTTAATCCCTAAATTCTCCTTCCTCACAACTTGTAGCTTGGCTCTCTCCACTACAGTGGGGGTTACAAAGGTCTTCTGACTCCCACTA